TCAAATACTGGTACATACAATAACTGTGTTTATACATATACACTATGGTATACGCTGCAATATCATATATGTGGTGAATATAATCAGTGATGTGGGTAATATGTAGATTCCACTTGTCACATACTGGTACATACAATAACTGTGTTTATACATACACACTATGGTATACGCTGCAATATCATATACGTGGTGAATATAATCAGTGATGTGGGTAATATGTAGATTCCACTTGTCACATACTGGTACATACAATAACTGTGTTTATACATCATACACACTATGGTACACGCTGCAATATCATATATGTGGTGAATATAATCAGTGATGTGGGCAATATGTAGATTCCACTTGTCACATACTGGTACATACAATAACTGTGTTTATACATCATACACACTATGGTATACGCTGCAATATCATATATGTGGTGAATATAATCAGTGATGTGGGTAATATGTAGATTCCACTTGTCACATACTGGTACATACAATAACTGTGTTTATACATATACACACTATGGTATACGCTGCAATATCATATATGTGGTGAATATAATCAGTGATGTGGGTAATATGTAGATTCCACTTGTCACATACTGGTACATACAATAACTGTGTTTATACATATACACTATGGTATACGCTGCAATATCATATATGTGGTGAATATAATCAGTGATGTGGGTAATATGTAGATTCCACTTGTCACATACTGGTACATACAATAACTGTGTTTATACATACACACTATGGTATACGCTGCAATATCATATATGTGGTGAATAATATCAGTGATGTGGGTAATATGTAGATTCCACTTGTCACATACTGGTACATACAATAACTGTGTTTATACATATACACACTATGGTATACGCTGCAATATCATATATGTGGTGAATATAATCAGTGATGTGGGTAATATGTGAATTCCACTTGTCACATACTGGTACATACAATAACTATGTTTATACATCATACACACTATGGTATACGCTGCAATATCATATATGTGGTGAATATAATCAGTGATGAGGGTAATATGTAGATTCCACTTGTCACATACTGGTACATACAATAACTGTGTTTATACATCATACACACTATGGTATACGCTGCAATATCATATATGTGGTGAATATAATCAGTGATGTGGGTAATATGTAGATTCCACTTGTCACATACTGGTACATACAATAACTGTGTTTATACATCATACACACTATGGTATACGCTGCAATATCATATATGTGGTGAATATAATCAGTGATGTGGGTAATATGCAGATTCCACTTGTCACATACTGGTACATACAATAACTGTGTTTATACATCAAACACACTATGGTATACGCTGCAATATCATATATGTGGTGAATATAATCAGTGATGTGGGTAATATGTAGATTCCACTTGTCACATACTGGTACATACAATAACTGTGTTTATACATATACACACTATGGTATACGCTGCAATATCATATATGTGGTGAATATAATCAGTGATGTGGGTAATATGTGAATTCCACTTGTCACATACTGGTACATACAATAACTGTGTTTATACATCATACACACTATGGTATACGCTGCAATATCACCAAATAATCACGTGCTACATGAACGGGCCTGCTGTTCATATTTATAAAACAAACAAAGAGTCATTATGTAAGCAGGAGGGATAAAACTAGGGATGACAATGTAATTTATGCACGATTAAATGCAATACAGTTTAGACAAGGATATTTATGTGCTTTTACAAAAACTTTAAATATGTTTGTTGGAATTAAATTGTGCCAACGGGAAGAATGCCTTTGACATCAATGTCATTTCACCATGCGATTGATAATAACAAACGGTAGAGTAGTTTAGATCGGTTGGTTTGTTGTTTAACGCCTCACTCAGCAATATTACAGCTATATGACGGCGGTCTGTAAATAATCGAGTCTGGACCAGACAATCCAGTGATTAATATCATGAGCATCGATCCACGCATTTGGAATCGATGACATGTATCAACCAAGTCAGCGAGCCTGACCACCCGATCCCGTTAGTCGCTTTTTACGACAAGCATAGTCGCCTTTTACGGCAAGTATGGGTTGCTGAAGACCTATTCTACCCCGGAATCTTCACGGGTCGTGTAGTTTAGAAAGTCTGCCCTTTCCTTTTCATTGCGATTGATAACACTGTTTTCAATTTCTGAATCCCCAGGTTTCTTTGTGAATACTACAGTGTATTATGTGTATCCCTATATTCATCGTCTATATTTCCTGTCCAGTTAAAGACCGCCTCCGTGGTCTAGTGGATAGAGCGTCTGCCCAGAGAGCGGAACCTCCGGGGTTTGGTCCCCAGATGCGTCATACCAAAAGACGTTAAAAGATGGTGCTTGTTGATACCCTGTCTGACGTTCGGCATTAAGGGACTAAAACAAGGACTGGTCGGCTCGGAGTCAGTATACTGTGTCTGAGTGGGATATTCATGTTAAACTGCAGCATGGTATCTCAGTCAGCTAGCACTGTAAATTGGCATCAGTCCGGACTAGTACAAGCAGCCACACACACACACACACACACACACACACACATGCACGTAGCTATATACGTGCAATGATCTAGGACGCGACGTTAACCCCAATTCACCTTACCTGTCCAGTTGAAGGAGACTACAGATCCCTTGCTTCATACAATACACACTGACACAGGTATTTTTGTTAAGAAATTTCTAAAGTCACCATTCAGATACTAATAACTTATTTCAACCCTACCATTATGTCTTTAATGGCACTCTAAAACAAAGAACTGCCCACTAAATCACCCAAACCCACAAATACTGAAAGTCAAGATGCAACAATTTACAGCTTCAATCTGTTCTGTCATTCTGATTAAGTGAGTGAGTGAGTTGGGTTTAACGCCGCTTTTAACAGTATTCCAGTTATATCATGGCGTGTCAGCTTAATGTGGGAGGAAAGCCCGAAGTGATGCAGGTCTCAGACGTTTACTACTTCGGTGAAACCCACGAGCACGGGTATGGTGCTGACAAACCTAGAAACATAATCAGGGTGAACCGGGATTCAAACCCACAATCATAGGTTTCTGGCGTGCCCAAGGGACGCAACTCTGCACAGGGAATCGCGGCGCCTTAGACAACTGGGCCACCCGTGCCCCCCATTCTGATTAAGACATACAGAGTAGAGAGACACTTCCTATTTTTAAGGAGTCAGTTAGCAATACAGGCAGCTGTTTGGGAGGGAAGCCACAACTCGGATGCCATTAATCAGAGCTCCAGATAAGCTTGTCGTGTTGTGGGTATTTTACCCATGCATTTTAAAATCATTGGGTATCAGTAATTCTATCTGGGTATTCAAATTTCCACAAGAATACTTCCACAAGAAAGTGTGATGGCAAATGATCATGATGTAACTGTCATCATGGAGTTTGCAAGGTTGACAGAATGCCCGTTTATAATTTCAAAATAAGTTGCTGATTTGCTAAACGAATACGCAGGGTTACTTCACAATATTTTGATGATACGCACAAGTTTTATTTTTGTAGCGTATCTGTAATGTTTGTTGCATATTTGATACGCTTCGATTATATTTTACTGCGTATTTATGCATTTCTGATGCGTATTTTACGCAGATACGCAGCTTATCTGGAGCTCTGCTATCTATTTTTGTTTATTTATTTTTGCAATACAGGCAGTTGATGTGGGAGAAAAGCCACAACTCAGGTGCCATTAAGTTAACATTCACATTTTTCATTGGTAAACTGGTGTCTCAGTCTAAAATATAGCGAGTAAATAACAGTAAACATGAAGTTAATTTTCATAATTAAATATATTATATACTTTCATAATTTCTGTGATTATGGGTAGGTCTCCAGTAACCTAAGTAACTAAAGGGATTGGATGGTCAGAGTCGGCGCCTTGGTAGGGAGTTGTTCATAATATCAACCACTGGTATGACTGATCCATGAATACACAATGCCATCTTGAAAGTGGTCAAACGTAACAAATGTTATATTTGGGATCACACTTCCACAGTGAAGTACAAATTCTTGTAATTTGGGGGGTTGAGTCCCATCCGGGATTTGAACCTACACTGCCAGAGTGAGGCACCTAATCGCCAGCCCTCAAAGTCAGCGATCTAACCCACTCAGCCACTGAGGCTTCCACAAAAGAAAACACAATGCCTTTCAAAAAGTGGTCAAATGTAAGAAATATTATGTTTGGGATAACACTTCTTTAGTAAATTAAACAGAGCTCCAGATAGCTTATTGAGCAATTGATATTTTTACTGGCTGGCCGCAAGGAACCCTGGGTTGGCGAGTGATTTGGCTTCATTCGACCGAGGTATATTTATATCGTAATCTAGGCTTTGATAAACACTGGCTTCTAATCAAATCAAACTGGAAATGAGTATTTTTGGTAACTCAATCGTAAGGAAAATACACAAGCTTTCTCTTCAATTTACCAATATAAAATACAAAGACTACACTCTGCGCAGCACTTGCGTTGTTGGCTTCACTGTGTGGAGCTCTATAGTTTTGTTTTGAAATTTGATTCGGGTGCGTGACATCACATTCAAAAATTATTTCATGCATGACTTAAAAACACACAGAACAATCGACGTAATGTCCCCTTAAAGGGCAACAACACTGCAAGTGTGAAAGTATTGAAATACAGACATCATGGATTCCAAATTTGCTAATTATGGACCATAGTTTCGACTGGTTGGACTTGTGATAAAATTATCAATAAGTTGTCATCAGTATCAGTGTTGTCAGACACTGTATTCGGTTTGACAGCTGAACCGATCACTGTTTAATATATCTACTGATTGTCTATATAAAGACATGAAAATCTATTGATGATGTTGACTGCTGACCTCATATGCTTAATTACTAAGTAATGAGTTGGCAAAGCACTGGGAAACCACTCACCATATCGGACTTTACATGTCAAAGCTGGCAAATATTGACAAAATCTCTGATGGTGCCTACCTGTTATCTGGTCCCTACACACAAAGACCACTGCACTGGTGTTCAACTTCAAGACAATCTCGAGGAAAGCTGCAGTCGACACTATCAATGTTGTTTACTTGACAGCACTACTGGGGTGCTGGCGACAATCTACCGGATCCATATCTCTACTGTCGACACTATCCGAGTTGTTTACTTGAAACAGCAGCGATACGTATTCTTTCGATGCACTTGAATTCGCCAAGATAGAAAACTCTCACCATATACATCTACCTTCATATTTACAACGCGATTGTAGCTTGTATTCCAAGACGCAATACCAATTTAGTTGTCACGGCTTCTGCAAATTATATGCATTTAATCTACACCGTTCGGCCCCACCGTTCATTAACTAAAGCATTGCCAACAAGTCGCCGTTATTGCGTTAAAGTGAAGTTGAGAAACATTTTAGAATTGATAACAACGCGCTTAATTTGCGAGTCATTTTCAGGTAGATATACGCACTCTGAAACAAAACGACACATTGTCAAAGCATACCTTTGTCTTTACGTGAAATCTGAAGGTGTTGTCTGCCTCGGATATTGTAAGAAAACATCCACAGGCGGATATGTAACAGTCCTCCCGTGAGTCAGGCGTGACCCATATGACACTCCTGACTGTACGAACACGGAAGTAAGCCTGACTGCTGTCGATGTGCGGAGCAGACGACCTATCTCAAGTCAAATTTCAGATTTGATGTGTAGATCACAAAGCATGTGGAAAGTATATGACTGAATTTCTTGATAATTCGTCCACACAATCGGACAATCACCTGTCTGAATGGTGAACGGCGGTACCAGCGGCGAGGGGGACGTCACACACGGTGCAGCAGAACTTCTGATTGTTCTGGCTGGTTCCTGAATCTTGGTGGTCGATTGGCGGGAATTGGTGCAACTCGAAAGGTAAGATTGGCGCGCGGCGTGTCCTTTCACGTGATATAGAATGAGGGGAATCACCCGTCTTGCCCCAAACCCCCCACGAGGTGGATTTCTTGTAATCAGTAATCAGTGATATAACGGTTGGCGCAGTATTGAACACGGCAAGGCCACCGCGAGCGTCGCTGGCAGTGTCGTGATCCATTATCACATATCTCTCAATTACTGGGCCTACCTTTAGAATTCAGCACCAGAAACGCTTTCAAACTAATGACATGTAACCCCAGAGAATCGTCCTCTCGAGATATTGCATGTGGTGCTGTATTCTAAAGGTGCTCCAATTACTGTTTTGACAAGTGATAAACAAGAGTCATCAGAAAGATGACATATCCCCCCCCCCCCCCCCCCCCCCGCAGCTGTCTGTAAAGTAACCACAAGTAAATGTTCAATTCTGTATGTAATTAGTCAAGAGTTGAATGTTCTTAAAGAAGCATACATTGTTTACCCACGAAAGATCCACCATGGTCGCATCCATATGAAATGGAAAGTAAAACAAGTGTGTTTCTGTGGGTTTTTTTTTATGCAAACAAATGACAAATTACAAGAAACAATGACTAAACAAGCGTATAGTCAACAAAGTCATCTATATCCCCCGCCCATTTTAACACGTTATGGTCCCAAACCAGGTAACTGACCCAACATTTCTCTTAGCCCATGTCAAAATAGCTGCAATGGAAATTCTAAAATACATTTCTAAAACTCCTGAATATCAAATGGCACCAGTTCAGTATGTGCTTTATATATAGACTTGCAATGTTTGGCAAGGAAATATTTAACAGTTTGTTTGTTATAATTATATACTCCATAAGTGAACCCACCCTATATTAAAACTTAATTCCAACTTGTTGCAAAATGAAACGTAAAAAAAATAAAAAAATAACATTCCTAAATAGCAAAAGGCACCAGTTCAGTATGTGCCTGGTAGACATGCAAAGTTTTGTAAGAAATTATTTAACGGTTTTTGAGTTACACTTTGGAAATGAACACCACCCTTATAGAACCTAAGTCCAACTTGTTGCCATGGAAACATAAAAAAAATAAAAAATTCTAAAATTCCTAAATAGCAAAAGGCACAACTTCACCACTTGAGTGATATAAATGCAAAGTTTGATGAAGAAATTTTTAACAGTTTCGGAGTTCTGCTCCGGAAACATACATCACTCACAATGTAAGCCTATGTCCAGCATGCTTTCATGAAAATTGGAAAATGAAAAAATTGGAAAAATTCCAAAATAGCAAAAGGCACAACTTCACCACTTAAGTAATATAAATGCAAAGTTTGATGAAGAAATATTTAATGGTTTTCGAGTTCTGCTCCGGCAATGATTCAGACGGACGGACGGACGGACGGACATACATGCCCATAGCTATATCCCCCCACATTATATGCCGGGGGGATAAAAATGCGCTTGTACAGCTTTTCAAACGGTAAGACGCATCCGAATCCTTGAGAGCAATAACACTATATGTAGTATCATTGACTTGAATTTATCTGAAATGTCATAGAAAGAGATTGCCAGCAGAAAAAGCATGGATGATAAATTCAGTACCTAGTTTTGTTTGTTTCTTGGTGTGGTTGGTTGGTTGGTTTGTTGTTTAAAGTGGCACTCAGCAATATTTCAGCTATATGACGGCGGTCTGTAAATAATCGAGTCTGGACCAGACATTCCAGTGATTGAAATCATGAGGCTCGATTCTGGGGGAATATAGCTGATATCTTCTGTGTTTGTTATTTGGGGGGAATATAGCTGATATCATCTGTTTAAGTTGCTCGGGGGAATAGAGCTGGTATCATCTGTTTATGTTACTCGGGGGAATATAGCTGATATCATCTGTTTATGTTACTCGGGGGAATATAGCTGATATCATCTGTTTATGTTACTCGGTGGGAATATAGCTGATATCATCTGTTTAAGTTACTCGGCGGGAATACAGCTGATATCATCTGTTTAAGTTATTCAGCGGGAATATAGCTGATATCATCTGTTTAAGTTGCTCAGGGGAATATCACTGATATCATCTGTTTATGTTACTCGGGGGAATATCACTGATATCATCTGTTTATGTTACTCGGGGGAATATAGCTGATATCATCTGTTTATGTTACTGGGGGGAATATAGCTGATATCATCTGTTTATGTTACTCGGGGAAATATAGCTGATATCATCTGTTTATGTTACTCGGGGGAATATAGCTGATATCATCTGTTTATGTTACTCGGGGGAATATAGCTGATATCATCTGTTTATGTTACTCGGGGGAATATAACTAACATTTAGTGTGTTTGTTTTCAGGCATGTGGTTCACTCTTGCTTTGGCCTTGACCTTGCCATCAATGAGTATTTCTGCAGACTGTACATCCTCCAAGTGTAGTGGTACTGTTAACACGTCAGGTGAGTGAGCATGGTTTTACACCCCCTCTTGCAATATTCCAGCAATTGTACGACAGGGTCACCACAAATGGGCTTCACACATTGTGGGAACTGAACCCAGGTCTTAGTCATGACGAGCGAACGCTTCAACCACTAGCCCCCCCCCCCCCAAATATCTGCACCCAGTAGACTACCATCTTGTCTTGAAATGAAAATCTTTTTCAGAACAGTTGTAAGATTATCTTAACATGATAAAATAAAAGGGAGTCAGGAGACTGTCCTCAGAACCTGCAGTAATCTAGACTTGCCAACTATTATAGACTTGCTTGGGATATATTGGATATATTTGTTTCAGGGTCTGTATGACGCACTATGCACCAAGCTATAGAACCAGAAACTATGCTCACTGAGAGTCAATATAATATCTTGTTTGTTTGTTTGTTGTTTAATGCCACACTCAGCACTATTCCAGCTATATGATGGGGGTCTGTAAATAATAGTGTCTGGACCAGACAATCCAGTGATTGACATCATGACATGCATCAATCTATGCAATTGGGATACAAGTCATCCAAGTCAGTGGGCCTGACCACCAAATCCTGTATAGCAGGATCTTCACAGATTTTGTATTGAGACTAGATATTTTCTCAGCTCCAGCTGCAAAGCCAGGTATCTTTTTAATTGAAACAATTAGACAAGTATTATTTTTTGTTAAAACATTGTAACAATGTAATTTTGGTTTCAAACAATTTCCTTCTTCTTTTTTTTCCAAGAGACTAAAGCATAGATTTTTTTCCAAGCATTTACAGGGACAATTTTGTATTTTGGGGAGGGAGGGGGCGGGGGAGGGGGTTACAGATCAAACCCAAGGCCCAACCACCACCCCAGAATATCAAATGGTTGGTCCTATAGTAAGGGCAGGGTTAGAAATTGGCCCTTGTCCTGTAGTCCTTGCCAAACTGCCCAATAGTGAAGGTATCATGAGGACTAGTAGATATTTGCCATATTTAAGGATATTGCTATATGTTATCATTATAAGGACTAGTGGACCAAAAATGTTAGTTTCTAACACTGAAGGATTTCACCTATACATCAGACGGTAGGGGATGCAATACCACCTTCCTGTATCAATTCATATTTTACACCTGTATAGATTCATATTTTAATCCCGTATCGTTTCATACATGGGACATTTAAAACAGATATGTAATGACTTTGTTGGCAAAATGGGCCATACCTAATATTAAGTGAACAATTTTTATCATTATCCATTTATGTTATATCTACATTGTACAATGTACATAGTTTTAAGACTTAAATTTTGTCCTAGTCTTTTCCTAGCTGGTGTTGTCGGTCCAGTTTTATTTGAAATTTGAATAAAATTGATTGAAATAATATATATTTTCAAATGGACCAGATATGTAGAAAGATTCAAACCATTTGAATGCTGTTTATCATACCCCATGAAATATAAAAATACACACCAAATTGCTTTGATGTAATAGACCTGTGAAGATTCCGGGGTAGAATAGGTCTATGGTGACTATGCTTGTCGTAAAAGGCGACTAACGGGATCAGGTGGTCAGGCTTGGTTGATGCATGTCATCGATCCCAAATGCGTGGATTGATGCTCATGATATCAATCACTGGATTGTCTGGTCCAGACTCGATTATTTACAGTCCGCCGTCATATAGCGGGAATATTGCTGAGTGCGGCGTTAAACAACAAACCAACCAACTTTGATGTAATACATGTCATATCAGGTCATAGTCATATCGTTACATCCCTTCTCATTAACATAACTGAATGAATTGATACAGGTATAGTCTCTGGTATAACTGGTATAGTCTCATTGAGTGTAAGTATCCATTATTTTTGTGAGTTTTAAATTATTCTTTACTTGTACATCTGCCATCATCTCTGTGAGTGAATGTTGTTTTATGCCAGACAGCAATATTACATATACATCCTAGGGGCTTGTGAATAATGCGGAGGAAAAAAACCAACGTAAAATTTGTTTTGATGTTAATATTAAAAGATGAAACTTTATAAAGAATGCATTCGCTATCCATTCACCAAAGGGACAAAATAGTTTTTTGAAATTTGGGAAAATGAAAAAGGATACTTAACAAGAAAAGTGCTAATGTAATACTCATAAATAGTCCCATTGATTCCCTGGCTTGGAATCCCGACTAACCATTTATTTTCAACAAATCAGATTGCAGCTTAAACTCCCATTTATTTAACAGTCATCCTCAACAGCCAGGATAATTGAGTGAGTGAGTGAGTATGGTTTTACGCCGCTTTTAGCAATATTCCAGCAATATCACAGCGAGGAACACCAGAAATGGGCTTCACAAATTGTACCCATGTTGGGAATCGAACCCGGGTCTTCGGTGTGACGAGCGACCACTTTAACCACTAGGCTACCCGACTGCCCCCAGGATAATTGCTTATGCTTGGCTCATTTAGGCATCTGTGATATAACTAGAATATCACTGGTCCTCATGCTATCAATCACTGGTTTGTCTGGTCCAGACTTGATCCTTCACAAGCCACCATGACATATATGTAATATAGACAACTGGCATAAAACAACTTTCACTCACTCATGTTGTAGTTGTTCCCCATGCTGTCAATCACTGGTTTGTCTGGTCCAGACATGAATCTTTACAAGCCACAGTGACGTATCCGTAATATTGCCGACTAGCATAAAACAACATTCACTCACCCAGGACTATCTGTTTCAGCTTCCCTTCAATTTATTGACAACCCCGACTTACACCCGTTTCGTCAACCTGGTCGGTACTTGTCCATGGATTGCTGTGCAGATGGATTCACGGACATGGAGTGGTACTTCAGCCACAACAAGAGCAGTCCGTGGCAGCCTTGGCCGTGGACGTCGTGCGAGTGGTGTGCAGGAGGTGTGGACCCCTACCATGAGCTGTGTGGGAGCAACCAGACTCTGAGCATCATCAGTACCAACACCGATACTGACACGGGATGGTACTTGTGCAATGCGTCCAACTCCGACACACAACAATATATACAGAGGAGGTTCCGCGTTGTGGTTGCAGGTAAGATAGGGATGTTGTAGTTGCAGGTAGTGGAGGTGTTGTAGTTGCAGTTAAGATGGGGATGTTGTAGTTGCAGGTAAGAAGGGGATGTTGTAGTTGCAGGTAAGATAGGGATGTTGTAGTTGCAGGTAGTGGAGGTGTTGTAGTTGCAGGTAAGATAGGGATGTTGTAGTTGCAGGTAAGATAGGGATGTTGTAGTTGCAGGTAGGGGGGATGTTGTAGTTGCAGGTAAGATGGGGATGTTGCAGTTGCAGGTAAGATGGGGATGTTGTAGTTGCAGGTAAGAAGGGGATGTTGTAGTTGCAGGTGAGACGGGGATGTTGTAGTTGCAGGTAAGATGGGGATGTTGTAGTTGCAGTTAAGACGGGGATGTTGTAGTTGCAGTTAAGATGGGGATGTTGTAGTTGCAGGTAAGAAGGGGATGTTGTAGTTGCAGGTAGTGGAGGTGTTGTAGTTGCAGGTAAGATGGGGATGTTGTAGTTGCAGGTAAGAAGGGGATGTTGTAGTTGCAGGTAGTGGAGGCGTTGTAGTTGCAGGTAAGATGGGGATGTTGCAGTTGCAGGTAAGATGGGGATGTTGTAGTTGCAGGTGAGACGGGGATGTTGTAGTTGCAGGTAAGATGGGGATGTTGTAGTTGCAGGTAAGATAGGGATGTTGTAGTTGCAGGTAAGATGGGGATGTTGTAGTTGCAGGTAAGATAGGGATGTTGTAGTTGCAGGTAGTGGAGGTGTTGTAGTTGCAGGTAAGATAGGGATGTTGTAGTTGCAGGTAAGATAGGGATGTTGTAGTTGCAGGTAGGGGGGATGTTGTAGTTGCAGGTAAGATGGGGATGTTGCAGTTGCAGGTAAGATGGGGATGTTGTAGTTGCAGGTAAGAAGGGGATGTTGTAGTTGCAGGTGAGACGGGGATGTTGTAGTTGCAGGTAAGATAGGGATGTTGTAGTTGCAGGTAAGATGGGGATGTTGCAGTTGCAGGTAAGATGGGGATGTTGTAGTTGCAGGTGAGACGGGGATGTTGTAGTTGCAGGTAAGATGGGGATGTTGTAGTTGCAGGTGAGACGGGGATGTTGTAGTTGCAGGTAAGACGGGGATGTTGTAGTTGCAGGTAAGATGGGGATGTTGTAGTTGCAGGTAAGATGGGGATGTTGTAGTTGCAGGTAAGACGGGGATGTTGCAGTTGCAGGTAGTGGAGGCGTTGTAGTTGCAGGTAGTGGGGATGTTGTAGTTGCAGGTAAGATAGGGATGTAGTTGCAGTTAAGATGGGGATGTTGTAGTTGCAGGTAGTGGAGGTGTTGTAGTTGCAGGTAAGATGGGGATGTTGTAGTTGCAGGTAAGAAGGGGATGTTGTAGTTGCAGGTAGTGGAGGCGTTGTAGTTGCAGTTAAGATGGGGATGTTGTAGTTGCAGGTAAGAAGGGGATGTTGTAGTTGCAGGTAGTGGAGGCGTTGTAGTTGCAGGTAAGAAGGGGATGTTGTAGTTGCAGGTAAGAAGGGGATGTTGTAGTTGCAGGTAAGACGGGGATGTTGTAGTTGCAGGTAAGATAGGGATGTTGTAGTTGCAGGTAAGAAGGGGATGTTGTAGTTGCAGGTAGTGGAGGTGTTGTAGTTGCAGGTAAGATAGGGATGTTGTAGTTGCAGGTAGTGGAGGCGTTGTAGTTGTAGTTGCAGGTAAGACGGGGATGTTGTAGTTGCAGGTAAGACGGGGATGTTGTAGTTGCAGGTAAGATGGGGATGTTGTAGTTGCAGGTAGGGGGGATGTTGTAGTTGCAGGTAGTGGAGGCGTTGTAGTTGCAGGTAAGATGGGGATGTTGTAGTTGCAGGTAAGATGGGGATGTTGTAGTTGCAGGTAAGACGGGGATGTTGCAGTTGCAGGTAAGACGGGGATGTTGTAGTTGCAGGTAAGACGGGGATGTTGTAGTTGCAGGTAAGACGGGGATGTTGTAGTTGCAGGTAAGATGGGGATGTTGTAGTTGCAGGTAAGATAGGGATGTTGTAGTTGCAGGTAGTGGAGGCGTTGTAGTTGCAGGTAAGACGGGGATGTTGTAGTTGCAGGTAGTGGAGGTGTTGTAGTTGCAGGTAAGATGGGGATGTTGTAGTTGCAGGTAGGGGGGATGTTGTAGTTGCAGGTAGTGGAGGCGTTGTAGTTGCAGGTAAGATGGGGATGTTGTAGTTGCAGGTAAGATGGGGATGTTGTAGTTGCAGGTAAGACGGGGATGTTGCAGTTGCAGGTAAGACGGGGATGTTGTAGTTGCAGGTAAGACGGGGATGTTGTAGTTGCAGGTAAGATAGGGATGTAGTTGCAGTTAAGATGGGGATGTTGTAGTTGCAGGTAAGATGGGGATGTTGTAGTTGCAGGTAAGATGGGGATGTTGTAGTTGCAGGTAAGACGGGGATGTTGCAGTTGCAGGTAAGACGGGGATGTTGCAGTTGCAGGTAAGATGGGGATGTTGTAGTTGCAGGTAAGATAGGGATGTTGTAGTTGCAGGTAGGGGGGATGTTGTAGTTGCAGGTAAGATGGGGATGTTGTAGTTGCAGGTAAGATAGGGATGTTGTTGTTGCAGGTAAGATAGGGATGTTGTTGTTGCAGGTAGTGGAGGTGTTGTAGTTGCAGGTAAGATGCAGATGTTGTAGTTGCAAGTGAAAACGTAAATATATTCATCCATTGCGCCATACCTGACACTTCCAACAGTAAATTGATAGTGTGCCAGGTATTTGGCCATTTTGTCTATGAAAGAGATGGCTTACAACCCACCGATAAGAGCATGTGCAAGTATCGTGATACGTATCAGATCGAACAGTTGGGGATATTCTGAGTATCCAGGTGTGGGATAAAACTGACCGGTAGTTCGAAGATGTTGGTGTTCGAATAGCATGCGATTTGGGTTAGACATGATGCATGGTAAGCTTCATTTCAAAATAAACAAAAGTAACCAGTCTATACATTGTTGCCTCCTTAGAGTGTAAGCTTGCACAGTATCACTGAGTGGAGTGGTATTGTTAAGGCTCACGCATTTTAGTGAGCGTACAGTGTTCACGTTTACTGGTAATTACCAGTTTTGTACCAATAGAATTAGGCTTAGACCAGTAATTCATGTGACTGCCAGTCCCTGTGGACTGGCAAATAAGGTACCTTATCATACCTCCATGTCAGATTGATGAGACCTGATTGGTCCACATGATCTTGATAAAATACTGTGTAACCCGCCTATGAGGTTAATAAGTGTCTCAGCGGGGGAATAAATCTCGTATACCCTGCCACAAACACTACAGGCTGCATGTGATTTTCTGAGAGAAAAGAGAAATCCTTTATACCCTACTTCAAAGCAAAAATCCGCACGCTTTTCCGAAACAATGGATGTCATGTGACGATGGGTGTCATAGCGCGAGGTAACTTCAGCTCAATCGAGCAGCTGTTTTCTATCAATTTGGAATATATTTGAATTATTTAACAATGTCGTATTAAAACATGTCGGTAAAATAAATTCGTTGTAGCAGGGTCACTCAGGGTACAAGGGGTTTTATACAACTCGCCTCCTGCGTTAGGTTTTATATTAAACCTCACGTGGGACGCATAAAACCCCATGTACCTCGCATGATCCTTTTACAACTTATAGGGGCGGTCGGGTAGCCTAGTGGTTAAAGCGTTCGCTCGTCACGCCGAAGACCCGGGTTCGATTCCCGACATGGGTACAATGTGTGAAGCCCATTTCTGGTGTCCCCCGCCGTGATATTGCTGGAATATTGCTAAAAGCGGCGTAAAACCAAACTCACTCACTCTACAACTTATATTGAATATCGACAACAAAAATTGGGTGGGACAGGTCATTTTTAAGCCATTTTCAAAAGCCAGCATGAGCACTGACTTAGGACACATTTTTATCGCATTTTGGGAGAGACGTGAAGCCTGTATGCGACAAATATTTACTTCTTCCCATTCACTGTCTCAACAAAAACATCCGCTGTTTATATTATGCAATAGCTTCTGCGAATTTGCTGATATGATCGAAAACTTTGCTTGCATGCATGTTGTCACATTTACTTTCGTTTACTGTAAAACATGAAATTAACGCGAGCGCGAAAAATGCGAGTGGTCTTTGCTCGCATTATTAAACATCGCATTTATATCAACAATAAGACATTTTGGATAGCAGAAATACCAAATACAAACAACTATGTATTCCACATCAATGTTTATTGAGCAGCACTTGTAACAATTACATACACAATGTCATTCAAACACTAATTACATCCTGTGAATTGTCACTGCTGGGGTCAAGACAAGAGTTCTACTCACTCATGTCATCACTGATCACACCTGCAAGTCCAGACAGATGCCACCCAACACGGTGTCTTTGCACTTTGCGACTGCATCAAAGACCGACACAAGCCAGCTCGCAAGTATTGTTTTAGTGGAAGTACTCTACACAGCGCTGATAAGCGGTGCTATTTGGTGTGTGATTGGATTAATGTAAGGTTGGATTAGGGTGAGGATTCTCCTGTAAACCTGACAGGACATTTTGTTCAGATATAAATCCACTTGAGAGGAGGGTGTGTCGCATTCATATTGAGTCGCTATTTTTGCTAGGGGCCAGCAGTCACATTCTTTTGGAGACACATTAATTTCACGTTTTACAGTATTATTATTTGAAATGTCAAGCTTAACGTGCGTCAGTTCCAGCTCAAATCCCATCCTGTTCGCACGCCATGTCCAAACATCCAATCAGATTTAACTCCATCTGGACACTCAGATTAAACCTATCAAATGTTTAGTAGTATAGTTTAGCCCACTACCATTTCAATGATTAAACATGGTGGACAAAGATGTATTTAATAGGGGTGAAACGATACTGCAAGGTAACGATACGATACGTATCATGATACACAGATCGTGATACGATACGTATAGCAATACACATATTCACGTCAAATTGCATGGAAACTTCTTGACAATAAATATTTCAGAGCTGCTTCAAAAGGAAAAGCTAGCTGTAGACACATGATTGTAATGCAGAGGACCAGATAAGCTTTTGGTGTTGCGGGTATTTTACCCATGCATTTTAAAATCATTGGGTATCAGTAATTCTATCTGCGTATTCAAATTTCTGTTACCCACTAGTTTTTACACATGTGGGTATTTAAGTTAAATATTTAAAAACACTCTTCATCAAGTCCCTGCAAACTGGTGTCGTGTGGGTTCGAGAGCTTTACAGGACCCAAAAATACCACGATACTTCCACAAGAAAGTGTGATGGCAAATGATCATGATGTAACTGTCATCGTGGAGTTTGGCAAGGTTGACGGAATGCCCATTTATAATTTCAAAATAAGTTGCTGATTTGCTAATCGAATACGCAGGGTTACTTCACAATATTTTGATGATACTCACACGTTTTATTTTTGTAGCGTATCTGTAATGTTTGTTGCGTATTTGATACGCTTGGATTTTATTTTACTGTGTATTTATGCATTTCTGATGCGTATTTCACACAGATATGCAGCTTATCTGGAGCTCTGTAATGGCTTTTTTTGGTAGTGAACTTGAAACGCTAATTACAACACATTTTCCATTATCTGACTGATAAAAAAGCCAGGGGTCAATAAACGAATTCCCGTAGTAAGTAATTTGTTTCAGCAAGTGTATTGCCTTGTATCGATACTGAGAAAAATGTATCGTATTGACATGTGAAAAGTCACGATGCACGGGTGCACTGATATATCTTTTCACCCCTGGTATTTAATACACTTGCTTCACTCTGTGATGACCTTGACGGCAGCATGTCCAAACAGCCAGTCAAATTCATCCCTATCTGGACACCCAGAATACCCCTATCAAATGTTTAGTGGTATAGTTTAGCCCACTCCCATGTCAATGGTTAGACCCGTGAAGATTCGAGTAGAATAGGTCTTCAGCAACCCATGCTTGCCGTAAAAGGCAACTATGCTTGTCGTAAGAAGCGACTAACGGGATCGGGTGGTCAGGCTCGCTGACTTGGTTGATGCGTGTCATCAATCCCAATTACGTGGATCGATGCTTATGATGTCAATCACTGGATTGTCTGGTCCAGACTCGATTATTTTCAGACCGCCATCGTAAAGCTGGAATATTGTGCACGTTAAACAACAGACAAACAATGTTTAGACACGGTGGACTGATATGTATTCAACACAGTACGTGTGACTTGCTTCAGACTGTGATGACCTTGACGGCAACATCCAAGTGTTCCAGCAACCTGGCCTCACCCAGAAAGCAGTCATAGGCAGCAACTTGACCTTGACCTGTGGTGGAAACTTCGGATGTCCAACAGCTGATAAGGATCGCCATGCCAACTGGTCCCGTGTGTCCCCAGATGGCAAGGCCCATCCCCTTCTCCCTGATGCAGATAAACATTACAGGATTGTCTTCAGTCATGGGTAGGTAGCCAGGGCTCCATTTAAGGAACTTGAGTTAACTTGCACCATGTCGACATAAAAACCAGGTTGCACCAAAAAACCCATCTTCCTGAGGCAAGGGCATTAACTGACTTTTAAAGTCCAGTTTCCACCCTTGACGAACTAAGCTGCAATTTTCAAGCTCGATCATAGCACCACCACTTGCTATTACGAGTGATGTCCCATCTATGTCCCTCCTACTGACCAATCAGATTCCACCTCTTCTGTCACTTGCAATAGCTTCAAGCAAAATGGCAGCGCCCAGTCAAGTAATAAAACGGGTCTTACCTCGCAAAGTGGATCAAATCACTTGAGCACCTTGATTGAAAACATGAAAAGATTTCCAAACTATCTGTCGACGATCTGTTTGTGGCACACATACTTTGCAAATCCTTCAGTCGACAGAGATCTGCACGTTGAAATCTATATTGTTTACTAACCGGATGTCCAGTTCGTTTCGCAATTTTGATTGGACTATGCAGACTTGTTAGTCGGACCAAAATGTAACTCCGGAATACCAGCCTAGTTCTGCAAGGATGGAAACTAGACTTTTACTGCCAGTTAACTCTCTTACCTCGGGAAGACGCAAAAGACCCACACAGGTTGCATCCTGGTCCAAAAAATGTATCAAAGTTGAAACATAGCCAGTCTGCTGCCACTGTTGCATAAATTAATTATAAATTGCTGTACATAACCCACAGTTTGATGACTTCAAACCTTAAAAAGCATGACAAATTACACAAAACACAGAGATAAGCAATGTACATGTAGTATGGTAATTATATAACTTCGTTGGGCAGGGGACATAGAAACGGGCTCCGTCCGTCCATCACGTTTTGTTTCCGTAGCATAACTCAGAAACCGTTATATATTTTTTCATGAAACTTTGCATGTCTGTCAGATACAACAGTTAACTTTATGCTGACATCAATGTCATACGATGTATATTTGTTAGTTCCAGAGTTGAAGATACAACAGTTAACTCTGTACTGACATCAATGTCATACAATGTATATTTGTTAATTCCAGAGTTGAAGACACAACAGTTAACTCTGTACTGACATCAATGTCATACCATGTATCTTTGTTAATTTCTCAGTTGAAGATACAACAGTTAGCTCTATACTGACATCAATGTCACACAATGTATATTTGTTAATTCCAGAGTTGAAGATACAACAGTTAGCTCTATACTGACAGTGAAAGGAGTGAGAATGTCAGACTTCAATCAGACTTATATCTGTCATCTATCAACAAACACCAGTGTACTCACATGGAACCTGACAATACACAAGCAGGGTAAGTTTGTTTTCTATCTTTGTGTCCAAATTTCTCTTTGGTTCACTCACTCACTCACTCACTCACTCACTCACTCACTCACTCACTCACTCACTCACATAAATACAAATCATTTCTTATTAGAGACTGGTCCTTTAATGAGGGGAGCGGGAAGATTAATCTTGTATTTTGCCAAGACACACTAGGACTGGGATGGGAGACTCGGGTACCCGGGTCGGGTGGGTACTGAGTAGGACCCGGGTACCCACAGGACTACCCGGATTCGTATTTAGTCACGTGATATGTTGTTTAATGACAAACATTATCTAGAACTCTATGGTTACACTACAAGTCACTAATGTTCGCATTTCTTTCTGACTATGCATCCATTCCTTCTGATTTCTCATATGGTATAATGATATAACTTAGTTCAACTTCAGTGTATGCATGACCAGACTGTTCAATACATGTATCTTAATATGTTTTGCCAGGGCTATGCTAAAAATGTTACCAATCGGACATTTTGAGACATTCCTGAGACCTACAGCTGGTACCCGGGCAGTAAATTTGGACTCATCCCAGCCCTAACCCTAATACACACAGACACACACACATCTTTTATGTCAAATCATTTTCATTTTTGACCCCCTCTCCCTCCCCTCCCCTCCCCCTTCCCTACACACACATTTCATGTCATATTTTTTCATTTTCTAGGGCCCCCCTCCCCCTTTCAGTGTGGAAAGCTGGAGGGAGAATAGGTCTTCAGCAACCCATGTTTGCCGTAAAAGGTGACTATGCTTGTCGTAAGAGGCGGCTAACGGGATCAGGTGGTCAGGCTCGCTGACTTGGTTGATGCATGTCATGGATCCCAATTGCATGGATCAATGCTCATGATATCAATCCCTGGACTGTCTGGTCCAGACTGGATTATTTACAGACCGCCGTCACATAGCTGGAATATTGCTGTGTGCGGCGTTAAACAACAAACAAACAAACAACAACAACAATCAGTTGGAAGATCCTGTGTGTCAACTATACCCTTGTTTCATTTTCTATCCCCCCCTCCCCTTCAGGGTGGAAAGATGCTGGTGATGTGAAGCCCTGATCGTGTGTTTCAGATGTCCAGGAGAAGTTGAAGTGGATGGAGATAGTCGTCAGTGTGGGGGTTGTGGGGGGTTTTGCTCTTCTTCTGGGGATAGCAGTGGTTGTCTACTTGTGTTACAAGCCTCAGGTTCACTACAGATTTCACAGAATGCGTGGCCACCTGCTTGTCCGAGGTAGGTTTCTCTGTTTTTTTAGGGTTTGATAGTTTGTTTGTGTCTTGACTGGGCATTGCCATTTTGTTTGGAGCAATTGCAAGTGATAGAAGAGGTGGAATCTGATTGGTCAATGGGAGGGACATAGAAGGGACATCACTCGTAATAGCTACTGGTGGCGCTATGATCGAAATGAAATCGAAATCCGGTTCGTAAACTGTCATGCAGATTTCGGCCAAATGCAGGATTTGCAAAGCATGTGAGCCGCAACTCGGTGTGAACAGATATTTTCCAAATCTTTTCATGTTTTTAATCAAGGTGCTCACATGATTTGATGCATTTCGCAATGTAAGATCCGTTTTATCACAAAATAGATGTTGATTATCGATCAGATCGTCTTGACTGGGCGCCGCCATTTTGTTTGAAACAAATGCAAGTGATACGAAGGGTGGAATCTGATTGGTCCGTAGGAGAGGCTTAGAAGGGACTTAACTCGTAATAGCCACTGGTGGTGCTACGATCGAGCCCAGGAATTCCAGCCTAGTTCAGCAAGGGTGGAAACTGGACTTTTAAAGTCAGTTAACTCTCTTGCCTCGGGAAGATGATTGCAGACATGTCAAGGGAAGAAACAGCATGCTATATCAAATAGCATTGTTTTAAGTATTAGGATTTTTTTATTTTGGGGAAAATGGAAATAAAAACGAAACGTTCAGCTGACTTTACAATGATGCGGGCAGTGCCTGAGAACCAAGACAATTATTTTTTTTAGCCTTACTTTCTGCAATAAATTGAAAAGGGTATTTTCAATTTTGTCTAGATAAGCCATGTTGCTTGGTGTTTTACTAAAGATTATATTTATTCCTGAACTCAATTTATGTACTCCAAAATTAGTAGAATTTCAGTATTTTCAATTTTGCCAGTTCATATCCTTTTACTTGAATTGTTTGAAGAGCTGTGTTCCAAATTAAGCAGGGAGGCCAAGAACATTAGTGAAGGACATCAGTGAAAGTTCCAACTGGGAGGGAGGACTAGCTCCTTTCTTTTCCTTTCCCTGACACTGTCCCACAGTGAAGATTACTGGTCCTCATTGAAGTGAAAATTGAAATTCTAATTACTGTTGACACATGCAATAGGAGTTTTACAAAACTTTTTTTTTTCAATGTAATCCACCACTCATCTACATTAGCTAGCCCTAACTGATTCCCAACCCTGACAGATCCCCAACCCTGACAGATCCCCAACCCTGACAGATCCCCAACCCTGACTAACTCCCAACCCTGACTGACTCCCAACCCTGACTGATTCCCAACCCTAACTGATTCCCAACCCTAACTGATTCCCAACCCTGACAGATCCCCAACCCTGACTGACTCCCAACCCTGACTGACTCCCAACCCTGACTGACTCCCAACCCTAACTGATTCCCAACCCTGACAGATCCCCAACCCTGACTGACTCCCAACCCTGACTGACCCCCAACCCTGACTGACTCCCAACCCTGACTGACTCCCAACCCTAACTGATTCCCAACCCTGACAGATCCCCAACCCTGACTGACTCCCAACCCTGACTGACCCCCAACCCTGACTGACTCCCAACCCTGACTGATTCCCAACCCTGACAGATCCCCAACCCTGACTGATTCCCAACCCTAACTGATTCCCAACCCTAACTGATTCCCAACCCTGACAGATCCCCAACCCTGACTGACTCCCAACCCTGACTGACCCCCAACCCTGACTGACTCCCAACCCTGACTGATTCCCAACCCTGACTGATTCCCAACCCTGACTGATCCCTAACCCTGACTGATCCCTAACCCTGACTGACTCCCAAACCTGACTGATCCCTAACCCTGATTCCTTGTTGAAGGTCCCAATGAAGAGGATTTCCACGACACTGCTGTTATACATGGTACTTCTGACAAGATCGCTGACTTTGCCAAGGAGGAGATTATACGTCCTCTGCAGAATGAAGGCTACGATGTCTTCACCCATGAAAGTCTTCCAGATTCCGCAAGTGAGTGTTTGCTTACATTACACGTGAGAGAGTGAATATGTTTTAGGGAGATCTTAAATATTTCAGCAATATCACTCTTTATTACTTATGAGGGCAAATATCGGGGTTCATAAAAATCATACGTGCCCTAGGGTCATATCACGTCACAGGACAACAGTGTATTGTTTCCGTCATCCGGATGGCATTGTTGACGTCATTTGAATCTTATTGTGACGTCAAGTCGAAATGACACAGCACTAGATTGTTGACGTCATTCGACAAATTGTGGTTCCGCTGCTGTTGCGACTTGCTGTCCTCGTAGGTAATCACTAAAATTTGTCTCTGTATGTAGACATCTTCTTCGGTAATAAATAAAACATTATATTCGTGTTCATGTCATACTATGTTTACGACACTCGTGCCTAAGTTCCGGTATTTAAACACTCATGTTGTAAACATAGTATGACATGAACATGATTATAATATCCTCTATGTGTGATGCAGTGAATGGCTTTTAACTCTTGGAGGGGTGACACTAGGGATGTCATGATTCACAAATACATCAGTCTTTCAAAATATTCTCAGACGATACAATACGCGATACACACTTACATGTATCGATTCATGTTTTAATTCTGTATCGTTTCAAACATGGACCAATTCATACAAATTTAATTAATTACTTTTTGGAGGAACATCTTAAGTATTTCACAAAATACTTATGTTGACATTCTAGTTTTATTTGAAATAAAATATTGATTGAAATGTGACATTTGTATTATTTGATGGTTATTTGCAAGTATCTAAGTTACATGAAACTCTCTGACTCGGGGGGCGGTCGGGTATGCCAGTGGTTAAAGCGTTCGCTCCTCACGCCGAAGACCCGGGTTCGATTCCCGACATGGGTACAATGTGTGAAGCCCATTTCTGGTGTCTCCTGCCGTGATATTGCTGGAATATTGCTAAAAGCGGCATAAACCCATACTCACTCACTCCCTCACTCACTTTGTGGAAGTTGTTTGAATGTCTGTTCTGTTGTATTTCAGCTGTGATCGAGCCGGTTGATGCGATCGAACGGTGTATGAGTGTGATTCTGGTCCTGAATGCGGCCGAGATGAGTAGGGAAGAAATGAAACTACTTGTGAGTGTTGCAATGGACTGCCACGGCACCCGAATGGTGGTCATTGAGATGAAGGACAAACGATCCACTGGATCCTTGAGGGAAGAGGTTCTTGACAACTACCTCAACGACCTGCCCAAAGTTCTAAAAACAGTCCCGTGGTACGGATCACGGAACATGAGCAGGCGACAGAAGGACAACTTGTTGTACACCATCAAGTCCTCCCTCCCTGAACCACGGGGAAGTGTTGAAGAAGGGCGCAAGAGTCGTGTCAACCCAAGACAGACAAGCAGTTCAAGCACTGCACGACTACTACCAGGAGGTGATCAGTCTGTTTCTTCAGTTTCTGGAGCTGATATTGAAATGAGAAAGTCAAACTCAGAACATCCAGATTTTGCGGATGGTGAAGGTAATGATGAAGTGTTCAGTGTCGATGTGCAGTCTAGACCTGTTTCAAAGTCAAGGCCAACATTGCGTCGCTCCGATCGTGTGTCAAGCAGTAGTCCGTTTGTGAAACAACTTTCAGACGATAGTGGCTATGCAAAGTCTCCATGTTTTGGCTCAGAGCCGAACGAATCAAGAATTCCTTTTAAAGATGCATCACATGACAACTCGGCAGTGGGATCAGATGGGGGCGTACGTGCAGCTGTACCTAATTTCTAGTATTTCCCCATCATTTTGAGAAAGTAAATTTCTAAGACATGTTTCCTCATCTTCACCAAGTCCATCATTCTTGGGGTAGAATTATTTATGATGTTATGTAGACTTTACATTGTATGATAGGCATTACTTTAAAGTTGACAGATGACAAAGTGGACACACTTTATGGATAACAGTTTCTTTATTTACTGTAAAGGCGATGTTTTGGTATAGATCCTTATACCATTGTCAAGCAAGGCTGACTTATGTTTACTTGCTGAAAATACACAATCACAGGTGCTGAAAAATCACGGAATCATTATTGTAGGGCCAGGTACGCGACTCGCTATTACCCAACCTACCCGGGTACGCGACTCGCTATTACCCGACCTACTGGGGTACACAACTTGCTATTACCCGACCAACCCGGGTACACAACTTGCTATTACCCGACCTACCCGGGTACACAACTTGCTATTACCCGACCTACCCGGGTACACAACTTGCTATTACCCGACCTACCCTGGTACACAACTCGCTATTACCCGACCTACCCGGGTACACAACTCGCTATTACCCGACCTACCCGGGTACACAACTTGCTATTACCCGACCTACCCGGGTACACAACTCGCTATTACCCAACCTACCCGGGTACACAACTCGCTATTACCCGACCTACCCGGGTACACAACTCGCTATTACCCGACCTACCCGGGTACACAACTCGCTATTACCCAACCTACCCGGGTACACAACTTGCTATTACCCGACCTACCCGGGTACACAACTCGCTATTACCCGACCTACCCGGGTACACAACTCGCTATTACCCGACCAACCCGGGTACACAACTTGCTATTACCCGACCTACCCGGGTACACAACTCGCTATTACCCAACCTACCCGGGTACACAACTCGCTATTACCCGACCTACTGGGGTACACAACTTGCTATTACCCGACCAACCCGGGTACACAACTTGCTATTACCCGACCTACCCGGGTACACAACTCGCTATTACCCGACCTACCCGGGTACACAACTTGCTATTACCCGACCTACCCGGGTACACAACTTGCTATTACCCGACCTACCCTGGTACACAACTCGCTATTACCCGACCTACCCGGGTACACAACTCGCTATTACCCGACCTACCCGGGTACACAACTTGCTATTACCCGACCTACCCGGGTACACAACTCGCTATTACCCGACCTACCCGGGTACACAACTCGCTATTACCCAACCTACCCGGGTACACAACTTGCTATTACCCGACCTACCCGGGTACACAACTCGCTATTACCCGACCTACCCGGGTACACAACTTGCTATTACCCGACCTACCCGGGTACACAACTCGCTATTACCCAACCTACCCGGGTACACAACTCGCTATTACCCGACCTACCCGGGTACACAACTCGCTATTACCCGACCTACCCGGGTACACAACTCGCTATTACCCAACCTACCCGGGTACACAACTTGCTATTACCCGACCTACCCGGGTACACAACTCGCTATTACCCGACCTACCCGGGTACACAACTCGCTATTACCCGACCAACCCGGGTACACAACTTGCTATTACCCGACCTACCCGGGTACACAACTCGCTATTACCCGACCTACCCGGGTACACAACTCGCTATTACCCGACCTACTGGGGTACACAACTTGCTATTACCCGACCAACCCGGGTACACAACTTGCTATTACCCGACCTACCCGGGTACACAACTTGCTATTACCCGACCTACCCGGGTACACAACTTGCTATTACCCGACCTACCCTGGTACACAACTCGCTATTACCCGACCTACCCGGGTACACAACTCGCTATTACCCGACCTACCCGGGTACACAACTCGCTAATACCCGACCTACCTGGGTACCTGCTGTTGGCCTCCAAACTAGGGTACAAAATGTCCGACTTGGAATTGTTTTACTAGAGGCCGGGCAAAAATCTTAGATACAGGTTTAAAACAATCTGATCGTGCATTCACTGAAGTTGAATGATGCTTTGTCTTTACTCAAACATATAAATGTCAGAAGGAATGTTTGCATAGTCAGAAAGAAATTTGAACATTGGCAATCGCAGTGTAACAATGGAGTTTTATTTGCCATTACACAGTACAGTCAAGTCTCGTTATTCCGACAATCGGCTTTATCCGACACTAATGATGGGAACCGATTAAACGATTAAATCAGTGATATTTAGACCTCTTAATCGGATATTCTTGCACTCCGACTTCGACTCCGACTCCGACACTCCTAATTTGCAACGAAGTACAGAAATCACTCATTAATCTGTCTCGTTAATCCGACACAGTGATCAGCTTACTCCGTGGTCATCTGCCTGCGAGTACACAGCCAGTGTTTTGATGCGAGACGAGCCGTCTGCTAGCTGCATATTACAACGGCTGTAGAGATAAACTTGTTCAACAATAAACAAAAAGAAGCTTTTGATAAACAAAACAATAATAATCACATGCTTAGATTACTGTTTATTTCGTTTATTCGACATACTCGTTAATCCGACATGATTATCAACCAACCATGTCGGATTAACGGGACTTGACCGTATATCACATGACTAGTCACAGGTCCGGCTCCCCAGGAATGACCCGCCCGGAGGACTGACGTTACCCACCCGAGCCATATTGTCATGTGTGTTGTATGTGTGTTGTATGTTTGTTTGTTTGTTTGTTTGTTGTTTAACGCCGCACTCAGCAATATTCCAGCTATATGACGGCGTCCATAAATAATCGAGTCTGGGCCAGACAATCCAGTGGTTGACATCATGAGCATCGATACACGCAATTGGGATTGATGACATGCATCAACCAAGTCAGCGAGCCTGGCCACCCGATCCCCTTAGTCGCATCTTACGACAAGCATAGTCGCCTTTTACGGCAAGCATGGGTTGCTGAAGACCCATTCTACCCCGGATCTTCACGGGTCGTGTGTTGCATGAAATCAGACTGAACTGAAATTCACCTGTGACGTCATATGACTTCAACTGAAACTGACCGATCAGCCTTTGACATTTTTTGTTTTTTTATCAATTGGTTTACAGATCTGCTGTCCATAAAAATCAGGAAAGTAGGGGAAAAAAATTATTCTCAATTGACACTTTATCACTGAGTCTGAAAACTGATTTGGCAATAAAATATACCGTATTCGATGTAATAAGCGCCCTGCTCTTATAAGCGCCCACAGTGACATTTGCTAAGATATTGGCTTGTGAACAATCCCAATTAGCACCCCTTCCGATTGATCAATGTACACAAGACTTATTTATTCGGGTATAATACGCACTCGTGTGTTATATGCACCCTTATATTGTCAGATATAAACATTTCAGGCTGTCAGCATAAACCACGAAATGAATTGTTCAACTCTGTTTTTTTCCCACCAAAATAATATTCGAATAAGAGCCCCCTATTTCTAATTTTGAGAGCGCCCTGGGCACTTATTACGTTGAATACGGTATCACAAACTGTTTTTATGCATGTCTGGACACAAGATGCTAAACTCACCACGACAGCATGTTAAAATAATTGTACAGGAACTTGGCGATCCTGACATTGAATTATTATTAATATTTTTAATACCATATTTTTTTTTTGAAAGTGCTTAATTTTGTTTTAAAAATGAGAGAAAAAATCTGTAAATTAACTAATAAAAAAGGCTGTGAGCATTATTAAAATGCACATTTGCAAATATTGACTTACTCTCATCAGTCAATGTAGGTTTAAGGATACTTTTTGTTTGTTTGTTGTTTAACATTGCACACAGCAAGGTTCCAGCTATATGACGGCGGTCTGTAAATAATCTAGTCTGGGCCAGACAAGCCAGTGATTAACATCATGATCATCGACCTACGTCAATGGGATACATTGACATGCATCAACCAAGTCAGCGAGCCTGACCACCTGATCCCGTTAGTCGCCTCTTCACGAGCGAAGTGTGTAATACAGTGAATGCAGCACATGTTTTCGGACATGCTAACAAGCATTGCAGTTTTTAAGACACCAATTTTTGTATACATTCCCAATTGGTCTCTCTGGAGTGAGAGTGAGTTGGGTTTAACGCCGCTATTAACAGTATTCCAGTCATATCATGGCGTGTCAGCTTAATGTGGGAGGAAAGCCCGAAGTGATGCAGGTCTCACAGTGTTTACCACTTCGGTGAAACCCACGAGCAAGGGTATGGTGCTGACAAACCTAGAAACATAATCGGGGCGAACCGGAATTCGAACCCAAAATCATAGGTTTCTGGTGTGCCCAAGGGACGCAACTCTGCATGAACAGCAAATCCCGGTGCCTTAGATGACTGGGCCACCCGTGCCCCAATGTTTCTCTGGATGATAGTCCTGTTGATAATGACAACAACAGCAACTTTATGTAGCAGGGCGTAAGATGACATCCTTACCTTGTCAGCCTGCTGACGGGGTTAACCTCTTTGGTCATGTGGACAAGGCATCCGACCTGGGTCAGAAGGTCCGTGGTTCAGATCCCATCACGGGACTCGGAAATTTTATGGCTGCTACATTGGCGCCCAATGTGGGGCTGAGCAGGTTCATATTAAATTTGAGCAAAATAAGCCTCAGTACCCTACTAAGCGGCCCGGGACGTGCCTTCTGTTGACGGGGGAGTATGTAGCAGGGCGTGGAGTCATCCCACAGATGACATCCTTACCTTGTCAGCCTGCTGACGGGGTTAACCTCTTTGGTCATGTGGACAAGGCGTCCGACCTCTGATTAGAAGGTCAGTGGTTCGGATCCCATCACGGGACTCGGAAATTTTATGGCCACTACATTTACATTGTACAGTTTTCAAATGAACTCCAACCTTGGTTAAATGCAATATTTTGTACCATGCTAATTCACATGGTAGAGGGGTTTTCTCAATTAACCTAAATTCTTTCCTATATTGCAGGTGTTTCAACCAGAGTAGTATGATGGAGACGAGGGGGCGATGGCGATGGTGAGATCTGCATATACTGATATATCCTGAATCACAAGCACAAATAATGGTCACTTTTTTGGTTTACAGATGCTCCGACTATCCGAGTCAATCTGTTTTTTTTGTTTTTTTCCTTTTTAGTTGCTCACTGGTTCTTGATAATTCTTAAAAAGTATTGATTATCAGTTATGTTTTCTGGCCTTTTTGTTATTTTATGAAATAAGGCTTTTGTGCTTCCATCTTTGTTCCGGTATTCCCTTTGTTTTTCAACCAACAAAACCAACCAATCCACACAATATGATGCTAAATGACATGTTACAAAAGGCTATGGTTTTATTTTTTTTAAACCTTTCTCACATTCACATGATAGTCAAATAATATAAACCCTAGATGAGAAAAAGACTTTCCATGCCTTTGCATGTGTTTGTGATAAGCTCAGCAAACACCTGGTGTCATCAGTATTGATAGTGATTTATTAACACATACTTATCATATGGTCGGAATCGTACCATGGACTCTGAATTTAGCAGAAATTTCTTATGATTCTGGAAAGGTTTTGTTGTTGTTATTAGATCAATCTCCGTCTTTATGCTGACCATGCTCCTGTAGTGCCCATCCTTGGTCTAGACATTGTTACTGGTGACTGGCAATCTCATTAAAATCAGATCTTAGTTCTCGCTACCTCTAAACAATAAACCCTCCATCTTGATTTGAAACCTCCTGTCTTTGTTCTGTAGTTCCCCTGGCTACAGAGATATATATGTAACTAAAGCATTTATCCATGACATAAGCTTATGACATAAAAACATGTATGTCATACCCCAATGACATAAGTATGCAAATTAGATATGCAAATTAGATAACCGGAAGTGGGACTTTTTCGCCGGTGCACGTGAGTAGGTGTTTACAAACAACATGGATACATTTGATGTTGGAGACATTATTTCAATTATTCTGGAAAAGTCTGTGCAAGTATATTGTTTAAAATAATCCGAGGAACTTTTTTTCTCAGCGAAGGAATATGTCATAACGGAGTTAGGAGGTTGTTTATTTTGGTTTACACGGCTATGGAAAACATGTATCACTACGCATGATCTATACGTAAGATTTCGACAAGTTGCTGATGTTAATGTTTAATGCAATTATTCCTTAATTGGGAAGCAAAAATGTGAAAATGATAAATAGAATTCATCACGAGTGTTTTTTAATATGGGAAATATCAACCTCGTCCCGTTAATCGGTATTTGCCTCGTCAAAGGCTCGGCAAATACCAATTAACTAAGACTCGGTTGATATTTCCCATATTAAAAAACACTCGTGATGAATCCTCTATATTTATGTAACAGGGATACAGGAATACAAAAAGTTAAAAATGTCATGTTCGTATTGTGTCCCAAGAATATTAGTCAAAACAGACCATGTGATTTGGTCATTGCGGCACATTTTTACTGGCACCCAGTTCAAGCCAGTGGTGCCTTCACTACGCATAACGGTATTGTCGCAGGCGCACATTCGTCCAGGCACAATCTCATTAAAATCAGATCTGAGTTCTCGCTACCGCTAAACAAATATCTGAGGACATCCCATTACCGGTCACATCAGAACAACCTTTCGCAAATTTTGACCAACCAATGAAATGACTGACAAGAAATTGACATCGGCCAATCAGAAGGCAGCTTTCTCGAGCTTTACGACACTAGTTTCAAACTGGCGACTACGCTTCGAAACATATTTTGACGTATTCTCGATTAAATATTTTAAACTGATAAGAAGAACATTCAGGAATGGCAAATAGATGGCCTAGATTGTATGGATATAATCATATAACCTGTAACTGTCGTTCAGAATACCCCGTGTTAAATATTTCGTGGTTGCATGATTAGAAAACACATTCCAACTGTTACTTTCATGATCTGGTAAGCGACGCTCTGATTGGTCGTATGAAAGGTCGTTCTGACGTGACCCCTAATGGGATGTCCTCACATATTTGTTTAGCGATAGCAAGAACTAAGATCTGATTTTGATGAGATTGGGTGACTGGTGTCAAGTTTGAAATGGTCTCTGTGTAGGGTAATCATGAACTGTTAGTTTAAAGTAAATCATTAAATTTGAGTTTACAGACAAAAAGTTTTGAATGATTTGAATCAAAGACTGTGAATTAGCCAAACCCTTGTCTGCCGGACTGTATGTAACATTTATTTTTAATTGGGCATTTTATTAAACATTTTGAAATAAATAAATAGCAAATTATTCAATGGCTTTGGAATGGCAAACCTAGCCATTTTTGATGCTGAACCAAAAAATAAATTAAGCCAGGCCCACTAATGAATTACTGTTTCCTGATTGGTTAATATTAGAATGGGCGGGGCTTGTGTTGCATTGTTGTGCTCAATGATGTCACTGATGTTGTATTGTTGTCTACAGTTTTTTGTCCAAATGATTAAATAAACAGTCAGTGAAGTTATATTTTTTACGGATTTATTTTAAAAATTGATTTAAATTTGTCAACGTAATTAAAAAAAAAGGTGTGCCCAGAGTTTTGTGTTTATAATTCAATAACGCAAAATATATATGAAGTCAATTCTTATATAAACCTTGATGAAAATAAGAACAACTGGGAGTGAACTTCAGCGAGCTGCTCCAAACTCAAGACTGCATCAGTACCAAGTGTGGTTGCTGTGTAGGAGAGCGCCGCCATCTAACACCATCTGTGTGCATACCCATAGCTTTTGTGTGGCTGCAAACCCTGGTCCATCATCTATCCTATAGACACCCCTATATGTGAAGCCCATTTCTGGTGTCCCCTGCCATGATATTGCTGGAATATTGCTGGAATATACTCACCCATGCCCAATCCTCCCAGAGATCCTTGCCCTTGAGAGAGCTCAACGCTTTGCCTCCCTGTGGGGTACCCGGGTCCTACTCTGTACCCCAAGTTACACATCCCCTAATACCCTAATCTTCAGTGCTTGACATAATCATTTCATCCTGACACTAATCTTGCTCAGTTTTGTACGTTGATTGAATTATTTTTATAAAATTCTGAAATAGATAAATTCTAAAAGACAGCTGTCAATGTTAAATGCTGATATTGTGACATATTAATGTATCATTGTGATGTTATAATATGCCACAGACTCCCCAAGGATATCACTGAAACATGTTAAAAGATTTTTAATGTGGTGTTATTTTTTGTCATTATGTCTTTGAGATATGTATGTGTATATTCTCATTCAAAAAGTGCTCAACGAATTTGTTATAAACATGTGTATATTTCATCCTTCAATGATGGAAATATCTGTCTATTCGGTCTTTCAACAACTCCTGTGAATGTGCACATTAACATGAAGTGAGTTTTTTTCATTTTTTTGCGGTCTGATCCATTGCGGAGATGTGGTATAGAAATGTGATGTAATTAGATATCATCTCTGAGAAAATATATGGAAATATGTTGTACATCTCAAAGAAAACTCATTGGCGTACATGATACGTGACCAGACGGACCAGTGGATGATATAATGAGCAACTACTCACGATGACACCCAATCAACCCAGTCATGGAACCTGACCATCTGATCCATCTGGTCACCTCTTACGACCAGCATACGTTGCTGGGGACCTTGTCTGACCCGTAATCTGTGAAAGGTTGACAATAGAGCCACACGGATAGGTTTACTTACATTGGACCTTGTCTGACCCGTGATCCGTCAGGGGTTGACAACAGAGCCACACGGATAGGTTTACTTACATTGGACTTTGTCTGACCTGTGATCCGTCAGGGGTTGACAACAGAGCCACACGGATAGGTTTACTTACATTGGACCTTGTCTGACCAGTGATCCGTCAGGGGTTGACAATAGAGCCAAGCGGATAGGTTTACTTACATTGGACCTTGTCTGACCCGTGATCCGTCAGGGATTGACAATAGAGCCACACGGATAGGTTTACTTACATTGGACCTTGTCTGACCCGTGATCCGTCAGGGGTTGACAACAGAGCCACACGGATAGGTTTACTTACATTGGACCTTGTCTGACCCGTGATCTGTCAGGGGCAGTTAACAACAGAGCCACACGGATAGGTTTACTTACATTGGACCTTGTCTGACCCGTGATCTGTCAGGGGTTGACAACAGAGCCACACGGATAGGTTTACTTACATTGGACCTTGTCTGACCCGTGATCTGTCAGGGGCAGTTAACAACAGAGCCACACGGATAGGTTTACTTACATTGGACCTTGTCTGACCCGTGATCCGTCAGGGGTTGACAACAGAGCCACACGGATAGGTTTACTTACATTGGAAAACTCACACATGGGACAGACATGGAACTAAAAAGGGCTTCACACTTTGTACCCACGAGGGGAATTGAACCCTGGTCCACATTATGGTCTTGTATGTTTGTTTGTTTTTTTGTTTGTTTGTTTGTTTGTTAGTTGTTTGACGCCGCACTCAGCAATATTTCAGCTATATGACGGCGGTCTGTAAATAATCGAGTCTGGACCATACAATCCAGTGATTGACATCATGACATGCATCAACCAAGTCAGCAAGCCTGACTACCCGATCCCGTTAGTCTCCTGGAATATTGCTCAAAGTAGCGTAAAACCAAACTCACTCACTCACTCATGTACAAGAATGGAATCCCATTGTGATGCAAGCTTTGTCTTTTTCATACCCCGTTATTTGAAATTATTTGAAATAAATCTTACATTCATAGGTTTTGAAGCACTAATGTACAGAAAATAATTACCCTCCCCTAATTCTTGTCCCTGAAAATACAAAATGCAAAAGCTTGTTAATTCATGGTTGCGTTAATTTCAAGATTAACATATTTTGTTCAAATTGGTATTTTGTAAAAATTCAATTCAAATGAAAGGTATGTTAACATTGCATTCAATGCAATAATGTTAAACTGAGCATTAAAGCGTTGTCCTCTATATTAGTCATGTTATGACTAAAACACAAGTCACCTGGCAAAGCCATGACATTAGTCATATATAAATGACATATGATAGATATGATAGTGATTCATAAACACATGATCATGGAGTTGTACTATGGACTTTGTTTTATCAGATATTTAATGTGATTATGAGAAGGGTTTTGTTGCTTATATTTAATATATTAACAACGCGTGTGGTCTGATGTTGATTAATGAATAATTTGCATACTCATATATATATGCAAGGGGCCGACGTATGGTTCTCAGTAGGAAGTGACAAATTGGAGACGATGGCTTGCGGTATATACAGTTTTACTTTATACATGTAGATATGTACATACAAAAGACACTATGTGTCAGGTCAGCACATAGTGGTAGTGGTTGTTGTCTAGGTGCCCCAGAGCACCCAGCCTAAGCCTTAGCCTACAGTTAGCCTGAGTGTTTCAAGGCATATAGATGTCATGGCTCCAGGGTAATGAACCGTTGCAATTAAATGTTCTTGAGACAATGGGTGTCGTAAATCAGTCGCTATGACAATATGCAGAAGCCCGAGGTCTTCCATTAAATGCCCGACGAAGGAAGGCAGTTGAAAAGACCGAGGGTTTCTGCAAATGACAATGCCCTGAAAATAGTGTTACTGTTATTACAGCTAAAATGGATGGAATTTGTTATCACATAAATAGAAACAATATCGGTTTTGAAAAATTTACTGCAATCAACACGAATGTCACTGACCCACTTTTACAAATATGGAAACGTCATAGAACAAACCAGATGACGTCACTATTGAACGTGACGTCACCTATCCCTATCCTACGACGTCGCCTAACAACGGGCGTGATAATGGCCAGTTGTAAAGCAACAGCAGCCCGCTCATTTTTGATATCATGCGGGCGGTTTAATGATAATTCTATCCATTTTACCTATAATTATAAATATAACAGCATCAATTGGGAATGTTTTATTCCAATTTGGGAGTTTTTACTGACATTTACTGCAGACTTAGGGTAAAATTTCGGCTACAATCAGGCCTAGATATATCCCTGGAATGGGTCGCAAGTGTTTATCACAATATATGTTTAGGGTGTACAAGGTGATGATATCAAAGTCTGGGTATTGCCGCTCAATATTTCCAGGTTAAAATATTTCTTGTATAAATGTAAGATAACAAATGACCTACCATGATTTGTACAAGTCTATTCATTTTAGTAAAAATGGTTTGAATGAGTTTTTTTACCGGTTGGGAAATGTATCTTTGTTTATTAGAAAACCGGTAAGAAACTACTAATTACTACTTTTTTAGAGAAGCTGCCATAACATTGTACATCATAATTTAAATCTAATATGTGTGAATGCTGCCTTTGTGTTGTCCAGTGAAAGAACTACAATTGTTTGTTTGTTTGTTGTTTAACGCTGCACTCAGCAATATTCCAGCTATATGACGGCGGTCTGTAAAATAATAGTCTGGACCAGAAAATCCAGTGATTGATATTATGAGCATTGATCCACGCATGCATCAACCAAGTCAGCGAGCCTGACCACCCAATCCCATTTGTCGCCTTTTACGACAAGCATAGTCGCCTTTTACGGCAAGTATGGGTTGCTGAAGACCTATTCTACCCCGGAATCGAAAGAACTACAAAATAAACCCTCTATCTTGATTTAAAACCTCATGTCTTTGTTCTCTAGTTCCCCTGGCTACAGAGATATATATGTAACAGGGATACAGGAATAAAAAAAGTTAAAAATGTCATGTTTGTATTGTGTCCGAAGAATATTAGTCAAAACAGACCATGTGATTTGGTCATTGTGGCACATTTTTACTGGCACCCAGTTCAAGCCAGTGGTGCCTTCACTACATTAGGGGTCACGTCTAAACGACTGAATCCTTACAATCTAGACCATCTAGTCCTGAATGTTTTTTGTTCAGGTTTCAAATTTGTAAATCGAGGATTTGTCCAAATATGTTTCGAAGCGCCAATTTGAAATTTGTGCCGTAAAGCTCGAGAAAGCTGCCTTCTGATTGGCCAATGTCAATTTCTTGTCAGTCATTTCATTGGTCGGTCAAAGTTCGTGCAAGGTCGGTCTGACGTGACCCGTAATGGGATGTCCTCAGATCTTTGTTAAGCGGTAGCAAGAACTAAGGTCTGATTTTAATGAGATTGTCCAGGCACCTGCTTGAGAGCCTGTATCTGCTTAACCTTAGCCTGCTGAATTTTTTTAGCATGAGGCGCCATAAAGAGGATGGGCGATTTCAAACAGTCGGTTCATCATTAAACAAGGGACAGTTGAAGAACTATTTCGCACATTTATTCCTGAGAGAAAACAACGTGTTATTATAATATAAAAATAATAAAAATATCCTAATGTTTTCAGTCAAACCAAGGTTTAGACCAAAGCGAACATAAATATTTTAAATTTTGTTGAACTTACCTGAATTATGTTATTGAAGGTGGTATGCATTTCATGTTAGGAACCTGTTAAAATCGTTAAATTTGTGCAAATTGTTTCAATAATTATATCTCTGATATCTTAATTCTAACTCGATTTTTATCCACCCGATCCCGTTAGTCGCCTTTTACGACAAGCAAAGTCGCCTTTCACGGCAAGGATGAGTTGCTGAAGACCTGTTCTACCCCGGAATCTTCACAAGTTACATCTTACATGACAAGGTATAAACAAAAGCAGACAGGGATGCAAGTTGTAGCTTTTAATTAAACAGAAAAACATCACAGCACTCATGTTTTTTAAAGCAAAGCCAACACTCAGATATTGTATGGCTTTTGTCACACTGCAGTATCCTTTGGTGTGGTTTTTTTATAATTACTTGGGTTACGGATCTAACCCCCCCCCCAAAAAAAAAATAAATGAAAATTGTGAAGAAAAAATAAATAAATAATTTTTTAAATATTTTTTTTATCTCTCCAAAGGATGTTGAAAAAAATCTTCCGAGAAGGCAGATAGGGAAGAAAAGTAATCCGTTTGACGTATAAAACTTCCCATAACATTTGGTATTTAATTTTATAATGATTTACTGAAACAATACTTAAAAAGGATAATTTTAAGAAAATATGTTTGGGAATGTTTGCTTTTATCTTTAGTTTGACTACCATTCCCATGGTCCTTGAAAACAATCTGCTTACAAAAAATAATTAAACAGAGGCCTCGATATGTACCACTCTAGTCAGCCATAACTAATACTGTCGTAACCATTACGTGTCACATCAACTTTTCTTGTCCAGTATGTCATCAATGTCTTGTATGAGTTTGTTCGTTTGCAGGAGAGCATGTCTCACTGAACTAAATCCATCCAACATTTCCATCGTACGCTTATCACTTGATCCCATTGGCTGCAGCTGGTTGCCTGGATACATCATGTTAGCTGGAATATGATTGGATGATGGTCTAGAGCTCTGCACAAAAGACCCTGACCCAGGGTAAGAGGAATGAAGTGAAAGATTGTTTCTGATTGGCTGTGGATATATTGTTGATTGCCATGAATTTGATGTTAACTTGTCTGTCATTGGCTGAGCAGGTGTCGAACTATCAATAATTGGACAGAATTGATTGGATGTCACAGATTGTTGAATACTGTTTGGTGCAGATTTCAGTCCTTGATATTGTGGCACAGATCCCAGGCTGCTGTAACCATGGTTACTTCCCATGATGTCGGTTGTACCACCGTTTCCTGTTGCCATGGATACTGGATCCACCTTGCTGGCGGAAGCTGCTCGAAGGACAGTGTTCTCCACGATGTCTGATGTCATGTGAAGGAAGTTCACCAATGAGTGAAGGAGTACCCTTATTAAAACACTAAACCTTTTTATCGCCCCAAAAACAGTAAATATTTCAGCAAAATAAAAGTCTTATATTTCCCGATCCATATGTCCTAATTATATTATTGGTAGAAAAAGAAATGATTAATTGAGTGAGTGAGTATGGTTTTACGCCGCTTTTAGCAATATTCCAGCAATATCACGGCGGGGGACACAAGAAATGGGCTTCACACATTGTACCCATGTGTTCAACGTGACGAGCGAACACTTTAACCCCTAGGCTTCCCGACCGCCCAGAAATTATTAAGCTAAGTGTGTTTTCGAAATTGTAAATATCATATTTTAAATATAAATTGTTTTGTGCAAGCCTATGGCAAAATATACCATATATGGCCGTAGATAAGCCGAACTTTGAGGACCAGAAAAAAAAAAGATTCTGCAGAAAGGGGTCGGCGTAAGTAAAGGTTGCACTTTCATCAAACTCTTTTTCTGTTATTAAAAAAAAGTAACATTTACGATACAGAAATACATGAGGATAAAAATCTCTTTATCTTACAATGTCATATATAAAATAACCAAAGTTAAAGACATTTAACCTGAGTGGTTTAACGCCGCTTTTAACATCATTCCAGTTATATGTGTCACCTTAATGTGGGAGGAAAGCCCGAAGTGATGCAGGTCTCAGACGTTTACCACTTCAGTGAAACCAACGAGCACGGGTATGGTGCAGACAAAACTAGAAACATAATCGGGGCGAACCGGGATTTGAACCCATAATCATAGGTTTCTGGTGTGCCCAAGGGACGCAACTCTGCACAGGGAATCACAGCGCCTTAGACAAATGGGCCACCCATGCCCCCACATTTAACCTGGACCCTTGGTTTGAAAGGATACAATTGAAACAGTTTATTTTCTGAAGCTCCAGGGCTGCTGACCTGAAAAACATGAGAAACAAAATGTTAGCTTACTCATATTGTTGTGGCCAACAGCATGAGAAGGGGCAGAATGTTTGTTGGTTGTTAGTTTGTTTATTTGTTGTTAACGCCGCACTCAACAACATTACAGCCATATGAAGGCAGTTTGTAAACAATCAAGTCTGGACCAGACAATCCAGTGATTGACATCATGAGCATCGATCCATGCAATTGGGATATAATGACATTCAACAAGAAAGTCTGACCACCCGATCTTGTTAGTCGCCTCTTACGACAAGTATGGATTGCTGAAGACCTTCTAGCCTGGACCTTTATCAGGTGTCCTAAACTTCACGGAAGCTTGTTTTAATCAAATTCAAATGTAAATTAAAATAAAGCCTTTTGTTTTCATTGGGTGTGTGTGTTTGGTCTATAGTGTCCCTGACTTACCCTTGGGCGTTCACCGTCTGTCCCAGTCTCTCGTAGAACTGTTTCCTGTCGAGAGGGGAAGCGTTTACCCATGACGCCCACTCCGTGGCCTGACTCACGTATCTGCAACGGATGACAGCACAGCGATAAAAACTACTGTATTCAACATAAAAAGCGCAAAGGGCGCTCTCAAAATTAGTAATAATTAAGGGGCACTTATTAGAATATAATTTTGGTGGAAAAAAAACAGTGTGTAAGATTGTAAATTTCTAGGTTTATGTACCTGAAATGATACAAAAGAAAACTCTGTGCGTTTTATACACCACAGATATATTTTTCCAGGATTTAATTGCCCATAATTAAGGGTGTATATAACACAGGAGTGCGTATTATACACTAATAAATAAGTCTTGTGTACATTGATCAATCGAAGAGATGCTCATTGGGATTGTTCACTAGCCAATATATCAGCAAATATCACTGTGGGTGCTTATTAGAGAGGGGCGCTTATTTACGGTAATACGGTAACTATTTTAGTCCACTAGTCCTTATAATGACAACCTATAGAAAACCATTAAAAATGGCAAATTTCTTCTAGTCCTTATGATAGCTTAATTATTGGTCAGTTTGGCAAGGACTACAGGACAAGTGCCAATTTCTAACGCTGTGATAGCTTAACTATTGGTCAGTTTGGCAAGGACTACAGGACAAGTGCCAATTTCTAACGCTGTGATAGCTTAACTATTGGTCAGTTTGGCAAGGACTACAGGACAAGTGCCAATTTCTAACGCTTTGATAGCTTAACTATTGGTCAGTTTGGCAAGGACTACAGGACAAGTGCCAATTTCTAACGCTGTGATAGCTTAACTATTGGTCAGTTTGGCAAGGACTACAGGACAAGTGCCAATTTCTAACGCTGTGATAGCTTAACTATTGGTCAGTTTGGCAAGGACTACAGGACAAGTGCCAATTTCTAACGCTTTGATAGCTTAAAGGGGAAGTGTACACGCAAAAATCACTTTCTTTCTTTTTCTAAACAAAACGCAATTTTAGAATTAATTAGTATCTGTGTTTGAAAATATACACTAATTTTTTTTCACAGTGAAAGTAGGAAGCTCACAATAGTGTTAAAATGATATGCCGTTATGAGGCCTTCGTTTGACGAGCGAAATAGGCCTGAGTTATCCCCCTTAGATTATGACGTAATTGGTGCCAATTCAACTGGGTCCCTGTCTATTCTCAACGCAAAAGATATCAAGGACCAGTTTGCGGTCAAACAACATGGTCTACGACACACTCTGGCGCAGTAGTGACTCAGCATAACACAATTCTGGCTGGCATCTGAGACGCTAGAATCACAAAACTGTACCTACACCACGTGAAGCGGCTCTAACAAAGCATGATGACGTCATAATGTTTATCAATTGGCACCAATGACGTCATATTGCAAGGGGCATAAGCCATGGTGTTTTTGTTATGGAAATAGAACACTTGGTAAATGTGAAAAATATAAATCGTTTTAATGCAAAAAATATGTTAATTAAATATGATGTTTTTATATTTTTGTCTATGACACTTCTATGTTAACACTTTTAATGTGGAAAAAGTACAAGAAAAATTGGTTCATTTCCGTGTGAACTTGCCCTTTAACTATTGGTCAGTTTGGCAAGGACTACAGGACAAGTGCCAATTTCTAACGCTGTGATAGCTTAACTATTGGTCAGTTTGGCAAGGACTACAGGACAAGTGCCAATTTCTAACGCTGTGATAGCTTAACTATTGGTCAGTTTGGCAAGGACTACAGGACTAGTGCCAATTTCTAACCCTGCAGCATCACACATACAAGGATGAGAACGGATATTTTCCTTTTCAGCTGAATCTTCTTTTCAATAGAGCATGGTCCATAATTTGGAGGCGTTTAACAAATTTGTGGTCACTAAAAACCGTGGAAATTCGTGGATCCGTGGAAGATTCTCACCCCTGCACATATACAGCACCATCAACCGAGGTGAAGTATTTTGTCCCCAACTTAACATCCAGTTGCACTGGAGACCACAACAAAGGCTCTGTAGCTCACTTGAATTTTTTTGGATTGTTTCTCAGCATTAGGTTTAAAGGGCAACAAGACTTTAACTTTGAAAGAATTGAACTATGGGTGGCTTTTTTCTTCGCGGATTTAAAATTTGCTTATTATGGACTAAAATCGCAACTGGTTTGTCTTGTGTCGAGCGCTATTCTCTGTTTTTAATCATAAATGTACAGGGATTAGAATGTGCTTTTTTTTTAAAACACAGTAAGTTTCTGGGCAACTATGTGTTTATTGTAATGGCCTGTGTCACAAAAGTGAGCCTTGCCGAAATTAGCGGTTTCGTGGTAAATTCTCAATCCCAAATGTTTATATGGTTGAAAAATTGGCAAAACTGACATTTTCAATATTTCAGACATTTTCTAAAATAAAACAGAATTTTGTGAGATGTTTTTGAAACTACGTAGCTGGAATTATCCTTTCAACATCACTGACCAGACAAGCATGTTGTAGACCAGACAAGCATGTAGATCAGACAAGCATGTTGTAGACCAGACAAGCACGTTGTTGATCAGACAAGCACATGGTAGTTAATCTTTGCTATAGGATACACGACTCACTTGTGGTACGTCCCAGGTTTCAACTTGTTGACCAGGATGTATTTCCCAGAAGGCAGCAGGAGGCGGCAGGTGTCGCTGTCAACTTCGTTGTCAAGAGCGGTGACAGTTGCAACGTTTGGGAGAGAGGAGTTAACACACTGGAATATGATCAGAAAAACATGCTAGATCATATGTTCTTTTAACATCAGATATACAACCTAGATCATGTGTTCTTTTAACATCAGATATACAAGCTAGATCATGTGTTCTTTTAACATCAGATATACAAGCTAGATCATGTGTCCTTCTAACATCAGATATACAAGCTAGATCATGTGTTCTTTAAACATCAGATATACCAGCTAGATCATGTGTCCTTCTAACATCAGATATACAAGCTAGATCATGTGTTCTAACATCAGATATACAAGCTAGATCATGTGTTCTAACATCAGATTTACAAGCTAGATCATGTGTTCTTCTAACATCAGATATACAAGCTAGATCATGTGTCCTTCTAACATCAGATATACAAGCTAGATCATGTGTCCTTCTAACATCTGATATACAAGCTAGATCATGTGTTCTAACATCAGATATACAAGCTAGATCATGTGTCCTTCTAACACCAGATATACAAGCTAGATCATGTGTTCTTTTAACATCAGATATACAAGCTAGATCATGTGTTCTAACATCAGATATACAAGCTAGATCATGTGTTTTAACATCAGATATACAAGCTAGATCATGTGTTCTAACATCAGATATACAAGCTAGATCATGTGTTCTAACATCAGATATACAAGCTAGATCATGTGTCCTCCTAACATCAGATATACAAGCTAGATCATGTGTCCTTCTAACATCAGATATACAAGCTAGATCATGTGTTCTTTTAACATCAGATATACAAGCTAGATCATGTGTTCTTTAAACATCAGATATACCAGCTAGATCATGTGTTCTTTTAACATCAGATATACAAGCTAGATCATGTGTCCTCCTAACATCAGATATACAAGCTAGATCATGTGTCCTTCTAACATCAGATATACAAGCTAGATCATGTGTCCTCCTAACATCAGATATACAAGCTAGATCATGTGTCCTTCTAACATCAGATATACAAGCTAGATCATGTGTTCTTTTAACATCAGATATACAAGCTAGATCATGTGTTCTTTTAACATCAGATATACAAGCTAGATCATGTGTTCTTTTAACATCAGATATACAGGCTAGATCATGTGTCCTCCTAACATCAGATATACAAGCTAGATCATGTGTCCTTCTAACATCAGATATACCAGCTAGATCATGTGTTCTTTAAACATCAGATATACAAGCTAGATCATGTGTTCTTTTAACATCAGATATACAAGCTAGATCATGTGTTCTTTTAACATCAGATATACCAGCTAGATCATGTGTTCTTTTAACATCAGATATACAAGCTAGATCATGTGTCCTTCTAACATCAGATATACAAGCTAGATCATGTGTCCTTCTAACATCAGATATACAAGCTAGATCATGTGTCCTTCTAACATCAGATATACAAGCTAGATCATGTGTTCTTTTAACATCAGATATACAAGCAAGATCATGTGTCCTTCTAACATCAGATATACAAGCTAGATCATGTGTTCTTTTAACATCAGATATACAAGCTAGATCATGTGTCCTTCTAACATCAGATATACAAGCTAGATCATGTGTTCTTTAAACATCAGATATACAAGCTAGATCATGTGTCCTTCTAACACCAGATATACAAGCTAGATCATGTGTTCTAACATCAGATATACAAGCTAGATCATGTGTTCTTTTAACATCAGATATACAAGCTAGATCATGTGTTCTAACATCAGATATACAAGCTAGATCATGTGTTCTTTTAACATCAGATATACCAGCTAGATCATGTGTCCTTCTAACACCAGATATACAAGCTAGATCATGTGTCCTTCTAACATCAGATATACAAGCTAGATCATGTGTCCTCCTAACATAAGATATACAAGCTAGATCATGTGTTCTAACATCAGATATACAAGCTAGATCATGTGTCCTTCTAACATCAGATATACAAGCTAGATCATGTGTTCTTTAAACATCAGATATACAAGCTAGATCATGTGTCCTTCTAACACCAGATATACAAGCTAGATCATGTGTTCTAACATCAGATATACAGGCTAGATCATGTGTCCTCCTAACATCAGATATACAAGCTAGATCATGTGTTCTAACATCAGATATACAAGCTAGATCATGTGTCCTCCTAACATCAGATATACAGGCTAGATCATGTGTCCTAACATCAGATATACAAGCTAGATCATGTGTCCTTCTAACACCAGATATACAAGCTAGATCATGTGTCCTCCTAACATCAGATATACAAGCTAGATCATGTGTTCTAACATCAGATATACAAGCTAGATCATGTGTCCTCCTAACATCAGATATACAGGCTAGATCATGTGTCCTAACATCAGATATACCAGCTAGATCATGTGTCCTTCTAACACCAGATATACAAGCTAGATCATGTGTCCTTCTAACATCAGATATACAAGCTAGATCATGTGTCCTTCTAACATCAGATATACAAGCTAGATCATGTGTCCTTCTAACATCAGATATACAAGCTAGATCATGTGTTCTTTAAACATCAGATATACCAGCTAGATCATGTGTCCTTCTAACATCAGATATACAAGCTAGATCATGTGTCCTTCTAACATCAGATATACAAGCTAGATCATGTGTTCTTTTAACATCAGATATACAAGCTAGATCATGTGTCCTCCTAACATCAGATATACAGGCTAGATCATGTGTCCTAACATCAGATATACAAGCTAGATCATGTGTCCTAACATCAGATATACAAGCTAGATCATGTGTTCTAACATCAGATATACAAGCTAGATCATGTGTCCTCCTAACATCAGATATACAAGCTAGATCATGTGTTCTAACATCAGATATACAAGCTAGATCATGTGTCCTCACATCAGATATATACAAGCTAGATCATGTGTTCTAACATCAGATATACAAGCTAGATCATGTGTCCTCCTAACATCAGATATACAAGCTAGATCATGTGTCCTTCTAACATCAGATATACAAGCTAGATCATGTGTTCTTTAAACATCAGATATACAAGCTAGATCATGTGTCCTCCTAACATCAGATATACAGGCTAGATCATGTGTCCTCCTAATATCAGATATACAAGCTAGATCATGTGTCCTTCTAACATCAGATATACAAGCTAGATCATGTGTCCTTCTAACATCAGATATACAAGCTAGATCATGTGTTCTTTTAACATCAGATATACAAGCTAGATCATGTGTCCTTCTAACATCAGATATACAAGCTAGATCATGTGTCCTTCTAACATCAGATATACAAGCTAGATCATGTGTTCTTTAAACATCAGATATACCAGCTAGATCATGTGTCCTTCTAACATCAGATATACAAGCTAGATCATGTGTCCTTCTAACATCAGATATACAAGCTAGATCATGTGTTCTTTTAACATCAGATATACAAGCTAGATCATGTGTCCTTCTAACATCAGATATACAAGCTAGATCATGTGTTCTTTAAACATCAGATATACAAGCTAGATCATGTGTCCTTCTAACATCAGATATACAAGCTAGATCATGTGTTCTTTTAACATCAGATATACAAGCTAGATCATGTGTCCTTCTAACATCAGATATACCAGCTAGATCATGTGTTCTTTAAACATCAGATATACCAGCTAGATCATGTGTCCTTCTAACATCAGATATACCAGCTAGATCATGTGTCCTTCTAACATCAGATATACCAGCTAGATCATGTGTTCTTTAAACATCAGATATACCAGCTAGATCATGTGTCCTTCTAACATCAGATATACCAGCTAGATCATGTGTTCTTTAAACATCAGATATACCAGCTAGATCATGTGTCCTTCTAACATCAGATATACAAGCTAGATCATGTGTTCTTTTAACATCAGATATACAAGCTAGATCATGTGTCCTTCTAACATCAGATATACAAGCTAGATAATGTGTCCTTCTAACATCAGATATACAAGCTAGATCATGTGTCCTTTTAACATCTGATATACAGGCTAGATCATGTGTCCTTCTAACACCAGATATACAAGCTAGATCATGTGTTCTAACATCAGATATACAAGCTAGATCATGTGTTCTTTTAACATCAGATATACAAGCTAGATCATGTGTTCTAACATCAGATATACAAGCTAGATCATGTGTTCTTTTAACATCAGATATACAAGCTAGATCATGTGTCCTCCTAACATAAGATATACAAGCTAGATCATGTGTCCTCCTAACATCAGATATACAGGCTAGATCATGTGTTCTAACATCAGATATACAAGCTAGATCATGTGTCCTTCTAACATCAGATATACAAGCTAGATCATGTGTTCTTTTAACATCAGATATACAAGCTAGATCATGTGTCCTCCTAACATCAGATATACAAGCTAGATCATGTGTCCTTCTAACATCAGATATACAAGCTAGATCATGTGTTCTAACATCAGATATACAAGCTAGATCATGTGTTCTAACATCAGATATACAAGCTAGATCATGTGTTCTAACATCAGATATACAAGCTAGATCATGTGTTCTAACATCAGATATACAGGCTAGATCATGTGTCCTTCTAACATCAGATATACAAGCTAGATCATGTGTCCTCCTAACATCAGATATACAAGCTAGATAATGTGTCCTTCTAACATCAGATATACAAGCTAGATCATGTGTCCTTCTAACATCAGATATACAAGCTAGATCATGTGTCCTTCTAACACCAGATATACAAGCTAGATCATGTGTCCTAATATCAGATATACAAGCTAGATCATGTGTCCTTCTAACATCAGATATACAAGCTAGATCATGTGTCCTTCTAACATCAGATATACAAGCTAGATCATGTGTCCTTCTAACATCAGATATACAAGCAAGATCATGTGTTCTAACATCAGATATACAAGCTAGATCATGTGTTCTAACATCAGATATACAAGCTAGATCATGTGTTCTAACATCAGATATACAAGCTAGATCATGTGTCCTTCTAACATCAGATATACAAGCTAGATCATGTGTTCTAACATCAGATATACAAGCTAGATCATGTGTTCTAACATCAGATATACAAGCTAGATCATGTGTTCTAACATCAGATATACAGGCTAGATCATGTGTCCTTCTAACATCAGATATACAAGCTAGATCATGTGTCCTCCTAACATCAGATATACAAGCTAGATCATGTGTTCTTCTAACATCAGATATACAAGCTAGATCATGTGTCCTTCTAACATCAGATATACAAGCTAGATCATGTGTTCTAACATCAGATATACAAGCTAGATCATGTGTTCTTCTAACATCAGATATACAAGCTAGATCATGTGTCCTTCTAACATCAGATATACAAGCTAGATCATGTGTCCTTCTAACATCTGATATACAAGCTAGATCAAGTGTCCTTCTAACATCAGATATACAAGCTAGATCATGTGTCCTTCTAACACCAGATATACAAGCTAGATCATGTGTTCTAACATCAGATTTACAAGCTAGATCATGTGTTCTTTTAACATCAGATATACAAGCTAGATCATGTGTTCTAACATCAGATATACAAGCTAGATCATGTGTCCTTCTAACATCAGATATACAAGCTAGATCATGTGTCCTTCTAACATCAGATATACAAGCAAGATCATGTGTTCTAACATCAGATATACAAGCTAGATCATGTGTCCTTCTAACATCTGATATACAAGCTAGATCATGTGTCCTTCTAACATCAGATATACAAGCTAGATCATGTGTCCTTCTAACACCAGATATACAAGCTAGATCATGTGTTCTAACATCAGATTTACAAGCTAGATCATGTGTTCTTTTAACATCAGATATACAAGCTAGATCATGTGTTCTAACATCAGATATACAAGCTAGATCATGTGTCCTTCTAACATCAGATATACAAGCTAGATCATGTGTCCTTCTAACATCAGATATACAAGCAAGATCATGTGTTCTAACATCAGATATACAAGCTAGATCATGTGTTCTAACATCAGATATACAAGCTAGATCATGTGTTCTAACATCAGATATACAAGCTAGATCATGTGTTCTAACATCAGATATACAGGCTAGATCATGTGTCCTTCTAACATCAGATATACAAGCTAGATCATGTGTCCTCCTAACATCAGATATACAAGCTAGATCATGTGTTCTTCTAACATCAGATATACAAGCTAGATCATGTGTCCTTCTAACATCAGATATACAAGCTAGATCATGTGTTCTAACATCAGATATACAAGCTAGATCATGTGTTCTTCTAACATCAGATATACAAGCTAGATCATGTGTTCTTCTAACATCAGATATACCAGCTAGATCACGTGTCCTTCTAACACCAGATATACAAGCTAGATCATGTGTCCTTCTAACATCAGATATACCAGCTAGATCATGTGTTCTTCTAACATCAGATATACAAGCTAGATCATGTGTCCTTCTAACATCTGATATACAAGCTAGATCATGTGTCCTTCTAACATCTGATATACAAGCTAGATCATGTGTCCTTCTAACATCTGATATACCAGCTAGATCATGTGTTCTTTTAACATCAGATATACAAGCTAGATCATGTGTCCTTCTAACATCAGATATACAAGCTAGATCATGTGTCCTTCTAACATCTGACATACAAGCTAGATCATGTGTCCTTCTAACATCAGATATACAAGCTAGATCATGTGTTCTAACATCAGATATACAAGCTAGATCATGTGTTGTAAGATCAGATATACAAGCTAGAAAGCTCAAAATTAGAAATGGGGGCTCTTACAAGAATATTATTTTGGTGGAAAAAAAACAGATTTGAAAGTTTGTAAATTTTCGTTGTTTATGCTGACAGCCTGAAATGTTTATCATAAGTCTTGTGTACATTGATCAATCAGAAGGGGTGCTAATTGAGATTGTTCAGTAGCCAATACGTTAGCAAATATCGCTGTGGGCGCTTATTAGAGCGGGGGGCTTATTACGTTGTTTACGGTAAGCCATCTAGCTGTGTTTGGTTTTATGAATGGATCAGTAAAAGGCAGTGACGACACCAGGGGTATGTGAAGGGTAAGCTAGTCCTGCCCTACCGATACCACTCACACAATAAACATAAAAAGATAAAGTGCTTGTAGCCTGATGCCTACCATGCAACGGTGGGCTGTAAACAAACCAGACAATCAAATAATTGACTAAAATTCTATAGACACTGCACTGACTCTACCTGGTGACTGTCTGCATGACTATCACATTCCTCAATGGGCCTACCTGGGGACTGTCTGCATGACTATCACATTCCTCAATGGGCCTACCTGGGGACTGTCTGCATGACTATCACATTCCTCAATGGGCCTACCTGGTGACTGTCTGCATGACTATCACATTCCTCAATGGGCCTACCTGGGGACTGTCTGCAGGACTATCACATTCCTCAATGGGCCTACCTGGGGACTGTCTGCATGACTATCACATTCCTCAATGGGCCTACCTGGGGACTGTCTGCATGACTATCACATTCCTCAATGGGCCTACCTGGGGACTGTCTGCATGACTATCACATTCCTCAATGGGCCTACCTGGTGACTATCTGCATGACTATCACATTCCTCAATGGGCCTACCTGGTGACTGTCTGCATGACTATCACATTCCTCAATGGGCCTACCTGGGGACTGTCTGCAGGACTATCACATTCCTCAATGGGCCTACCTGGTGACTGTCTGCATGACTATCACATTCCTCAATGGGCCTACCTGGTGACTGTCTGCATGACTATCACATTCCTCAATAGGCCTACCTGGGGACTGTCTGCATGACTATCACATTCCTCAATGGGCCTACCTGGTGACTGTCTGCATGACTATCACATTCCTCAATGGGCCTACCTGGTGACTGTCTGCATGACTATCACATTCCTCAATAGGCCTACCTGGGGACTGTCTGCATGAGTATCACATTCCTCAATGGGCCTACCTGGGGACTGTCTGCAGGACTATCACATTCCTCAATGGGCCTACCTGGGGACTGTCTGCAGGACTATCACATTCCTCAATGGGCCTACCTGGTGACTGTCTGCATGACTATCACATTCCTCAATAGGCCTACCTGGGGACTGTCTGCATGACTATCACATTCCTCAATGGGCCTACCTGATGACTGTCTGCATGACTATCACATTCCTCAATGGGCCTACCTGGGGACTGTCTGCAGGACTATCACATTCCTCAATGGGCCTACCTGGGGACTGTCTGCATGACTATCACATTCCTCAATGGGCCTACCTGATGACTGTCTGCATGACTATCACATTCCTCAGTGGGCCTACCTGCTGACTGTCTGCATGACTATCACATTCCTCAATGGGCCTACCTGCTGACTGTCTGCATGACTATCACATTCCTCAATGGGCCTACCTGCTGACTGTCTGCATGAGTATGCTGTGCACATTCCTCAACCCGCCTGGAGAAGTCGCAGACCATGTCCAGAGATGTTCGGTCATCAAACACCACGCGGACCCGACCGTTAGTGTGTGCCGTGAAGCGCCCGGCGCCGGGGATGTACGCCTCTTCAAGGATGCTCACGGACAAAGGCTCCTGGACTGTTGTCGGCGCCACCTGGTGGAGAAGTGAGTCAGTTAATTAGATCAGCAACACTACAAATATATCATGGTAGGAAACTGTAATTTGTTCAGCAACAGATGGCTGATGTGTTGACCCTCTTCCAGGTAAATCACCCACGTCCACTGTGGTTGGTTGGTTTGTTGTTTTACGCCGCACTCAGCATTATTCCAGCTATATGATGGCAGTTTGTTAATAATCGAGTCTGGACCAGACAATCCAGTGATTAATATCATGAGCATCGATCCACGCAATTGTTTGTTTGTTTGTTGTTTAACGTCACACTCAGCAATATTCCAGCTATATGACAGAGGTCTGTAAATAATCGAGTCTGGACCAGACAATCCAGTGATTGACATCATGAGCATCGATTTTGGGATCGATGACATGCATCAACCAAGTCAGCGAGTCTTACCACCCGATCCTGTAAGTCGCCTTTTACGGCAAGCATGGGTTGCTGAAGACCTGTTCTACTCCGGAATCTTCACGGGACCCATGTCGACTGTTACACCATTTGTCCCAAGTACACATCATTCTGTTGGATTTTGACTATTTGTTTGGGTTAAGTTTATGTTTAGCGGGCTTTGTTTAAGTTGGAAGGGAAGTAACTCTTATTTGTTGCTGGTATCGATATGTGCAAGAAACTGTGCTGTTAGCAAGGGACCATGGAGGTTATAAAATGGCAATTACTCTATTACTAGAAAATACAAAACTTCAGTAACCAAGAAGTAAGACATTATTAATGTGGCCACTTATTTACATATTTGTTTCTAAATATTAGTATATTTCATAGATGTTTCTGCATTGTATTGCAGTCCAGTATTTTAACTCAAAGGCACTCTTCAACTTTGAACAAGTGTTAGAACATGTGTCTATTAACTAGAATAAACTCGATGAAGCTTAGGCCAGGCTTTTTTTATTTTTAGGATTACAGATATTTCAGCCCAAAGTCCAGGGTTGGAGAAGGGGAAAAAAAAGAAGAAAAAGCCAGATGCATTTTTGTTAATGCAGAATGCATCTGGTATACTTTATGAACATATTGTGTGCTCAAAAAAATGCCATTTGTGACAATAAAGCCCCTTGTAACAATAAAATTCTACCACTTACAACACGGACAATTGTCAAGGCTTTGAGATCAACAAAGATCAATTATGTATCTCTTTACTAGTTTACAACGGTAAATTCATATGTTTTTTATTAAAAGGTGATGATAACAAAAAAAATAACTATTTATAATAAAATAATTTATAATAAATATTTTTTTTACATTTTCTCAAGAATTGGAGTCGGCAGGTCCGTAATCCGAAAAATATAAAACACCTGGTCTTACGAGTGAAAATACACAATCCTCAAAACCCACACATTCTATGGTTAGGTTTTAATCTCTTATGGTGATGAAAGACGAGGCTGAGGTTCTATTTATCATCTAACAGTATCCAACATCATTCGTCCAGTTCTTTTTAGTTGAAAACAGTAATAAGCAGTGTCTTGAGTGCACCCAGCTTCAGCAGCAGAAAGATTAGCAATGTCATTTGATTGTGATGTCATTGTGATGCAGTTTCATTGCCGTGATATCTCCTGGGAGAGACTACTTGATCACACACAAGTGATATCTTGTGGGAGAGACTGCTTGATCACACAAAAGTGATATCTCGTGGGAGAGACTGCTTGATCTCAGCCAAGTGATATCTTGTGGGAGAGACTGCTTGATCACACAAAAGTGATATCTCATGGGAGTGACCGCTTGATCTCAGCCAAGTGATATCTTGTGGGAGTGACCGCTTGATCTCACACAAGTGATATCTTGTGGGAGTGACCGCTTGATCACACACAAGTGATATCTTGTGGGAGAGACTACTTGATCACACACAAGTGATATCTCATGGGAGTGACCGCTTGATCTCAGCCAAGTGATATCTTGTGGGAGTGACCGCTTGATCACACACAAGTGATATCTTGTGGGAGAGACTACTTGATCTCACACAAGTGATATCTCGTGGGAGAGACTGCTTGATCACACACAAGTGATATCTCGTGGGAGAGACTGCTTAATCGCACACAAGTGATATCTCGTGGGAGAGACTGCTTGATCACACACAAGTGATATCTCATGGGAAAGACTGCTTGATCACACACAAGTGATATCTCGTGGGAGAGACTGCTTGATCACACACAAGTGATATCTCCGGCGGAGGCCAGTTTTGGATGATAAATGATGTTATCACATCTTGACACGTCTTATTGTGGGAACCAAATTCTTATTTAGTTATCTTTCAAAACAATCTTTGGAATCTACATCTTCTTCTTAGAGGCAGCCAAAAAATTTAACTTTAGGCCCGTAATGAATGTGGTTTAAGCCTGTAAGTTCTCATGTCTGAGTCAGTAAGAGGGGCTACAATGGTGGTCTACGATCCAGACTTCTCAATTGTCACATGTTTTATTATAAATACTCAAAGCTTCATTTCGGAAGTGACGTCCAAATCTCCATCTCTCTTTTCACCAAGAGCACAGGATTTCTCTCACTCAAAAGTGCTATGTGACTGATGCGAAAGAGAACAATGAATGTGAATGGGTCTGTGGCATTTATCATAACCTCTCAGCAACCACTTTGTTGTTTGTTAGTTTGTTGTTTAACTCCGCTCTCATCAATATATGATGGGGATCTGTAAATAATCGAGTCCGGACCAGACGATCCAGTGATTGACATCATGTGCATCCATCCACACTGGACATGCATCAACCAAGTCAGCGAGCCTGACCACCCGATCCCGTTAGTCGCCTCTTACAACAAGCATAGTCGCCTTTTACGACAAGCATGGGTTGCTGAAGACCTATTCTACCCCGGATCTTCACGGGACAGCAACCCATGAGTGAGTGAGTGAGTGAGTATGGTTTTACGCCACTTTTAGCAATATTCCAGCAATCTCACGGCGGGAGACACCAGAAATGGGCTTCACACATTGTACCCATGTCGGGAATCGAACCCGGGTCTTCGGCGTGACGAGCGAACGCTTTAACCACTAGGCTACCCGACCGCCCCCCAGCAACCCACGAGATGAGGGACTACACTAACGTCCTACCTTCCAGCATGGCTGCTCCTCAGAGTGGGAGAGCTTGTCTCTCTGTACGGCTTCACACAGCAATCTGTCAGGAGAATCAGAACATTGTCACATGTGCTCATACATCTCCTCTTGGTCAGCCAAGGAAAGGTCTAATAGTTGATGTCATCTTGGCCACAAAGAATATATAGCTTCATACTTATGATGATGACAGGAATATTATAAATAATAACTTCTCTCTGATACAGACACAACGTTTCACAGCTACTTCGTGCCTCTCCGTAAGATGTCAGGAGAATCATTCATTTTATTTCCAGTACATATAGGCCACAGGCCTTCATGTACAAAAATTGAGTACAGACAGGTTTTAAACATTCAGTTTCGCATTTCTTACTTCATTTGCATATTATAGATATTTTGCTAGATTTGTAATAATATATGTATCTGGTGATGACAGAAGCATATTAAATTTATGGACGTTAGGATGACAATAGAACTTTGCTTTGAGATATAGTTGCCGTAACTTGACATACGATGGACAAATAAGCAGGAAGTGGTACTCGGTTTCAAGGAGAATCAGAACATTGTGACATGTGCTCATACATCTCCTCTTGGTCAGCCAAGGAAAGGTCTAACAGTTGATGTCATCTTGGCCACAAAGAATATATAGCTTCATACTTATGATGATGACAGGAATATTATAAATAATAACTTCTCTCTGATACAGACACAACGTTTCACAGGTACTTCGTGCCCCTCCGTAAGGTGAACAACAGAGTTGGGGAACATGCCATATATAAATATACATACTAACGTACGCATAAAAAGCCATTTATAACTATAGTCTGGAAGGTAATTTAAGGTACCAATGTTTACTACAATATCTGAAAAACTATTGGACCTACTCCAGTCACGGGTGGTAGCCTTATGCAGATGGCTGTTTCAATGAATGCTCTTTCCACCCGTGACTGGAGTAGGTCCAATAGTTTTTCAGATATTGTAGTAAACATTGGTACCTTAAATTACCTTCCAGACTATAGACGATCCCGGGCCGCGTCATACAAAAAGACGTTAAAAGATTGTACTTGTTGTTACCCTGTCTGGCGCTCGGCATTAAGGGGCTAAAACAAGGACTGGTTGGCTCGGAGTCAGTATACTGTGTCTGAGTGGGGTATTCATGTTAAACTGCGGCATGGTATCTCAGTGAGCTAGCACTATAAATCGGCATCAGTCCGGACTAGTACAAGCAGCCACACACACACATACACGTGCATGCACGTCGCTATATAAGTGCAATAATCTTGGACGCGACGTTAAACCCAATTTCACCTCACCTCACCTCCAGACTATAGATACATACAAGTGAAGCCAGTTGTGACAAAATTATTGTTGATATATCAATTACATTCCTGTCATAATATACTCACCGCCAAAAGAAACATGAATACCATACATGTTGGTTATTACCATATTCGACGTAATAAGCGCCCCGCTCTACTAAGAGCCCACAGCGATATTTGCTAATATATAGGCTAGTGGACAATCCCAATTAGCATCCCTTCCGACTGATCAATGTACACAAGACTTATTTATTCGCATACAATACACACTCTTGTGCTATATGAACCTTTAATTATGGGCAATTAAATTCTGGAAAAATATATCTGTCGTATATAAAGATTTCAGGCTGTCAGCATAAACTACGAAATTTATCTTTCAACGCTGTTTTTTTCCACCAAAATAAAATTCTTAATCTATTTCCAATTTTGAGAGCGCCCTGGGCGCTTTTTACATCGTATACGGTATATGAAGAATTACTCATATTCAAGAGATATTAGATTTATTTGATACACAATGGTATGTTGTGTGAACTGACGCTTGGGAATACATTGCATGTGACGTAAAGATCCATGACTTGAGATGCACCATTTGTCTCGTGCAGGATTATCTTGTAAAGTTTGGAAATCACGTGCAGCATATCATGAAAAGAATGAAGACACTCTGTGGAAACACTTGACTGATGTCAGTTTTGTCATTAATTGGTACAAACTGGAAACATCTCTTCTTAACATAAATACTTCTCTATATGGTTATAAGGTTCACGTTTCTTTTGGCATTAACGTAGGAAGAATTAAGTGGCGCCGGTTTGAGATGGTTGCCACTTTTGTGTAATCCGCACGCACAGGTGCCAGGGATGGAAAGTTGCACAAGGTAAGTGAATTTTCCTGATGACTGACTCTGAGTGACAATGGGTTATAAGAAAACAGGACGTGAGGTATTATTTATTTATTTATGTTCTGGCTGGTTGGACAAGGTATGGAAGTGAAAATACGAAATATGTCTACGTTTTTTTTGTTCTTTGTCTCCTAAGGGCTAGCAGATGTTTCAAACATTTTGTGGGTGTTTGCTATAGGTGGCCACTGTTAGGGCACTAGACATTCTTGGTTAATTTCCATACCTGCAGGTCCTGACAAACCAAGAATAATGATGTTATGTTTTTTCTTTTCTCCTTTTGTCCTTTCCTTGCCGATGTTACACCGTACACTCACCTACTTGCCCTCTTGAGCACCTTCTCCAGGGAGTACTTGGTGGTGGACGTGGGTGGAGGAAGTGCTCGTAACGAGAAAGTCCTCTCCTCCAGCTGGGGATAGAACCACTTGTTTAGTAAATCGGTTCTAGCAAATCGGTTCTAGTAAATTTGTTCTAGCAAATTTGTTCGAGTAAATTTGTTCTAGCAAATCCGTTCCAGCAAATCTGTTCAAGTAAATTCACAATTATACCCTGCTTGTGAGTGAGTTGGGTTAAGGGCTGCTTTGAGGTGTATTCGAATAATGTCAGGGCGTGTCAGCTTAATGTGGGAGGAAAGCCCGAAGTGATGCAGGTCTCCGACGTTTACCACTTCGGTGAAAGTTTGAAACCCACGAGCACGGGTATGGTGCTGACAAACCTAGAGGTGAGGTGAGGTGAAATTGGGTTTAACGTCGCGTCCAAGATTATTGCACTTATATAGCGACGTGTATGCACGTGTATGTGTGTGTGTGGCTGCTTGTACTAGTCCGGACTGATGCCGATTTATAGTGCTAGCTCACTGAGATACCATGCCGCAGTTTAACATGAATACCCCACTCAGACACAGTATACTGACTCCGAGCCGACCAGTCCTTGTTTTATCCCCTTAATGCCGAGCGCCAGACAGGGTAACAACAAGTACAATCTTTTAACGTCTTTTTGTATGACGCGGCCCGGGATCGAACCCTGGACCTTCCGCTCTCCGGGCAGACGCTCTACCACAAGACCACGGAAGCGGTCGACAAACCTAGAAACATAGTTGGGGCGAACCGGGATTCAAACCCACAATCACAGGTTTCTGGCGTGCCCAAGGGACGCAACTCTGCACAGCGAATAGCGGCGCCTTAGACGACTGGGCCACCCGTGCCCCCAAGTGAATCCAGGATTGTATATTGTATTACAAGTTCTCATAATCACATGAGATGGGTGGACCCGTGAAGATCCGGGGTAGAATAGCTCTTCAGCAACCCATGCTTGCTGTAAAAGGCGACTATGCTTGTCGTAACAGGTGACTAACGGGATCAGGTGGTCAGGCTCGCTGATTTGGTTGATGCATGTCATCGATCTCAATTGCGTAGATCAGTGCTCATGATATCAATCACTGGATTGTCTTGTCCAGACTCGATTATTTACAGACCGCCGTGATATAGCTGGAATATTGCTGAGTGCGGCGTTAAACAACAAACTAAACAAACCCACACAAGATGGTAGAGAGGTCACAAGAGGTCGTTGGTGACAAAAAACATGAAATCATCTTTCTTGTGGCAATTACAAGATAACTATTGTTTTTTGCTACATATTTCATTACTTGAGGAGCCCTTTCAATACTTGGTTAAGGGGTGTCAACAATTGTGTGATGTATGAGATAAATATTTCTTTGAACATGATTGACACACGTATCATGAATGTCCGCCATTTTTATCTTTAATATTATTTTATGACTTTGCAGCAGCTGTTTTGAACTTGGGGAAGAAACCTAACACTAAAGATCATCTACTACAAAGACTGTAGATCCTAGCCATGCAGATAATGTCCAGACAGAGTCAGTTTTGACATCTTATTGCAACAGTTTAGAGGATTTAACTTATGACTGATTTTTTAGGCATCTGCAGGAAACACATTTATTAAAACATGTCTTCTTTGTTTGTTGGTTAGCACCACATTCAGCTATATGACGGCGGTCTGTAAATAATCAAGTCTGGACCAGACAATCCAGTGTTTGACATCATGAGCATCATTCTATACAATTGGGATATGATTACATGCATCAACCAAGTCAGCAAGCCTGACAACCCGATCCCGTTAGTCGCCTCTTACGACAAGCATAGTCGCCTTTTATGGCAAGCATGGGTTGCTGAAGACCTATTCTACCTATCAGTGTTATATGCTCAAATGAAGGAGGACACAAAATTATATATGTTTGTTTGTTGTTTAACGCCTCACTCAGCAATATTCCAGCAATATGACGGCGGTCTGTAAATAATCAAGTCTGGACCAGACAATCCAGTGTTTGACATCATGAGCATCAATCTACACAATTGGGATATGATGACATGCTTCGACCAAGTCAGCGAGTCTGACCACCCGATCTTTTTAGTCCTCTCTAACAACAAGCATAGGTTGCTGGAGACCAATTCTGGCGTTATTTTTAATTTTTGTTTCTGTGGATCTGAACTGCCATGTCTCACCTTGTCCCCAGCAGGAAGGATCTGGGTGTAGAACTGTCCAGACACGCCCTGTGAGAGGAAGACACTGCCGTCCCCGGGGTAGATCTCCAGCACCTTCATGGCGGGCAGGTGGATCAATCTGTACACACACTCAACATTCAGAGCAAACTTCTACACAATAGGGGTGACTAGTTAGAAAGATAAATAGTGCTGGCACCTCATTACCTGCCCAACCATAGACTGTAGGGGCGAAACGATACAGCGAGGTCACGATAAGTATCAGTGAGTGAGTGAGTACGGTTTTACGCCGCTTTTAGCAATATTCCAGCAATATCACGGCGGGGGACACCAGAAATGGGCTTCACACATTGTACCCATGTCGGGAATCGAACCCAGGTCTTATGCGTGACGAGCGAACGCTTTAACCACTAGGCTACCCGACCGCCCCACGATAAGTATCAAGATACAAAGGTCCAATATGATATGTATCGCGATATGCATATTTCTTAACTATGAGGAGTGAGTGAGTGAGTATGGTTTTACGCCGCTTTTAGCAATATTCCAGCAATATCACGGCGGGGGACACCAGAAATGGGCTTCACACATTGTACCCATGTCGGGAATCGAACCCAGGTCTTAGGCGTGACGAGCGAACGCTTTAACCACTAGGCTACCCGACCGCCCCACGATAAGTATCAAGATACAAAGGTCCAATATGATATGTATCGCGATATGCATATTTCTTAACTATGAGGAGTGAGTGAGTGAGTATGGTTTTACGCCGCTTTTAGCAATATTCCAGCAATATCACGGCGGGGGACACCAGAAATGGGCTTCACACATTGTACCCATGTCGGGAATCGAACCCGGGTCTTTGCCATGACGAGCTAACGCTTTAACCACTGGGCTACCCGACCGCCCCTCTTAACTATGATTATTTCAGAGCTGGTTCAAGAAGAAAAGCTAGCTGTAGACACAGTTTTGTTGCGGTTATTTTTAGTAGTGAACTTAATTACCACACATTTTTCATTTTTTGACTGACAAAACGCCGAGGGGTCATTAAACGAACAGTAATGTATTTAAGCAAGATTATCGTCTTGTATTGATACTGATAAAAATGTATCATGTATCATATCGGCACATGAAAACTCATGATGCACTGGTGCACAGATGTATTGTTTCACCTCTAATAATCATTTTTTTTATGAATTCATGATATTTAGCAGCTTGCAGATTCACAAGGGATAAGAAAACATATGAAAACATGTGAAAACATATGAAAACATGTGAAAACATATGAAAACATATGAAAACATGTGAAAACATGTGAAAACATATGAAAACATGTGAAAACGGCTAGGAATGTCATCGATAATCGCGATATCGACAAGTTTTATATGTCAATACTGATTCAACAGTGTTCGAAATAAGTAACTGTGGCAGGTAGATCTTGTGTTGGGCCGCCATTTCAAATTTTTATGTGTTCTTATGCCCTGCAGCAAATTAACGTGAGTATTTACTTGTCACAATAAGCTGCCATTTTTTAAATGAGGGCCCGAAGAGTTTAGTCAGAGCCTGCAGCTTCTAAAGTCTGTGGGTTCTGGTGACAACCTGGTAATTCTTTTATTTCAAACACTGTGTATCGATACAAATTTATGAACATCAATACTAAATTAATAATTTACTGAGACAGAAACATTTACATTTATTGAGATTGCCCTGTCTAAGATTGACAATAAGAGTGAGTGAGTGAGTTGGGTTTAACGCCGCTTTTAACAGTATTGCAGTTATATCGTGGCGTGTCAGCTTAATGTGGGAGGAAAGCCCGAAGTGATGCAGGTCTCAGACGTTTACCACTTCGGTCAAACCCACGAGCACGGGTATGGTGCTGACAAACCTAGAAACATAATCGGGGCGAACCGGGATTCAAACCCACAATCATAGGTTTCTGGCGTGCCCAAGGGACGCAACTCTGCACAGCGAATCACGGCGCCTTAGACGACTTGGCCACCCGTGCCCCCCTGGACAATAAGAAGGCAGAAATTCACTTTTCAACATTTAATGGATGAACCTCGTTCATATTTAGCAATAAGTTAATTATTTGCAGGTGTACTTAGGGAATTTTTATTTCTACACATTGAGAATAACTCAATTGTTATTAATCAATATCTCAATATATTGTGACTGTGATATTGTGTACTTTTTAGTGACGTCAAGCCCTCCAATCAATGACACCTCTAGTTTAGTCTACCTGTATATAATCCCATCCACCATGATGACCTTGAGTCGGCCGGGGTTGAATCTGTCCAGGTCGCCCTGGTGGGCATCAACAGGCGCCCACTTGTGGCGGTGTGGGGCGTGGCAGGTGAGGGGGATCGGCTGAGGGAGGGGGGACATGCTGGTGTGTTTCTTGTCAATCTTCAGTGGGAGACGACCCGGGGGCATCTGACTGTTGTCCTCATCTACAAGCAACACTCCGACTTTAGTAACTAAACAACTGACTTCAGTATTTGTCGCGTTTATGGAGCTATATACGTTAAAACTGATGTCCACACTGTATAAGTGTGCGTAGTACGCAGGTTTTGAAGTTTATAACTCCATTAACATAAAAAAATATGGAAATCATTTCTTATAAATAAATACGACAATAATAATAATTTAATCCTCAACACACACAAACCTGTAGAAACGAACACAAAATCAGCGACATCATTCAGCGCAATAAGGCTACAAAATAATTATAGTTTTGGTCCTCAGGCACTGCCCGTCAGAGTGTCCACTGCATGTTTCGTTTTTATTTCCAAATCACAAAAAAATCCCAATACTTTTAAACAAAATGTGATCCAATATAGCACACAGTTACTTCCCTTCACATGTGCACCGCTTTACTGCACATCTCGTGTTATGGTCATGGCGGCAATAGGAATTTGTATGCTTGTTTATGTAGGGAGGCCCTTTCCCAGGTTGATGATACACAACTTTATTTGGTTACATACTAGTTCGAACAAGCATAAAAAAAACACCGCCCGCCGGCACTTTATTTTCAAAAATCAGTGCCTGAGAACCAATTCTTTCATTTTTTTAAGCCTAATGCTATACAAACCTCTCCCATTGTAATTAGCCAATCAGGAAACAGTAGGCAGTTTGTGGATGTGGCTGAATATTTTCTTCAGTTTATAGAAACATAAACGCCAAAACAAATTGCTTGGTCAGCCAATCAAATCCACAGAATCATGTGCAATATATTTCTTGTTGTCATTCACACTTAAAGGTGTCAAAATCGTAGTGACAAACATCCTCGAATATCCAGGGTATAATATCTCCATTTCATTCCCACAAACACCCTGGACCCGTTCAGCACCATAGTTTCAGGAGCTGCATCACTGTCTCCGTCTCCCTTATCACTAGCGTCCGCCCGGAGAGCGGAAGGTCCGGGGTTCGATCCCCGGCCACGTCATACAAAAAGACGTTAAAAGATGGTACTTGTTGTTACCCTGTCTGGCGCTCGGCATTAAGGGGCTAAAACAAGGACTGGTCGGCTCGGAGTCAGTATATTGTGTCTGAGTGGGGTATTCATGTTAAACTGCGGCATGGTATCTCAGTGAGCTAGCACTATAAATCGGCATCAGTCCGGACTAGTACAAGCAGCCACACACACACACACACGTGCATGCACGTCGCTATATAAGTGCAATAATCTTGGACGCGACGTTGAACCCCATTTCACCTCACCTCACCCTTATCACTAACCTAGCACAGAAAGTCTCTTGCTTGTGACAGTCGTTTGATTAGACAGCTGTTAAACTATTCAAAGCTGGCTCGCAACAATGATGTGTATATTTTATTCACTTCTTCAGTGCTCCAGATAACTTTTTGAGCAATTGAGTTTTTACTCTAGGGTTTCTATTCTAATTGGGTTGTTACATTTTTCATTGGGTAACCAATATTTCTTCTCTCATAAATTCATCACTCTATTGGGTTTTTCCCAAAATTAGTGAACATTTTAAGATTTTAAAAAATGAAAAAATGTTTTAGATGTATATTGACTCGGAAAGTAAATTGTGTTTCGGAAATTAGCTCATTTGTATGCATGATGAAAAAGCTTCATTTGGTATATATGTTGAGTTCTTCATTTAATGCATGCGTTTCTGTACACAAGTTAATTGAAAGTCACAGAGTCAGACCACCTATCCATTAGGTCTCCCCTTATATAGCGTAGAGGACCTAATCTAACCTTGAGAAACAGAATGTCTTTCATCTTAGGGACTTAATAACAACTGATTACTGAGAACCTATTCGAACCCAGAACAACACAATGTCTTTCATCTTAGGGACATTATAACAGCTGATTACTGAGGACCTATTCTAACCCAGAGCAACAGGATGTCTTTCATCTTAGGGACATTATAACAGCTGATTACTGAGGACCTATTCTAACCCAGAACGACAGAATAACAGCTGATTACTGAGGACCTATTCTAACCCAGAACGACAGAATGTCTTTCATCTTAGGGACATTATAACAGCTGATTACTGAGGACCTATGCTAACCCAGAACGACAGAATGTCTTTCATCTTAGGGACATTATAACAGCTGATTACTGAGGACCTATTTTAACCCAGAACGACAGAATGTCTTTCATCTTAGGGACATTATAACAGCTGATTACTGAGGACCTATTTTTACCCAGAACGACAGAATGTCTTTCATCTTAGGGACATTATAACAGCTGATTACTGAGGACCTATTTTAACCCAGAACGACAGAATGTCTTTCATCTTAGGGACATTATAACAGCTGATTACTGAGGACCTATTCTAACCCAGAACGACAGAATGTCTTTCATCTTAGGGACATTATAACAGCTGATTACTGAGGACCTATTTTTACCCAGAACGACAGAATGTCTCTTCAAGGATGAGAAAAAAATGTACAAACTTCAAAAACATTTACCCAAATTATAATAATGATGACTCCCTGAATAGAATCTGACCATTCTATGCACAGGTGGATATTCTCATAATCCTCATGTCGATTACCTGTACCTTTTCTTCAAATATCAATTATCATATCTCTCCCGCTTTTGTGTGTGATAGTTCGGCCATCACGTTTATCTATGTTGCCCAGTTACATCTTTGGAGGACAACTCACTAGATAGTCCCCTCTCAAATATAATGTCATCCAATATATGATGTCATCAAGTTTTACAAATCTCCAGAAATGATGTCAAGATAAAACAATATTTTATCGTCAAATAAACCGTTCTTCGTTCTTCTTTACTCTTTGCGATTTATCGCATAGCTATCTTATCCAATAGCTTTAATTATAGACAGACTTCTAATCTATTTGGTCGCCTTGTACGACAAGCATTATGAGCAAAGGGCACTGGCAGGGTTTAACAAAACTTGGACTGAAAATTTAAAAAAAAGAAGTAAATTACCATAACTAAAAAGGAAAATATAGTTCGATGACAGACTGGCTAACATATTACAACAGTGTCATGTAAAACATGCATCACTCCAAGTTTCTCAATTTCACAATTATAATTATGGATATTAATTACATAATCTATGACCCATGAAGATTCCGGGGTAGAACAGGTCTTCAGCAACCCATGCTTGCCGTAAAAGGCGACTTTGCTTGTCGTAAGAGGCGACTAACGGGATCGGGTGGTCAGGCTCACTGACTTGGTTGATGCATGTCATCAATCCCAATTGCTTGGATTGATGCTCATGATATTAATCACTGGATTGTCTGGTCCAGACTCGATTATTTACATACCGCTGTCATATAGCTGGAATATTGCTGAGTGCGGCGTTAAACAACCAACCAACCAACCAACCAACCAACCAACATAATCTACATCCACTAACCTGTGTGACTCTCAGACGCTCTCTCCTCCGCAAGTTTTAATGGATGCCGCCATCGAGTTGGACACTCGTTACAAGAAATATGTCTGGTGACCCATGTATACAGCTGGCGACAGGCGGGACGGTCTGCACTGCTGTTGGCGGACGACACACTTTTCTCTCTCTCTTCTGAAGAGTAACTGATGTTTCGACTCATGCTGTGTTCGCCTGTACTGTTTCCGACACTGTTTGACAATTGTCCCACATTGTGTCCGTGGTTTTGTCCTGGTAACACAGGCGAGGCGGACCTCTGTTCCAGGGAGAGTTCATGATGTCCCACTGTGACGTCGACATCAATAGTTGTACACAGCCCTTCCGATGAGATCTTGCTGATGCTGGAGATGTCGTGAGTGGCAGGTGACGTCTCTGTGCTGCCGGCACCGTAGCGCCGAAACATGGACGTCCGACCGAATGGCGTCATTACAGCTTCGTCTCCCCCACCTGGGTCTCCCTCGTCGGCGAAGTTGGTCGGTGTGGAAATACGAGTGTACGCGGGGTCGACTCTTGTCTTCTTGTCTTTGGCTTCATTAACAGATTTGCCTTCAACAACAGATTGGCCTTTCTTCGGAATCGAATTGCTTCTTGTTTCCGTGGTCTGACCTCCATCAAGTGGCCCCATGTTGCCAGCATTACTCTCCGACCGATCACCCGTCTGACATCCTGATGTATTGTTCAATGTCTGGTTACGTCCCGATAAAGGTTTTTGAGAGTCGTCACTCTTGTTCTGAGATGAATTGCAAGATGCTGACCGTCTGGATGAAGACACATTCTTATTCTTCACTGGTTCCTGACTTATTTTTGAAAGGTAACAAACAGTAAAGTCACGCTTGTGTTCTGACAGAGACAGACTGGCAAACTCGTCACAGGAGAAGATGCGGACGCTGCCATCTGGGAGGTGCTCTGCCCGGGACCGGTCAGCTGTCTTCGGCCAGGCTACCTCCTGGACGTCTGTATACAAGGGCTGAAAGACGAAACTTATCCCCTGGTGATCTGGATGATACACTTAATGTCATCAATGAATATTTGGTTCAGATTCCAGGCAAGGAACCGATGATGAAATGTTATCATTCTCAAATTACATAATTTCATTTTCATAAATTTCTGGGGGATAACAAGGTTGACATAAAGTTTTATGTGTCTGACAATTAATAAATTTCCAAACCTTTTTAGTCTACTAGTCCTTATGATGATAACATATAGCAAAACCCTTAAAAATGGCAAATTTCTACCAGTCCTTATACTGCCTTAACTATTGGGCGGTTTGGCAAGGACTACAAGACAGTGCTGTAAAGGTTTTATTTTTCTATTCTATCCATAAATCAGCCTTTTTTGACACATAAATTGTGACAGTTTGACCACCACCACGACAGCGTACCACCACGTCCTCATTGACCAGCAGGTCGTCACACAGGTAGGGTCGGTCAGCAAATCGGTTGCGGAAGTCCACAGCCTGAAGCACTTTCTGCCTGTACTCGCTGGTCACATACCGACATCGTTGTTGTATCTTTCGCAAACCTACACAAATATTACATCTTGACAATAGTTTTTTAAAGGAATACACTTAAAAGAGTCTTGTTTGATTGTTATTTAACGTCGCTCTCAGAAATATTCAAGAAAATGCCCTGTAAATAATAAAGTCTTGACCAGACAATCCAATGATTGATACTGTGAGCATAGATCTACGTCATCAGGGTGCGATGCATCTTCCTGAGGCAAGAGAGTTAACTGACTTTAAAAGTCCAGTTTCCACCCTTGCTGAACTAGGCTGGAATTCCTGGGCTCAATCATAGCGCCACCAGTGGTTATTATGAGTTATGTCCCTTCTAAGCCTTTCCTATGGACCAATCAGATTCCACCTCTCGTATCACTTGCGTTCGTTTCAAACAAAATGGCGGCACCCAGTCAAGACAATCTGCTCGATAATCAAGATCTATTTTGTAATAATCGCGAAATGCATCAAACCACATCACTACCTTGATTAAAAACATGAAAAGATTTTGAAAATATCTGTTCACATGAGTTGGCGGTGCAAATGCTTTGCAAATCCTGCAATCAACTGAAATCTGCACGACAGTTTACGAACCAGATTTCGATTTGGTTGCGCAATTTTGATTGGACTATGCATAGACTCGTTAGTCCAGCCCAAATGTAACTCCATAATACCAGCCTAGTTCGGCAAGGGTGGAAACTGGACTTTTATAGTCAGTTAACTCTCTTGACTCGAGAAGATTGGTGCGATCACATACAACCAACAAGTCACTGACACTATTTGGTTGCCTTTGTTTGTTTGTTTGTTGTTTAACGTCACACTCAACAATTTTCCAGCTATATGACGGCGGTCTGTAAATAATCAAGTCTGGACCAGACAATCCAGTGATCGATGTACGCAATTGGGATAGGATGACACGCATCAACCATGTCATCGAGGCTTACGACAAGCATAGTCGTCTTTTACAGCAAACATAGGTTGCTGAAGACCTATTCTCTACCCGGAGCTTCTACAGTTTGGGGACCTTATCTAACATTGGTGGAGAATTTCTGATTCAGGCCCGTTCCACAAATCAATCTAAGCACTAAGACCATCGTTGCTCCTATACTTTAAAATAGACAGCAGAATTACAGCAAGACATTATTAAAATATCTGTGCACTTTAAAAGCAGTAGGCCAGCTACTTTCTTATTTCATAGTCCTCTGATTTTTAGGTGAAAAATACTTGGTCAGTAGGGTGGCAAAACAAATAGAATAAAATAAACATTACAGGGTATTTTTTGTTCTTTGAAACATTATCCCCACACATTGCCATGTGTCCCATGGAGATTCCGGGTTGGAATAGGTCTTCAGCAACCCATGCTTGTCGTAAGAGGCGACTAATGGGATCGGGTGGACAGGCTCACTGACTTGGTTGATGAATGTCATCTTATCCCAATTGATAAGATCAATGCTCATGATGTCAATCACTGGATTGTTTGGCCCAGACCCATCATTTAAAAACAGCCATCACATAGCTGAAATATGGCTGAGTGTGGCGTTTAACAAGAAACATCAAAACATTGCCAAGTTTGCTGTGTCTACCTATTATAAGGGTAACGCTATTTTTCAGGGCATTATCATTTGCAGAAGCCCGAGGCCTTCCATTAACTGCCCGACGAAGGAGGGCAGTTGAAAAGACCGAGGGCTTCTGCAAATGACAGTGCCCTGAAAAAGAGCGTTACTGTTATTATAGCTAAAATGGATGGAATTTTTTATCAAATAAAAAGAAACAACAACATCGGTTTTGAAACATTTACTGCAATCAACACGAATGTCACTGCAACATTTTACAAATATGTAAACGTCATAGAACAAACCAGATGACGTCACTATAATATGTGACGTCACTTTCTCTACCCTATGACGTCACCTAACAACTGGCTTGCTAATGGCCCGTCGTCAAGCAATATGAGGGCATTATCAAGTTACAGTGGCCCGCTCATTTCTGATAACGTGTGGGCGGTTTAATGATAATTCTATCCATTTTAGGTATAATGTCAGATAATTAAGTTCTTCATAGGCAAAATATATTTTCTCTCAGATTTCTTTCTTTACCCACTGTAAATGTTTTTACGGTCTGCAGAGTTTGAAAATATATTTAGATCAAAAGTTTCAGCGTAACTAATCCTCAACACTACCTGCTACAGGGTGTTGTCCTGGCTGTGGTTTGTCGTGGTGTAACACACTAGCCCCGCATGGCGACAGCTGCAGACTTGAGCCATCACAGTATCGCACCTCCACCGCATCGTTAGTGTACAGCACCATCAGCGACGGCGTGGAGGACATCTTCAGAACCTGTCACGACAAATGAACCCAGACTAATTTCATAAGATTTGCAGTCCCCCAAGTTCTTTAAACCTTACTAGCCTGCTAACTGTAATGGCCATCTTCCCGAGGCAAGAGAGTTAACTGACCATAAAAGTCCAGTTTCCACCCTTGCCGAACTAGGCTGGTATTATGGAGTTACATTTTGGCTGGACTAATAAGTCTATGCATAGTCCAATCAAAATCACGCACCGAAATTGAAATCCGGTTCGTAAACTGTCATGCAGATTTCGATCGATTGCAGGATTTGCAAAGCATGTGCACCGCCAACCTCGGTGTCAGCAGATATTTTCCAAATCTTTTCATGTTTTGAATCAAGGTGCTAAACGTGATTTGATGCATTTCGCGATGTAAGACCTGTTTTATCACAATATAGATCTTGATTATCGATCAGATCGTCCTGACTGAGCGCCACCATTTTGTGTGAAGCAAATGCAAGTGATGGAATCTGATTGGTCCATAGGAGAGGCTTAAAAGGGATGTAAATGGTAATAGCCACTGGTGGCGCTACGATCGAGCCCAGTAATTCCAGCCTAGTTCGGCAAGGGTGGAAACTGGACTTTTAAAGTCAGTTAACTCTCTTGCCTCAGAAAGATGTGTAATGACATGATGTTGATCAATGTAGTAATAGTAAGTGAATGTTGTTTTACGTGCAAATCAGCAATACTCCACAGGGTTTTATAGGATGCAGAAGTGTGTGTGCTGTACTCACAAATGAATAGAATGGACGTAGAGAAAACAATTTGTATCAAATTCTTGTTAAGAAATAAAAGGGTCCTGAAATTAAAGTAATCATCAAATCTTACAGTTCTACATACTAGGGTTGGGACGGGTAACTCTGGTACCCGGGTCGGGTGGGTACTGAGTAGTACCCGTTTACCCACAGGACTACCTGGACCGTGGTTGGTCACGCGGTATGTTGTTCAATGATAAAAAATATCTGGAACTCTACACTACAAATTACTAATGTTCGCATTTCATTCTGACTTTGCACCCATTCCTTCTGATTTGTCATATGGTTGAATAAAGATTTAACTTAATTCAACTTCAGTATATGTGTAGCGGCCATAAAATTTCCGAGTCCCATGATGGGATGCGAACCATGGACCTTCTGATCCGAGGTCGGACGCCTTGTCCACATGACCAGAGAGGTTAACCCTGTCAGCAGGCTGACATGGTAAGGATGTCCTCTGTGGGATGACTCCACGCACTGCTGCATATGCATGACCAGATTGTTCAATACATGTATCTAAATACGTTTTGCCAGGGCTCTGTTAAATAATTCCTAATCGGACATTTTGAGACATCTCTTGAGTACAACAAAGGGTACCCGGGTAGGGTCGGGTAATAGGGGTGTGGGTACCGGGGTAGTCAATTGGGACTCGTCCCAGCCCTACGATACACTACACCATTTTACTGTTTTATTATTATTATTATTACAGGACCCTCATGAGTTCTGACATCAATGATGAGGGGTCCCCAGGACCCCCAGATTTATAAGTCAAGATAAAAACCTGGCCACTCAGCGATATGGCAGCCACTGTTACACCCGTCTCAGCCAGGGGAACCAGTGACTTAAATCATTAGTAATTTGTCGTAAGAGGCGACTAACGGGATCGGGTGGTCAGGCTCGCTGACTTGGTTGATACATGTCATCGATCCCAATTGCGTGGATCAATGCTCATGATATCAATCACTGGATTGTCTGGTCCAGACTCGATTATTTACAGACCGCCGTCATATAGCTGGAATATTGCTGAGTGCGGCGTTAAACAACAAACCAACCAACCAACCAACATTAGAAATTTTTCAGTAGGGGCACTATGAAACGTTATAATAGTTTATCATCTTGTTTCACATACATCGCTGTACAAGTAGCAGTGATCTCAGATTTAATTTGGCGCTAGACCATATGTAGATCTATAATGTTTATGTTATCAATGTTTTTGTTGGTACAGTCCTGTTCAAAACACTGTACACTCTCTTCAATTACAAATTACCTTGCCAAGGGACCCATAGAAATATTATTTCTTTCAGAAACATAACAATACAATTATTGTTTTTATTAAGCAATTTATCAGAAGAGTACAGATATATTATAATATTGATTAGAGAGTATATATATGGGGTATTTACAAAGATATTTTGGAAAGTAACCCTCTAGTATTATTTACTAATTCAGAGTGTGACAAATACGTCAAATAACCTAGCACAACTTGTGTCAATTTTGACATTTAGGGACACATATAAAGTCATGCCACGCTGATTGTCTCCCTTGACATGTTATTTTTCATCGCCGATCGCTTGCCATAACACTTAGGTGTGCACATTTCGTTCCTCTTTCTAATACGTGTTGACTACTGACTTAAACATCAACTTGAAATAATTTACCTATATAGGTATTTTCACATCGTTTTTGTTGTTTCCGCCATTTTTCGATTCGACAAGACTAAACACGAAAGACCAATCATTTTGAGAAACTGATCAAGGGAGGTCACTCCAAAATTAATTGACTGTACGTGCTTCGTGAAGTAGCGTATTCAGTATTCATGGCTGTCGACTACAAGTTCGATTCTGCAAAACCAAATAATTTATACTCTGGTCTCTGATTATGTATAGAAAGAGGGCGCATGCTCTTTGAAAATAATTTAATCCATGAATGAATATTCCATGACGAATGATAAAAGAAAACGATTCAAGTTTATTTTTCAGTGTTGTGTAAAAGATATCTATAAACATGTAAGGTCGGTCTACAATCTAAGTATACTAAGTTGATTCACGTAACATTCCTTCCCAAATTATCGAGTTTGCTCTCTTGAGAGGAACGTTGCATAAACCTCGTCGCAGTTGCGGGATATCCTGTGTGCTTCATTGTTCTCACATCAGGAAAAAGGACGTACGTTTGTTCAATCTGTTTGATGTTATCTGTCTGTGTTTGACACGTGGCCCTGCTGATATAACGCACGTGTTTCCTGTCCTGGTACATATAGTTTCCCTTTCGCTTTCAAGTTGGGGACAAGTGATACTTGCATGCACAAATATTTGCCCCCCCCCCCCCCCCCCCCCCCTTTCAAAAAAAGTTAACTACGGCCTTGTCTGTCGATACGAATATTTAATTAACTGGCATAGTGTCCAAAGGTCTATTACATGTCCTTCTTTAGCGGTCGGGTAGCCTAGTGGTTAAAGTGTTCGCTCGTCACGCCGAAGACCCGGGTTCGATTCCCGACATGGCTACAATGTGCGAAGCCCATTTCGGGTGTTCCCCGCCGTGATACTGCCAATCTCATTAAAATCAGATCTAAGTTCTCGCTGTCGCGAAACAAGGCTAAGCTTAGCGAAAGCGAGAGCTAAGATATCTGATTTTAATAAGATTGTGATATTGCTGGAATATTGCTTAGAGCGGCGTAAAACAATACTCACTCACTCATTAGCCCCGGGATAGCATACTTATCTCACGCTGCAGTCTGAAATAATATCATACAAATATCACTTGAACTATTTTACTGTGTAGCATTTGGACGATCTGCTGTTTGAGTTGAACATTGTTGCTTTAAGCAGTGCACAGATATTGTCTTCGCTTTGTGTCCACATTATTTCGGTTGCGTGAATGAAAAAAACGTCGTAAACTGAGAGACCTGTAAAGCCCAACAATACGACATATTGGCGACGTGACGTCACTGAAAGCAAAATCGGGGTCATTACTACTCATCTCCGCATGTAGTTTTTATCGTTTCATACTTTTTATTTCTGAATATAAATCTTCTATGCTTGCTGTGTCTATTTAGATAGGAGAACTTCCCGGGGTAAGGGAGTTTGCATATTTAACTTTTGTTTGTTTGTTTGTTTGTCGTTTAACGTCGCATTCAGCAATATTCCAGCTATATGACGGCGATAATCGAATCTGGACCAGATGATCCAGTGGTTGACATCATGAACATCGATCCACTCAATTGGCATCGATGACATGCACCAACCAAGTCAGCGAGCCTGACCCTTCGATCCCGTTAGTCGCCTCTTACAACAAGCATAGTCGCCTTTTACGCAATCTCATTGAAATCAGATCTTAGTTCTCGCAACGCTAAACTTTGTTTAGCGGTAGCGAGAACAGAGGTCTGATTTTAATGAGATTGCCTTTCACGTCAAGCATGGGTCGCTGAAGATTTATTCTACCCCGGATCTTCACGGGTGGCATATTTAAGTGGTTTGATAGGACGCTATGTCCAGGTTAACCATTAATGAATGATCTGCAGTCTAAATCGCGGATAACTACTTTTGTAGAATTGTACCATTTCACAAATTGCTGTATTAATTCCTGTAGTTTGTTGCAAGGGGAAAAAACGTGTTGTGGCGTTTCGTGTTCATTTTCGTATAAAGCACATAGCGCAGAAAGTACATGCGCCGTCACCTCGTCTACCTGTTTTGTGTAGAAATGAACTTGTAATAATTTTCTGACTGTTTATATTGAAAGTTCCGCGTTTTATTGTCAATATTTGCATCTTGATTGAATTCAAAGCATCTAGACGAGTTTTCTAATTTTATTGTCAATTTTTAACTTCAGCAGTTTAGTAGTTTAGATTTATACTTTGGTTTTCCTGAAACAGTTTTTATTAAGCTTGACAGGATTTTTTTGGTCGCACTCCGCAATATTCCAGCTATATGACGGCGGTCTGTAAATAATCGGGTCTGGACCAGACAATCCAGTGATTGATATCATGAGCATCGATGCAAACAATTTGAATCGATGACATCCATCAACCAAGTCAGCGAGCCTGACCCTCCGATCCCGTTAGTCGCCTCTGACGACAAGAACAGTCGCCTTTTACAGCAAGCACGGGTTGCTGAAGACCTTTTCTACCCCGGATCTTCACGGGTCCCCAATGGTTTGTTGCTCGTATGGAGCCTTTCAATTAATTTTATCCATATCACAATTTATCTTTACATCCTAACTGGTGATCTAACTGTTCGCAGATCTTAAAGAAGAAACGAACATCCTTTTACAAATAGACAATATCCGTGTCCCAAACCTGTTACAATGTATTTGATTTTCTGGCTATGGTAAGGGAGGTAATCGCTTAATTAGTAGTAAAGAAAAACATAGTGTTAGATGTAAAACAGGGAATGGGTTGAAACCTTCATTGTACATATTGTTTTAAACATGCCTGTGTTGGTAAGACCAGACGCCATAAACATTTTATGGTCTCTGATAAAACAAAATGAGAAAATTATTTTCTGTTTATTTATTTGGTTTGCCATTTGAATGAGGACATGCTAATTTGTTGCCACCGCGTTTATGCCTCGTATCAACGTTCCTTGTTTATGTTTCTTTACTGATTTTTGTTTGTTGAAAGAATGATTTTGGATAATAAATCTCACCTTCCTAACTCGTGTTTATGGAAGCCTTTTAGGGCCATTTGTTTTTTTTAATTTGTTTTCGATACAATCTTGAAATTTCAAGATACTAAGTTGAAATTTCAAGAAACTAAGTTGAAATTTCAAGAAACTATCTTGAAATTTCAAGATACAGAAGTTGATACTATCTTGAAATTTCAAATTAGTTTCTTGAAATTTCAAGATAGTATCGAAATTTTTTTTAAAAACCAAATGGCCCTAAAAGGCGTCCGTACGTGTTGATATTATGGCATATGAAAAGACACGAGAATGAAATTTTTTATTTATTTGTGACTGGTTGGTCCCGAAAAGTGCCTGAATCTTCACAGAGTCAATAGATAAGCGAGAACCAGTATTCCTCTATTGCTTAATCATTGTGTGCCGATATATGTACGTGTGTATTTGTTTGTGACTTGTATATCCGCATAATAATATTTGCAACAGTAGGTACAATTAATACAAATATATTATTTTATGTACAGTTTACTCTTATTTTTAATTTTTTTTATTTTTTTTATCTTAAACATATTTTATTTCAGTTCAGTAGACATAAATGTAACATTAGTTAAAACATGATCAGATATGGGAATCATATATTGATTGACCGATAAATTATAATAAGTAGGCTGATAATTCCTTCCATTTTCTGTGGAATCTATTAATACTACTATTTTTCATTTTCATTTTTCATTATTTTCTATTTTACATACATCTTTCAATATTTTTTATGAAAAGAGGAAAGCATAATGGAGTGACAGTTTACTCTTATTAATTGTTAAATGTCGTTTGTAGGGAGAGGTGTTTAAACAGTTTTAACCTGTTTACCAATCCCATTCCGTTTGAGGAAATAAATATTGTTCAAGTCATTATCTTGTGAACCAAAAGCATACTGGTCTTATAACTAACGTAAACTCCACGTTCGTAATTGACTTCCACGTGTGAGTGATAATTTTTAGGCAACCCAGAAGGTGGCGCTGCGATATTGGAAGAGGAAGCCATGTTTGATTGATTTTTAAGGTACGAAAGCGTAACATTTTGTTCGAGTTTGCGTTTGTTCCGCATTAATTTCTTATGGTAAACATGAATTTTGATAAGTTTCCAATTGTACACGTTGAATGGACAGAATAGCATGCTCGAAGGCAATATCGTTCCTGCTTTATTCTCGACTAGAAATCCGTAAATACAAAGCGCATTTTGTTTGCTGACGTTGTGCTTGTGTTGAATGTTGCAACGTATGTACTGAGAATTGTACCTATTTTCAACTTATTTCAGGAGAACATTCGTTTTAATGTCCTGTTTTAGGCCATTTGAAAGGGTTAACGTGTTTTTGTTGCAGTATTGTAAGGTCAAAAGTTCATTCGTCGTGAAATTGATGTTGACCAGCTGACCGCGATAATCCTCGTCCGTCATTGCCCAAAATAGGAGCATTTTACGAGAGCGTTGCAATTAGGTTTAGATCTATTGCGGATGGCTTTATAGATTGCAGAATACCAGATACAGGGTTAGAACTAAACTGTAAAGCTTTATTAGCCTGGTTGAAGATAAAATGCCCTTGTAATGTTAATACAATGGGGAAATTTTGAAATAGGTACTAGCCCGTAGGAATTTGTACTAGCCTCGGGCTAGCAGGCTAGTGTTAATTTCTAACCCTGAGATATGTGCGATTATAGAATCTACCCTTGTCCCCTGGATCCTTGGGTAGCCTGGTGTTAGCTCGCGTTAGCTAGTCACACCGAAGACCTGGGTTTGATTCCTGACATGGGTACAATGTGTGAAGCCCATTTCTGGTGTTCCCTGCTGTGATATTGCTAAAAGCGGCGTTAAATCAAATTCACTCACACACTTCAATAAGACAGTGGCGAAAGTATTCTATCATGTCTATAGTGGCTCTAAACTAAGAATGAAATACAAATGAGAGGAATTGGTAGGCACTTGTATTATCAATTGGCTAACAAAGCAGTTTACCAGGCACAGCTTACTCAAGCGCTAATAGGCTCAGGATGCTGACGTCTGTTCTCGCTTCACAGATCTTTTGTGCATATTGGTAGCATAGCTTCTGTATTGGAACAGAATGCATTTACTATGCAAATAAGTATCAAGTTTGGTAGTTTCTTTTAGTTAGTCTGACTCAAATTCTTGACTATAAAGCATAGAATCCATGGCAACTAGTATTAATATGCATGAGAATTTGTTATCTTAAGTGGGAGATATGTTTTTTTCTCTCAGTTATCGCAAATAAATGGACAGTAGTTGGGCATGGCAGAGACTGTATACCGATATATGGTCTGAACAGGCTGAAGATGTCTGACATCTCGGCCATCTGCCCACCAGGTCCCAGCAATCTTGGCAGCTGTGTAATAACCAACAACACACAAATTGAGATCTGGTAATGGTATATGGGGCACGGGTGGCCCAGTCGTCTAAGGCGCCGCGATTCGCTGTGCAGAGTTGCGTCCCTTGGGCACGCCAGAAACCTATGATTGTGGGTTCGAATCACGGTTCGCCACGATTATGTTTCTAGGTTTGTCAGCACCATACCCATGCTCGTGGGTTTCACCGAAGTGGTAAACGTCTTGAGATCTGCATCGCTTGGGGCTTTCCTCCCCATTAAGCTGACATGTCGTGATATAACTGGAATATTGTTAAAAGCGACGTTAAACCCAACTCACTCACTCACTCACTCACTGGTAATGGTATATGTCAATAAAGTACATATTAATTAATATTAAGTGCCAATCAGTACCTACAGCGCATTAGGAGCAGTTATCTCTGTCTATTATTTCATCCATCAATACAGGCTCTAAAGCAGTGATAGAAACTAACAGTTTTAGTCCACTAGTTTTTATGATAACGTATAGCTGAACCCTTACAAAGGGGCAAAACTCGTCTTGTCCTTATAACTTAACCATTTGGCAGTTTGGTAAAGACTATGACTAGTGCCAATTTCTAACGCTGTAAAGTAATTATGTACAAGTACAGAACGCAACATGATTTCATTACTTTAAGTTACAGGATGCTCATATTGCCTGCAAGGACCCTTAAAATCAATTATTGGGGTCCCCTGAAACCCCACTTTTGTAAGTCAAGGTAAAACCCTGCATGATATAGCTGGAATACTCTTCAAGGTGGTGTTAAAACCAACCAACTCGCTCACTCACTCAGCAAAATCACTGAAATATTGAGTTGGTTGGCTGCTTGTCGGACGCCTGGGAAATTCTGAACATGCTGAAAGGACTATAGAAATATGAAATATTTAAATTCAAACTGACAACTCCCATGCAGATTCTATCAGTCTCTGGCTTTCATTACCCATACTTGATTATTTACATGCAACCGTGATATGGATATAATCTGATAATACTGCAGGCTGATGTAAGACATCATCCGTTCAGTGGGCCGGCCACTCCATGAGATATTAGTAGTTTCATTGACACCATGCAGGGTTTCAGATGGCCCTCGGTCACCGGTCATAGACCGATAAACTTTCTATTTGACTGATGGTTTGTTTAAGTTGTCAGACTTTTGACTGATAGAAATGCTAAGCAAGGCGTCACACGTGTCATAATTTCATGATTAAATAGTAAATAGTAAGGATTATTCCACTTAGGGTATCGATTTGGAGCCATCGATTTTAATGCTCTCATAAAGTATAGTGCCAATCAAGACTCAGTTGTCCTTGTGTCTGGGGGATGGGGGGTGAAGTTGATTGTACTGTATTGTACTGATTTAACTTCGAAATTTTACTGCATCCGGCATCTTTGTTTAAGTGACTTACTGACTTTTGCCACTGACTTCTTACATTTCTTGGGTCCAAGTCATTGACCTGTATACAGCTTTTTGTGTCAAAATCACTGCCATGGGTTCCACTTACCCTCTGTTTATTTGTGATAGACAATTCTTATTCTTTCAGCTTCATTTCACACAACTACAGCAAGATGATTGAACAAGACAGACCTGGAAAGATATTTGTTGGAGGCCTTACTTCAAATGTTGACAGAGAGACACTTGAAACAGCATTTGCTAAATTTGGCAGAATCACAGAAAGTAAGTGAACACTTACCATTTGTTAATTGTATCAGTCAGTGACCCACAGATGTTTGAGCAAACTATACCGAGTAGTGTTTTGCAACCTTATTAACCTGAGATCAGAGTTCTTGCTGCCACTAAAGAAAGATCTGAGAACATCCCATCACAGGTCATGTCGAATGACCTGTCATCTGACCAATCAGTGTTGCTTACCAGATCAAGAAAGTGACATTCGAATGTTTTCGGCATCTGGCATCCCCAAAATGGTTAACATGGGGTTTTCTGAATGACATTTTCTGGCTGTACAATCTTGCTTCAGTGGGATAAACATTTCAATCAGAAGACTTTCCATAGCCCGTGGGAAGTACTGCCATACAATCTTGGTCATCTAGGACTACCTCTGTGGTCTAGTGGATAGAACGATGCCCGGAAAGTGGAAGGTCGTGGGTTTAGTCCCCGGCATCACACCAAAAGATGTTAAAAGATGGTATTTCTTACCATGAGAGCAGGGTTAGAAACTAAGAGTTTTCGTCCACTAGTCCTTATAATGATAACATATAGTAAAACCTTAAACAGGGCAAATTTCTACAAGGTCTTATGATACCTTTACCATTGGGCAGTTTGGCAAGGACTATAAGACGAGTGCCAATTTCTAATGCTGTCAGAGAGGCTAAACAAGGACTGGTCGGCGCGGAGTCCGTATACTGTGTCTGAGTGGGGTATTCATGTTAAGCTGTGGCATGGTATCTTGGTGGGCTAGCACTATAAATTGGCATTAGCCTGGACAAGTACAAACAGCCACACACAGACGCAAATGCATGCGCGTCGCTATATACATAAGTGCAACAATCTTGAATGCAGCGTTAAATTCCATTTCACTTCACACATCTTGGACACCTATTACTGTATTAGACATTTATTTTGTTCAGATTTAAAATTTTGAATTGCTTTTTTTTAAGGCGTAGTCTTGAATGGAATTTGCCATTTTGAAATTAGAGTCATAAAGCTTCGGAAAGCTGCTTTCCAATTGGCGTATGTCGACTTCTTGGTCGTTTCATTTGTTGGTCGTGTTTGAGTAATATGTTTGCAAAGGACATGAAGTGCAGGGGGCGTTGGGTAGCCTACTGGTTAAAGCATTCGCTAGTCACACCAAAGACACTGCTTTGATTCCCGACATGGGTACAATGTGTAGAGCCCATTTCTGTGTCCCCCGCTGTGATATTGCTAAAAGCGGCGTAAAACCATTCTCACATCATGTGCAGATACTGCACAAGGTTGGGGGAAAACCCAGTCCCATTATAGGAAACTATGTACCATGATGTACAGTAAATCTGCTTTTTGTTCATAAAATGCACTGTTCAATGTTCACTGTCTGACTTGTATTATACTCACAAATTCACACCTATATACCTTGTATATACAGTTTCAATTTTGGCATGATTGCTGCAATATTGGGAAAGATAGATCTGATATAATAAAGAGTTGACTAAGCAACTTGTTTCATCCAATTTACAGTTCTCATAATAAGAGACAAAATCACCAACCAGTCACGTGGATATGGATTCATCACATACGAAAATCCCTTGGATGCTGAGGATGCAGTGAAAGGAATGGATGGAGAAGTAAGCTGCAATGATTTATGTAATAGTTGAACAAGGCTCTTGTTGTCAAATGCTACTAGCCAACTGATTCTTCCCCGAGTGGAGTTTATGCACATAGCCTTTGACCATGAGGTCCCTGACATGTCAAAATGATATACCGTATTCGATGGCGTAAGGGCGCTCTCAAAATTAGAAATAGGGGGCTCTTATTAGAATATTATTTTGTCGAATAAAAACAGTGTATGCTGACAGCCTGAAATGTTTATGTACGACCGATATATTTTTTCAGAATTTAATTGCCCATAATTAAGGGGGCATATAACACAGGAGTGCGTATTATACTTGAATAAATGAGTCTTGCGTACATTGATGAATCGGAAGGGGTGCTAATTTGGATTGTTCACGAGCCAATATAATAGCAAATATCGCCGTGGGCTCTTATTAGAGCGGGGCGCTTATTACGTCGAATACGGTACATGTTTTACAGTTGTTAGTGGGTTGTCTGTATTGTGACTGTGCCGTGATAATTTCAGTTTTCACTTAATTTTCTGCTTGGAATGGGGCACATATGCCCCCTTTTCTGCTTGAATGGAGAGGCATGTGGCCAAAAAAATTCAGATTTCTAGGTTCAGCCCTGCAGTACTAACACAGCCAACCTGTTATTGGCCCATTTATTTTTGGGGGGGGGGGAATCTACTGCAGAAATGTTAAAATTCAATCCTAAATTCTGCAGCTAGTGTTAGCAACTTCTAAAATATTTCTATCCCAACTGAGACAACTAATTCATTGTACTGACTGCCAATAAGAATGGTAGTTAAATCAATATTGTGTAATTTCTATTTGGCCTAGCACAGGGGTCAATTTAACCGCTGTCCCACTGAACGGCGGCCAGTTAAAATTATGGAGTGCTTGTTGAAACGTAAAGTAGATGTCCATCTGGCTAGTCAAACTTTCAACCTCTGTGTGTATTTTTTATTTTTTTATTTGGACACTAACCGTGAATCATGTAACTTGGATGAAAAATTATTTAGGTGGGGTGAGGCCCTGTGAATGGTAACACAAAGAAAGATATATCAACACCATCTGGGTAGACTGACAACCTGTGGTCATTTTGTAATGTTGTGTACAACAACATCTTTATTTGCTCATATTAGTCATAATAATCTCAGAGTGCAGGAAAAGGCGTTTTTAGGGGTGAAGAGTTCTAAAATTTCCAGAGCACTGGTGTATTCTCCCTGTGATAGTATTACCCTGGACCTGTGAAGATCCGGGGTAGAATAGGTCTTCAGCGACCCATGCTTGCCATAAATGGTGACTATGCTTGGTGTAAGAGGCGACTAACGTGATCGGGTGGTCAGGCTCGCTGACTTGGTTGATGCATGTCATTGTATCCCAATTGCATGGATCGATGCTCATGATGTCAATCACTGTATTGTCTGGTCCAGACTCGATTATTTACAGACCGCCGTCGTATAGCTTGAATATTGCTGAGTGCGGCGTTAAACAACAAACAAAGTATTTCCCTGAAGCTCCCTTCATGGTCAGTGTATGGGCAGCCCTACAATTGTACTATATCGATAGGACTTTAATAATGCAAACAGCATTGACGATGGTATGCATAACGATTGATAGTTTCAATAGTTGCAGTTAGTTATAATTAAACAAATTATGCATCAGAAAACTTTATGGTCAGATTTCAAACCTGCTGTGTGTTGGCGACAAAGAAGGTGAAAACTTCAGATTGGAGTTACTTCCCTTTAGTTTGTGTTGCTTTTGGAAGGAAATTAGCCAACTTTGATGGCAATACTTTATTTTTTTCTATTGCATTGATTAATTTACTTATCAAGTTTTGATATAATACTATTGAAAAACCATTGCAATACCGTTGCAATAGTTGATAACTATCGCAGTACTATTGCAATAGTGTGGGGTACTATTACAATACAATTGCAATAGTGAGTGTATCCTCAATAGTCATCCCTAGCACTTGGCAATAACAACCTATGTATTCAAATATATGTGACTCTCATGTCAAATCTGGAAACTAGTTGTTACAGAAGTTGTAGGTTCCCTCATTTCAGACCATTAATGGCAAGGAAATTCACGTTGAACAAGCCGTGAGAGCAGTACACGATGACCGAGGCGGAGGGATGAGGTCCAGCCGTGGGGGTGGCAGGTCAAGGGGTGGTTCCTCCATGCGCAGCAGGGGCAGTCGAGGGGGTCTGTCAAGTAGAAGGGGAGGTTTCAGCACACGGGATGGTGGCGGCAGTCGAGACAGTTCACGAAGGATGGATTCCATGAGACGAGGATCTCCGCCACCAAGGCGTGGATCTTCAGGAATGAGAGGGCGTGGACGTGGTGGACCTATGATAAGGTATGTTCACTGTACTGCTGATATTGAAATCTTGAAGTATAACATACCCAAAACACCTGTGTGTTAGTAAGTTGTTTTTCTAAATGATAAACACCTCCCTTTTCATTACATTTAGAGCTTTTTCTGTACAACTTATTTTTGATAATATTTTGTTAATGTGAAGACTGAATGAATTAGTTGGAAGTTTGGTATAAAAGGAATATGATAAGGCTAAAAAAATAATAGTCTTGGTTCTCAGGCACCTCCCGCACCGTTCTCAGGCACCTCCCGCACCGGTCTCAGGCACCTCCCGCACCGGTCTCAGGCACTGTCATCATAAAAAAAATCCTAATACTTAAAACCAATGTGATCCAATATAGCACACAGTTACTTTCACATGCGTACTGCTTTACTGCGCATCTCGATTATGGTAATGGGAGCAATAGGAATTTGTATGCTTTTTAATGTAGGGAGGCCCTTTCCCAGTTTGATCGTACACAACTATTTATATGGCTACATACTAGTTTGAACAAGCAAAAAACACCAAAACAACCTGCTCGCTCTTTATTTTCAAAAGTCATTGCCTGAGAACATGTTCTTTTATTTCTATGAGCCTAATTTCTCTTATTTTTAGAACTTGATTCACAGGAAAAGATGCAATTTTGTTCACTGTTATTATGATAACTTACTGTTCTCCATCCACCCCAAAAAAGCCCAGGGCACTTGTTGGATGCCTCTTTTAAGAGACAGATAGCTTTGACTTTGTTTCGTAGTCTATCCCAGTAAGACAGACCTTACTTGGTATTGTATGCTATGGTGTTTTGAAGTGACTTATAGTCTCTAGGTGTTTCTTGAAGTAACTGTGAACACTGAAATATCTCGCATCAACAAGATTTCACTTTACTATGATGATTTCTTCCAAGTCAAGAGGTGAATAGTTACTTTGCTTTTGTTCAAGGATTTGAATTAAGTTTTGTTTGTTTTGTACAGAAAACATATTAATCGACGCACAAGTTTTTCGTAAGTAGTGGGTGGAATTTTTGTACATGTTTCATGATCATTTTGGGAGCTTAAGAAAATAAGACCTTTGTCGTCTGAAAATGTTTGAATCCACTGTATAAAAATTGTTTCCCGACCAGTGTTTGAAATAAGTGCTTGCCTGACTGTGGCAGGTAGACCTTGTGTCTGGCCCATAGTTTCAAATTTGTGTGGGTCTTCATGGCCTGTGGTAAATTTACCTCTCGATTTATTGGTCAAAATAAGCTGCAGTTTTAATAATGAGGGCCTGAAAAGTTGAGTCAGAGCCTGCCACATCTAAAGTCTGTAGGTTCTGATGGCAGCCTGGCAATCTCTTTTATTTCAAACACTGTTCCCGACAAGAAAAAATGTTCATGATCATCATCATTTCCCAGATCTTTAGCTTGAAATCTGCTTATTCTTGTGTGTTAAATGTCACATGCAGTCTTATTGCAAGATCTATCCAGGGAAAAAACTACTAGCTGGAATATTATTTTACCTGAGGCACAATCAGGCTAAAGTATCTGATCTTTCATTGTATCACTAATATTATGTAGGTATTTTATTAATAAATTTCGGATAAATGTGAGAATGAAAGGATCATAAGATCATTTGACAGTATTTTGTAAGTTTCACTGAAGCTAAAATGTTCTCAGTCATGTAGGAGACTACCCAAATTGTCTGTTAATTTCTAATTAAGAGCTGGTTGATGACAATTTTATGAGCCATTAGACATAGCAGTTCTTAAGAGCTTTGACCTCTCTGCACTGCCGAGACTCATGTTTGCAGTTCCTGTCATTTCCATTGTTGGTAGCACCATAGTTCTTTAAAGCTCTGCACGCTAACGTCGAACCCATTCGACAGAGGTGTCCATCCCCGTGCATCTGATGTCGAACCCATTCGACAGGCGAATAGCATAACAACACCCCAAAATAAAACTCGCCATATCTATTTACCGAGAAGGCTTTGCGTAACATTTAAATTACGTATGACATGCATAAATGCTCAACTTGCTCAATATCAAATGTTCAGTCATTTATTTACCTCAAAAAGAAAATATCGCGAGTTTAAAATGTTTCGGCCAAACTTCTCGGCACACAACTACCAGAAACGGCCATTGTTGACTTTTGGCACTTCACGTTGAGCGGCATGCAGTCCGATATTTTCTTTATAATTTCATCATTTTTCCTATTCGATCATAATTTTTTGTTTGCTGACGAAAGGAAAACACCCATGTTCCTTTATTTCTAAAAATTAGCAACTTTCGGTGTAACTAATTGTAAACAAAAACAATCTGAATCGTAACATCATCGATTGGATGGAACTTGTACGATCATGGCAACGGCGGTAAACAAACAACTCCACATGCATAGTTATCCCGTTAGACTATTACAATCATTTTGTTACATCTAACTTAATTTTCTAGAATTATTGACACGTATGTATAAATCTTTGTAAAAAGAATTTCATTTTTAAAGAGTTTGCAAATGATTTCGTTTGATAAACTTTCCGACACATTGACAAGCCGACAAACGTCAGTGATACGTTTGGGCGTGGCCTAACTCGCGATTTGTTGAGTTGAACAAAGTCAACACACACTGCGAAAAATGACAAATATTGAATGAAACGCAAAATCTGAACTGATATACATTCTAGGTAAACCATTCAATAGCAAAATAATGCATTTTACGAGAAATAATCAAAATACTTGCAATTTTAGCTATCATTTCTGAAACCGGAAGCACGTACCGCATGTGACACATGGAAGCAAAATATGCAAAAGTTGGTAAGCTATCATAAAGAAATTCCGAAATAGATTCAAATTCAAAAGAAAATACATAATTTACTATTTATTGATATGGAGAGCAATCTTCACTCCTATTTGTTTCATATTTCTTCGTGATTGTCGCCATCAAATGTGTAAGTCTAAATCCGAAACCGTAATGGATTTCACGCTCGATGATTTTAATTTTAAAATATTTTCTAAAAACGAACGCAACGGAGAGCGATACAACGTATTGATATGCCATAATAATAACATAATATTGTTATTGGTCTAACATTACAAAAAGAACAATTTAAATATTAAAGATGTTGTTGAAAACTTTCTGAGAACCTCCCGTCCTCTGAACCGATAACATTTTGGTACACAACGAGGTGTAAATAGATATAGATTCTAGGCTCCTATTTATATATATATATGTGATTTTGTACCCAAAACAAATTAAATTGTACCCAAAATACTTTGTGCATTTGTACCTAAGAAAATAAGACAATAATCTATAATTATATTTATGTTTTCATGTAGATGAACAGAACACATAATAAAATATTTCATCAAGTTCCAAATATGATTATGACTGTGATCCTTGAAATTGATTGTTTAGTTTTGAGAGAAAATTGACGTCTTGTCACAGAAGGAGAGGCCAGTTATTTTGGTTAAAGTAAGAATGAATTGTTTTGATAGGAAAGTGATATTATGTTAAGTTTAAGACACCAAATTAATGTATATCTTTGAAATAATTCTAGGTAGATCTACAAAATCACATACCCATTTGGGTAACAAATTACTAGAAATTTTGGGTACAAAAGTCACCACTGTACATTTCAATTGATTTTCGTGAATCAATGGGATAAAAAAAATTCGTATGAATGATTCCTTTTCTCATTTTTTTAAGACAAGAATTTGTTTTACATAACAAAACAGGCAGATCTACACGGATCACATTTAGTCCTAAAAAGGTGAAAAATATGGACACCTCAGAAATGAGGGCTTATAAGGTTATAATTCTACCTAACTAGTCACATGGTTTGACTTAGATCTAGGTCTATCTAAGAAAAGTCCTTATGAAAATCTTTTTTAATTTTTTTTATGACACTGACATTTCTGGCACTTAGACAAAGAGTATTCAAGGAAAGACAGATATGTTTTTGAATGAAAATATGACTTTCCTTTATAATTCTTTTTTCATGATGACAGGGGAACTTTTATACACACCAGCTGAGGAAGTTGTGATACTGTGATTGCATACAAAGAAAAAACAGGTTGGAAGCAGTACCTGTATGTATAAAATAGACCACATAAGGTGAACAAAAGTAATGGATTGGCTGACTGGAAAAAATACATCTGGCAAGGGTAAACATGTACACAGGCATGTTTCTTTTCATTCCAACCAGAAGACTGAGATAGCATTTTCTAAGAAACCTATGGCAAACTTACCAGCTCATGTGCCACCATGGTTCTTGTGATTAAACAAACAAAAATGTCATGTACTGTTACAAGTACTTTTACTGTAATTAAATTACATTAATTCCTATTAAATTATATTTCAGAATTGTTTTATTTGGAAACAAACCACATAATGCACAAGATTAATGTCCATATGAGTTTAGTATGTATATGTTAAGGATCTGATTTATTCATTATTCATGGAATACTAAAATTAAAATGATGACATCAGAGAGTTACTTATTCACATAGTTGATTTTCAGAGTGCAAGATAATAATTGTTGTATAAATATGTTTAAACTAAAGATAATAATTGAAGTTTGATCAGTTACACTGTGCTGATGCAAAGACTAATATTTACTGTCCCCACACACCATCATTGTGGGAAAAATAACTATTAAATATAACTTAAAATTTTAAAACCTGTAAACAGCTGTAAATAATTAAACAATTACAAATCTATCATCAATGCGCAATCATGGTGGTCTTCATATTTTTGGAATAAATTTAGAAATCCTTCGTGAAACTGTTCTAAAATCATGCTAGAATCTATGAATGTATTCCCGAAAGGAAAACTATCCTAAATGTAATGTGGAACTAACACCGAAAATATGTACGTAGCATTTTATTGCTTATATATACCCTATCATATTCGGCAACGCGGGGATGTAATTTTGAAACAAGTTTTGTCAAGCCCATTTTCGCGCACCTGTTGTTGAGGGTGATCTTGCTGATCGACGATATCCATAGACGTATTGCGTGGGATACACTTGTTGTAGTGAAACTTATCAGCATGTACATCGCAGAAATATGAATCATGTCCCATTTATATTCACAACATTGAATGGTGATTTTTTAAATATCAACAGAAGTTCAAATAAAAGATACCGAGAAACTTGCATGTGGCATGTTGATTTATCGTCTACCGTTTCCGGGTCACGGGAGCATGCAAGGTCAAACGGATTAACTAATACGCGAATTATATCGTCAAAGTCACATTTTTATTTCATGTTAGTGGTGATTACTGATACTGTGTATCGACTTATATTTTTGCTGTATGTGATAGGCGAACTATTTCAAAATTTACTGTAATTGTTTTGTTTCGAAAGCTTATCAGCAGACTACCCCTGTCTGTGACATCACATCCGGTGACCTTTGCACTTATTGAAATAGTGCTGTCAGAATTCACGATCTTTATTTTCATTTTTCTCTCGTCATATTTATTGGAATATGACGAATAAAACATTCTTCGATTGAGAAGATCGTCAACTTTCGTTAAGTTATATTTATAAAGGCAATGTAAACTTTGTTGATATTAAAATAGCAATAAGTTATGCGGAGGTCGGGCGAAGCGCGCCATGTTTGATTTTAGGACGTCTGCTAGCATCATGACACGGGTTGTTTATTTTTGTATATCGTAAATATTCAACCAAAACGCTTGAAATTAGGATTAGTGAATATTTATAAGTCATTAATTGTTTCCTGCAAATTTTATAACATGACACGTCAGATTTACCCGAATATTCGTATTTCTGCAACCGACATGATGACCTCGAAAATTAAGTTATTTTTCTGTTTAACGTTTAGATAATAAATTCACTGAAATGGTTCATAATTTACCATCGCGCTGATATGTGCCGATTATAAAACCCGAATTTTTACTCAATTAAAATTAAGATATCGGAGATATGATTATTGAAATCAATTTGCAAAAATGTTACGATATTAAAAGGTTCCTAGCATGAAATGCAAACCACCTTCAATAACGCAATTCAGGTAAGTTCAAGAAAATTTACAAATTTTGTGTTCGTTTTGGTTTAAACTTTGGTATAATTGAAAACACCAGGATATTTTTATATAGAATTGTGTAGTTTTCTATCAGGAATAAATGTGCAAAATATTTCTTCAATTGGCCATTGTTTAATGAGGCACCGACTGTTTGAAATCACCCACCCTCTTTAGAGCGCCTTATGCTAAAATTAATCCAGCAGGCAGGGGTAAGAAGTGTGAAAATAATTCAGCAGGCTAAAGGTTAAGATCTACCAAACCATTTGGCATCAATAATAATGCCTCTTCCTTTTTATTGGTCCTATTATCAGTGATGAACAAGTTTCATCTTCAAAGCCATGACATTAGTTATGAACATGAATTGGGAAATGATTAATTCCAGTTTTGGAATTTAGACTTCGGACAAATTTCTGCCTCTGAGCAGGTCTAGAAAGTGAAAATAAGAAACATGTTTGGCCTTGAAAGGTTGTTATCCATTGTTCTGGTATTGTTTGACCTGGGGTACACTGATTACAGCATACATTTTGCACATCTGTGTGAGCTGTAGAGACCTTAGTTAGAATCAAGTTATGTTTCCATCGATTCATGTTGTCATTTTGTAGAAGTTGCCCATTTGCACTTCTTGTTGAGTATTTGCTGATTGTACTCACTTCAGTCTGATGTATACTTCTCAAAAGAAGTTAAAGAACAGTCAGTTTGTTCATATGACTTTAGTAGTCTGTCATGATATGACTGATAAACCAGAGCCATATGATAAAATCAGGTGTTTAACTTCCTTTGAGTAGTATATTTGCCAGATCTATTTACAGATATATACGCAATCTGAAAAGGTTACATTGGGTGATTACACATAGTGTTGTTGTACTGTTGGGATTTTAAAGCTTTCCATGTGTAGTTGTACTCAGAATTTATGGGGTCATGGTGCTTTATTGTGCTTATGTTACACAGATACGCAGACAATCTCATTAGAATCTGATCTTTGCACTTGCTACAGCTACACAGGCAGCTGAAGACACCAAAATACATGGCACGTCAGAGCAACCTTACATCTGACCAATTAGATGTGAGGGTTAACAAAGGGGATACCATACAACAGTTAACGGATGTACGACTGATTCCGTATGCTAGCCATAGTCCATCTTTCGCTTGAATGTCCTATGCCTTTATAAACAGGGTAGACTCTCCATAGTCCATGAGGAGTACTGCTACACAATCTTGGCCATCTATTACTAGTATTAGACATTGCAGAATTTTCTTTTGTTCAGTTTTCACATTTTGAATTTAGAACTAATCAAGCGTGTTAAAATATTTTTCAAAGCATAGTCTGGAATGGAAGTCGACATGTTGAAATAAGTGCCATAAACTTTCAAAGGGTTGCTTTCTGATTGCTTAAAGTTGACTTCCTGTTAGCATGGTTAGTCAGTTCTTTATGATTTCTTTGTTCAGGATCTATGCAGAGCTCCAGATAAGCTTTTGGTGTTGTGGGTATTTTACTCATGCATTTTAAAATCATTGGGTATCAGTAATTCTATCTGGGTATTCAAATTTCTGTTACCCACTAGTTTTTACACTAGGGTATTTAAGTTAAATATTTAAAAACACTATTCATCTAGTCCCTGCAAACTGGTGTCGTGTGGGTTCGAGAGCATTATAGGACTCAAAAATACCACGATACTTCCACAAGAAATTGTGACGGCAAATGATCATGATGTAACTGTCATCGTGGAGTTTGGCAAGGTTGACGGAATGTCCGTTTATAATTTCAAAATAAGTTGCTGATTTGCTAATCGAATACGCAGGGTTACTTCACAATATTTTGATGATACGCACAAGTTTTATTTTTGTAGCGAATCTGTAATGTTCGTTGCGTATTTGATACGCTTGGATTTTATTTTACTGCGTAATTCTGCATTTTTTATGCGTATTTTACGCAGATATGCAGCTTATCTGGAGCTCTGATCTATGTCATGTAAATGTTTGACTCCCCACCATGCCCACTGTGGAATGAAAACTGAAAGGGAAGCTATGTTAACATGTAAACTTTTAGTGGTTGGAATTATCATCATGAACATACTCATTGGTTATCATCAGCTTCTTGCAACTGATTGATCGGTCATCAGCATAAAATTGTGAGTGTATTTTCCACATATTAGCAGTGCACGTTATAAATGTTTCCCATCAGCACGTGAAATGGTCAAAATCTTATTCATGACATGAAAATAACTTTATGGTTTACATGGTATTGATGTGTACTTATTCCATGTATTCATAACCAAGTTAATATGAAAACTTAGCTGCACCAGACAAAACCAGGTTGTTGTGTGCACTTGGTGCATGTAGACAGAAATATTAGGTTGCAGTTTTCAATAATAGATTGAACTTGTGCCAGTTTTATATAGTTTAATCAAGCCCTGTCATATGATACTGCTTTGCACAAGTTAATTAAGAATGAAGTACCAGTGTTGCAGTCTTTGTATTTATGTTGTACAGTGTACTGTATTAGTACTTGGTAGCTCAGTTGTTGTTTTTGATAGTAGATATTGCGCTTGTGGTATGCAAATGTTGGAAAAGGGAGCCTTTGTTAATCACAACTGAGTGCCTGGCTTATGTTATTGCCGCAATCAATTCTTTATTTATTATTGAGTTTCAAAGCTGTTAGTTCTGTTAGTTAGTCAATCAGTCATGCTAATACTACATCTTTTGCCCAGTGGCAACCATGGACACCGTTTTGCAGTGGTTTTCCTTGTCTGGTCAGTGTGATGGAGAATGTTGTATTTGTATTTCAGGGGTCGCAGCAGCAGTTTTGGACGGAGAGAAATGACTCCCCCTAGGAAGTCCATGATGCTTCACTCCTCCCCACCCCGTTATTCTGATGGTCCGTCCAGACGGGGCCCGTCCTACAATGATTCCCCTCCACCAAGAAGAATGTCCTCTGATTATGGTATGCTTTTTAATGTAGGGTACATTTCAATTTTCCCAAAATAAACCTACACAAAGCACTGGATCCATGCCCGTGGCAGGAATATATCTAGGACTCCAAACTAGGTAAAATTTGTAAATTTGATCCTAGGAAGGTAAACAGTGTAAATTCACATGTTTGTTTGGCCAGGTTATTGACTCAATGTTGTGTTTATTTTTCACAAAAAACAGTACTGCTCATGATTTTCATTTTTTTGTTGTTGAATCAGATTTTGTATATCCGTGGCTTTTCCCACCCAGAAAATGATTCGATCCATTTCTAGGCTGTAATCCTATGAAAACCATAGATCTGAACAGCCAGTGCAATTTGCCATGACTTTCACAATATGTTGTGCAAGTGGCTGTATGGTACTCTGATGAAACAAAGTGAGATCGATATCAGAACAAGGAAGTAAACATTACACGGCTGTCAGCTGGATTGGTCCTGGGTTTACACTTTTAAAGTTATAATCAGTACTTGTTACTAATATTTTGTCAAAATTGCCCCAAAATCTTCAAATATTTAAAGATGTCCTGGGTTTCATTGCATGAAGAAGAGTCAAGCAAGTCAGGAAATCATTTTCCACACCTCTGCCCTTATCCATTGATAAATTGTACCATTAAAGTTTGTGGTTCTTCTGTTCTACAGTTCTATCATGTGGTCTCAGTATTTAAATATTGGTTTTATAAATACTAGCATCAACTTTTATGTTTTGTAGATCGCAGAGATAGCAGATTTACAAGCAGTGGTATCTCTGATCGTCTTCCTCCACGTAGCCGAGATATATATCAGTCTTCCCCTCCACGAGACTCGGGCCGGCTCATGGACAGGTACTTGCCTCCACATGCGCACACACGCACACACACACCTTCAAATAGGTATACTGTAATCATATCATATGGTTGATGAAACATATGGATGCTATACCTATTTGCACCTGATTGCTTTCAACTGGCTTCACCATAATGTTGCCATGATTTGTTTGTAGTTATTGTCTGATGACATCCTCCTGTCTTTTGTGTCTTCCCGCTGCCAGTATGTCGTGCTTTGTTTACTAGTAATAATATCTCATACACAGGGTCAATTCCACAAGGTGATCTTAGCGCTAAGATGATCATAACTCCCATATTATGACACTAACTTACAACAACTGTAGTGCTAAGATCGCTTTGAGGAACCGCCCAAGCCTCATGCCTCAAAGCGCTCTTAGCAATGTGGTGTTCCTAACATCCATCCATACCTTGACATAACCTTGCAATAGTCTTAGCGCTAAGGTTGGTTTGTGGAACTGGAGATTCTCAGAAAAAAGTCATGAAAAGCTTGAGAGTTGTCTCCCTTTGATCATGACTCAAGTTGAAGAAATATCATGAAATATTTGTTTGATATATATATATTTTCTGGTTAACCATTTTAAAGACTTTAACTGGAATTAAAGATGAAATCGTTTTCATTTAAACTGTAAAGTGAAAACCATTCCAATCGAAGGGTTGTATTTTTTTACTTCAATTATTAATCAGTTCCAGATAATGCATGTAGTGCTGTTTTTGCATGAGTTTTGTTTGTTCACTGCCTGCTACATTTCATTCATGGCTTCGGGCACTTTGCAAGGATTGTGTTGAAAGTTTGCACAAATATTCCATGTGCGGTTAAATTTGATGAATAGATTGAATTGAAATTATTTAATAGTGAGCATTTGGGTCTTTTATTCTATGTGCATCTGAAGTCACAAGTGCAAATTCGATATTAGTAAATTTCTTTCAGTCTTCCAGCAAGCTTAACTTATGGAAATTCATGTAAGACAGGGATTTATCGAGACCTGCTCAGAGGCCAATATTTGGCCACAAGTCTGAATTAAAACAATCTCATTAAAATCAGATCTTAGTTTTTGCTACCGCTAAACAAAGATCTGAGGACATCCCATTATGGGTCACGTCAGAACGACCTTTCGCGAATTTTGACCGACCAATGAAATGACTCACAAGAAATCGCCATTAGCCAATCAGAAGGCAGCTTTCTCGAGCTTTACGACACTAGTTTCAAACTGGCGACTACGATTCCAAACATATTTTGACATATTCCCGATTAAAAAAATTAAAACTGATAAGAAGAACATTCTGGAATGGCTTATAGATGGCCTAGATTGTATGGATATAATCATAAAACCCGTAACTGTCGTTCGGAATACCCCGTGTTAAATATTTCGTGGTTGCATGATTAGAAAACACATTCCGACTGTCACTTTCATATTCTGGTAAGCGACGCTCTGATTGGTTGGATGAAAGGTCATTCTGACATGACCCTTGGGATGTCCTCAGATCTTTGTTTAGCGGTAGCGAGAACTTAGATATGATTTTAATGAGATTGGAATTAAAAATTTCCCTATTCCTCAGAATGTATGAAAACAAGAACATTATGAAATCCAACTTGACCAATATTGTGATAAACGTTTTTCCAAATTGGACTGACAAGGGTACTAATTCTGAAGTCATAGATAAATCCCTGAAAGTAGTGTGGAGGAAAAGTTGAAGAAAAATAACTAAGGGCACTATGGTTGGGGCTCTTTTATCTTGTTCCTGGAAATTGAATTCTCCTAACATGGAAAATAAGTGCAAACTTTTAAGATGATCGGCCACTCCCAGCATGATGTGGATGTGCTTTTTCATTGCAGTCGTATGTCATCAGGTCGGGGTAGCCGAGATTATCAGAGTTCGCGAGATTACCCCCCACAGAGGGACTACAATTCTCGCAATTTCACTCCCGACAGAGAACCAATCAGATCACGGCTGCCTCCGCAAAGGTGGGTTTCCATGGTGACACCGTGGGCCATGGGTTCATTGTATTGTGTGAGACTATGGATCTTGCTGTTCACACACCAGTGCAGTATTTGACGTATGTTCTTGTTGAATGTTTAATTCCACATTTTCCAGACAATGATCAATGAATATTGAGGAAGTTATAGCCTCCAGTAGAGGCAAGCCATTGTGATACTGTTGTATCAAGGTGACATTAGCAATACAATCTCGGAAGTGTTGTGTAATACTTGGCCAATTGTCTCCCTTGGACCATGCTTGTAGTTGAAAATGATTTGCGTCCATCACTTACAAGTGATTAGTAGCTGAGGCAGGTAAAAGTAGCCGGTATAAATGTTGTGACTGGTGTTGTTTGTGTCTTGCTGACATCTGGTTGATGTTGATTGTTGCTGTTTAGATTCTAGACATTTAGGTTTGTTATTCTGCAATTAACAAAAAACAAGGATATTTCGATTATATTTAATATTTAGCATGTGAAATTTTGCTCTTTGTGCCCATTGCTTACAGGGTTTGAATTTCCTTGAATTTTCGAAATGGCACAGTGTCTTAAGGGCACACTTTAAAGGATTCCATTTTGATTATATTAAAAATATGTTATATGAAGGCAGTGATAAATGTTACACATTCACAAGTAAACTGGACAAAGACATGGCAAATGATGGATTTATTAACATGGTTAATGAACTGAAATTCAAGTTACCCTTTCCTTTTTCATTGAAAAGTATTCAGGTTAGCACACCTACCGTATTCGACATAATAAGCGCCCAGGGGCCTCTCAAATTTAGAAATAAGGGGCTCTTATTAGAATATCATTTTGTTGAAAAAAAACAGAGTTTAAATTTTTTTTTCGTGGTTTATGCTGACAGCCTGAAATGTTTATATACGACAGATTTTTTTCCCCAGAAATTAATTGCCCATAATTAAGGCTGCATATTACACGCTAGTGTGTATTATGTGCGAATAAATAAGTCTTGTGTACATTGATCAATTGGAATGGGTCCTAATTGGGATTGTTCGTTAGCCAATATATTAGCAAATATCACCGTGGGCTCTTATTACGTCGAATACGGAAAATCCTAAAGGGCACTCCTAAACATCCACACAGGCGCCTTGTGGCACACTCGAAACAAAATGCATTTTGCTCCTGGCTTGGATCATGGACCCAAGATCCTATTTATTCTAATGTGTAATTAAACCATGTTAATTGGTCTACTATTAAGATGTTATGAATATTATGAAAACAAATATGAATCAAGTTCTGAAACAAAGACTTCTTAAACATCTTCATCACGGCTAGTGATTTAGAAACTGATATTGTAACCCTAAACTTTCAAGGCAGTGTTTTATTGGCATTTGCTTGTGGTAGTTTGACATTTTTTATGGAAATAATTGATTGTAATTGTATTGATATACTTGATAAGGGAGTTCTCCCTGTTGGGATTCCAGGTTGAAATAGGTCCCAACCTTTGCTGTTTGTATTGGTGGTCAGAATTGGAGACTTGGTTGATATCGTGTCTGTACTCTGATGACTTCTGATGAATATTGATGTCATTTTGATTTTATGGTAGAGGATTGGTTATTTAAAGCCTCCATTATACAGCTAGGATATCCCAGATTGCAGTATCAAACATCATGCAAAACAAAATGTATTGTTATTTATGGATAATATTGAACATTCACAGCACTCACATGTAAAGCTTGCTTCAGAACGCATTGTCATGATCACCTCTGGTGGTGTTCTAAAGCATGAGGTCTTCAGCAAACCATGTTTGCCGTGAAAGGCGACTACACTTGTAGGAGGTGACTTACGGGATTGGGTGAAAAGGCGACTCGGTGACTTGGTTGATGCATGTCATTGTATCCCAATGGATCGATGCTCATGATGTCAATCACTGGATTGTCTGGTCCAGACTCGGTTATTTACAGACCATTGTTAGAATATTGCTGAGTGTGGCGTTAAACAAACAAGCAACCAAACTAAAGCATGAACTGCATCTTGATATATTGTGAATCATTCACTTCCCATCATCTCCCACACTCCACATAGTCTCGCACGCTCAACACCGTCTCCCACTCATCATCCTCGCCTTGACTTACATTCAGTGTGCTAGAATAACTTAGATGGATGTCCTAAATGTGAGAGTATGTGAGAGTCCTCCCATTGCTCTGTAACATATAGAGATGCTTTTTCGCCATGGTGTCTGTCACTAGTGATGACCTTCAAAAGGTTACATGTTTGTTGTGGTATTATGAGATGTGGAGAACAGATACTGGTGTCAAGATCAGTGCATAAGGAACATGCCCCAGAGGATCAACCAGGAAAACAGGAACATCCAGGCTTCGTATCATACACTGCAACATGTGTGTTAATGCTAGTCTATCTGAGTTTCATACAACCAGCAATATAATTATGTTCATGCTTGTCTACCCGTGAAGATACGGCGTAGAATAGGTCTGCAGCGACCCATGCTTGCCGTATATGGTGACAATGCTTGTCGTAAAAGGCGACTAATGGGATCGGGTGGTCAGGCTTACTGACTTGGATGATGCATGTCATCGATCCCATTTGCTTGGATTGATGCTCCATGATATCAATCACTGCATTGCCTGGTCCAGATTCTATTATTTACAGACTGCCGTCATATAGCTTGAATATTGCTGAGTGCGGTGTAAAACAACCAACCAATCATGCTGGTCTATTGGAGAGTCATACACCCAGCAACATAATTATGTTCATGCTTGTCTATTGGAGAGTCATACACCCAGCAACATAATTATGTTCATGCTAGTCTATTGGAGAGTCTTACACCCAGCAACATAATTATGTTCATGCTAGTCTATTGGAGAGTCATACACCCAGCAACATAATTATGTTCATGCTAGTGTATTGGAGTGTCATACACCAAGCAACATGTTCATGCTAGTGTATTGGAGTTTCATACACCCAGCAACATGTTCATGCTAGTGTATTGGAGTTTCTTAAACCCAGCAACATGTTCATGCTAGTGTATTGGAGAGTCATACACCCAGCAACATGTTCATGCTAGTGTATTGGCGTTTCCTACACCCAGAAACATGTTCATGCTAGTGTATTGGAGTTTCTTAAACCCAGCAACATGTTCATGCTAGTGTATTGGAGTTTCATACACCAAGCAACATGTTCATGCTAGTGTATTGGAGTTTCCTACACCAAGCAACATGTTCATGCTAGTGTATTGGAGTTTCCTACACCAAGCAACATGTTCATGCTAGTGTATTGGCGTTTCATACACCCAGCAACAGGTTCATGCTAGTGTATTGGAGTTTCTTAAACCCAGCAACATGTTCATGCTAGTGTATTGGAGTTTCATACACCCAGCAACATGTTCATGCTAGTGTATTGGAGTTTCTTAAACCCAGCAACATGTTCATGCTAGTGTATTGGAGTTTCATACACCCAGCAACATGTTCATGCTAGTGTATTGGAGAGTAATACACCCAGCAACATAATTATGTTCATGCTAGTGTATTGGAGTTTCATACACCAAGCAACATAATTATGTTTGTGCTAGTGTATTGGAGTTTCATACACCCAGCAACATGTTCATGCTAGTGTATTGGAGTTTCATACACCCAGCAACATAATTATGTTTGTGCTAGTGTATTGGAGTTTCATACACCCAGCAACATGTTCATGCTAGTGTATTGGAGTTTCATACACCCAGCAACATAATTATGTTCATACTAGTGTATTGGCGTTTCATACACCCAGCAACATAATTATGTTCATGCTAGTGTATTGGAGTTTCATACACCCAGCATCATGTTCATGCTAGTGTATCAGAGTTTCATACACCCAGCAACATGTTCATGCTTGTGTATTGGAGTTTCATACACCCACCCAGCAACATGTTCATGCTAGTGTATTGGAGAGTCATACACCCAGCAACATGTTCATGCTAGTGTATTGGAGTTTCTTAAACCCAGCAACATGTTCATGCTTGTCTATTGGAGAGTCATACACCCAGCAACATAATTATGTTTGTGCTTGTGTCATCGTATCCCAATTGTGTAGATTGATGCTCATGTCAATCACTGAATTGTCTGGTCCAGACTCAATTACTTACAGACTGTCTTCACATTGCCTGAATATTGTGCAGTGTTAACAACGAACAAGCATCTACAACAAGTCTTGAGTTTACTAGCTCAACTTGTAATCTGTGTATGATGCTGTATGAAAGTTGAATCAGATGGCAGTAATAGTGCCAGCTCTTACATGCAAGACTTTCAACTTTCTTATACTCTTTACTGTAAGCCTGTATGTTCAAATATAAGCCAATTCTATATATGGAATTCATCATGAAACAGAAATATATAAATTTGGAATTTCTTGCGCTTACCTTTTGTGATCAGTATATAATCCAAAGGCATAACAGGCACATGGGTGGTTAAGGAGCGCAATTTGCTGTGCAGCGTTGCGTCCCTTTGGCACACCAGGAACCAATGACTGCGTTGGAATCCTGTGCTCGTGGGTTTCAGCAAAGTGGTAAATGTCTCAGTTGCTTCAAATTTAAGCTGATATGCTGTTCTTTAACTGGAATACTGTTAAAAGCGGCTTTAACCAAACTCACTCACCCCAAAGACATAACTTAGTTGTATACGCATGTAACATTCTTTAAGATGTTTCAAATGTTTGGAAACTTCACCCAAGAAACCTCCCAAGTCACAGGTATGACTGACACGACAGATGGATCTTGTTCACATACCCAGTACGGCTAGTGGGGGCACGGGTGGCCCATTCGTCTAAGGCGTCACGATTCACTGTGCAGATTCGCATGCACGCCAGAAACCTATGATTGTGGGTTCGAATCCCGGTTCGCCCCGATTATGTTTCTAGGTTTGTCAGCACCATACCCGTGCTCGTGGGTTTCACCCAAGTGGTAAACGTCTGAAACCTGCATCACTTCGGGCTTTCCTCCCACATTAAGCTGACATTGCGCGATATAACTGGAATACTGTTAAAAGCGGCGTTAAACCCAACTCACTCACTCAGTAGGGCTAGGGATTATTGAATAACTCACGATAGTACAGTGTTCCCTTGCTATTGTGCTCTTCAATATAGCGCTAACTCGGTTATAGCACACGGTAAAGTAAGGCTCCCAAAATTTACTAAGAAACTCAAGTTTTCCAATGACACGATGTTTTCCCCCATTATCAGCTGATCAACGTGATCACTGTGATAACACAACACCGGAAATACCAGTCAACAAATCCGAACTGAAGTACGCAATTTAATCCTATTCTTATAATATCTAGTTATAAACAAATTGTTCATTGTTTATCTGGACCAATGTTTGCAATATATTTTATTAGTTATATTCAAAATTTCATTCAATAATAATAATAATGTTTACAATAATTTTTCGGCGAAATCGTATGCGCAGTGATCGGTAGATCGCACAACTCATCGTTATTTACAGCAACCACGGTCAGTTTACCGCTATTGACGCCTTGAAACGAACTTTAGTTGCAAAAGAAAGGATACACATATCATACATGCCGATCCGTGACCCGCTAAAAGTCATATTTGAGGCAGTTTGACTATTAAATGTCAACATGACGTTTTCGCAATCGAAATACATGTAGCGCGGGAAGTCCCTATGGTGACTGGTCAAATTGTTCCATACGTAAAAAAATATCCTGCATACCACTTGTACCAAAGTGCTACGCTTATGATTCTTATAATTCTAAGTAGATATGTAGGGGAAGCTCCAACTAAAATAACACGATATTGGAATATAGTACTCTTGATAAAATAATAATTAAAGATACAATTTCTTCCGACCATTACATCAAAATTCTTTGAAGTTGTATCATTGGGTACTTTTTAAGTGAATCACTGGTAGATTGGGAGGATTACTATTACGATAAAATACACACAGTAATCTTAATCTAATATAAAACAATGCCTTGGAGAGCAGGAAATACATTTTAAATGGTAAATCATGTCTAGTGATGTTTTATATCAGATTTAATACTTTTATTGACCAAGTTTGTCATTCCTATTTATTCAGCTGAATTCGCTAAAGGGATACGATGTGTTTTTTGAAAGCACATATTAATAATCTTTTTTACACTATGTATCGTAAACACTTCTATTCTAATCTTTTTTAAAGTCTGAAATGTGCAACGTAGATCGTGTTAGGTAGGCAAAACATGTATTCTGTTGTACTGGTCATCTACCACCTACGACTCGATCTTCGTTCAACCGCTGATCATCTATGAAGCTCATCAATTATTTGTACCCCTAAGGTAGCGTTGTAGCGAGGGATCACTGTAGCAATACCTTGTTTGAGCCGAAATAGAGGTAGGTTTTTACAGGCTTAAAAAGATATGTATATCTTGTTTCAGACTGAACTAGCCATAACAATAAGCAACGTGTTGTGTGTGCTTTTCAAGCCTATTGAGGGGGCACGGGTGGCCCAGTCGTCTAAGGTGCCGCGATTCGCTGTGCAGAGTTGCGTCCCTTGGGCACGCCAGAAACCTATGATTGTGGGTTCGAATCCCGGTTCGCCCCGATTATGTTTCTAGGTTTGTCAGCACCATACCCGTACTCGTGGGTTTCACCGAAGTGGTAAATGTCTGAGACTCGCATCACTTCAGGCTTTCCTCCCACATTAAGCTGACACACCGTGATATAACTGGAATACTGTTAAAAACTCACTCACTCACTCATTCAAGCCTACGGTTTTTCACATGCTCTGTTTGTCTCCCTGATGGTATATAGATGGGATGTTGATTAAGCATAGACATTCCCACCCTGACTGTTTCAGAGATTCGTATTCCATGAGTAGTCGAGATGACCGCCGTGATACTTTCAGCCGCAGCAGTGGTGGCCGGGATTACTTGTCTCCACGCAGCAGTGGCGATTACATCAGTTCCAGGGACACTGGGCGTGATTACGGCTCATCACGAGACTATGGCTCATCTAGTCGGGAGTACCAGTCCAGCAGAGACCCACCAAGCAGGGATTACAGTTCTCGATTCGACAGCCAGTAAGTTTATCTCAATTGTCGTGATGTTTTACCGCCTGTAGGGAGTCTGGATGGTGATCTGGAGTCCTAGTGCCCATGCTTGTCTTGCTGAGGGTGGGCGGTCGGGTAGCCTTGTGGTTAAAGCGTTCGCTCGTCATGCCGAAGACCCAGGTTTGATTCCCGACATGGGTACAATGTGTGAAGCCCATTTCTGGTGTCCCCTGCCGTGATATTGCTGGAATATTGCTTAAAGCAGTGTAAAACCATACTTACTCACTCACTCACTCGCTGAGGGTATGCAGGATACACATTTTAATCAGGTTGTTGAAAGGGATTTTTTTAGAAGGGAATAGAGGCCGATATTTTGCCCTAAGTCTGCAGGATATGTCACTAAAAAAATTTAAAATTGCAATCAAACATTTCCAACTTCAGGTGATTATTTTATGATTAAAAAAACTCAACAAATCCCTTTCCATAATCAAATGAAATCTCTGGTAAAAGCAGATTCCAAGCATGTGTTTATGAATCACCATCATCTGATTGTGTTTGTTTATTTAGTTTATTCATGGCTAATTGTTGGTTTTGTAAGGTATCAAGCACTGTCTCTATCTATCAAGAGCTCTGTCAAGATCCATTGTTTTGTTTCAGTGACATCGGCGGCAGTAGCAGCCGTTACTCGTCCCGGGACCTTGACAGACCAACACAGAGTAGAGGCCCACCACTCCGCAGCTACGATAGCCTGGATGGTTAGTTTTCAGCCTATACTCCATTACATACATATCAACAGTTGGAAGAAAATGGTTATGTGGTTGTGATGTCTTAATTAATAGATATCAAGTTTAACATTAAAGTCAAATTAAGAATAACTAATGATGAATACTCTTCTGTGCCAGAGCGGGCATAGATAGCCCAGTCGGCTAAGGAGCCGCAATTCGCTGTTGAGATTTCATTTCTTTTCCATCCCTTCAAGAATATATGTTTCAGGCATTTTTATGGGGGCCCAGTTGGCCCAGTTGTCTTAAAGCTCCCGAGTTCACAATTCAAACTTATGATCGTGAGGTCGAATCCCAGTTCTCCCTGATTATGTTTCTAGGTTTTTCAGTTTGTGCTCGTGGGTTTCACCAAAGTGGTAAACGTCTGAGGCCTTCAGCTTGAACTTCCATCCCATCAAGCCGACACACCATGATATAACTAGAATACTGTTCCAAGTGAACATTAATTCATTGAGGCATTCCTGCAGATGGTTCTGTAGTGTTCTCTGTACTGTGACAAAATGTGTTCTGTTCGTTCCAGACTTGCCGCCAAGTAGGAGCAGCTATAGCAGCCCGGCAGGAGGTGAGTTGGTCTTTTCTATCACCTAGAGTGGGGGTGTCGGTGTCACGCATGACGCACTTGTCAGTGTCATGTGATGGTGAGTCACTTCTCCATCTCATGGGGCAGGTGACATTGTGTATGGTTCTTTTCTCATTCATGTTGGCATTAACCTGAATTTTAAACAACCCACAAGGTTCTCTTCAACACACATTAGAAGTATGTTTTGTGAAGAGGAATACACAACAGATATGGGAATGAGATTTGTGAAGAGAAATACCCTACGAACAGATGGAGATATGATATTTGTGAAGAGGAATACTCGCTAATATGTGAAGAGGAATACTCACCAATATGTGAAGAGGAATACTCGCCAATATGTGAAGAGGAATACTTGCCAATATGTGAAGAGGAATACTCACCAATATGTAAAGAGGAATACTCGCCAATATGTGAAAAGGAATACTCGCCAATATGTGAAAAGGAATACTCGCCAATATGTGAAGAGGAATACTTGCCAATATGTGAAGAGGAATACTTGCCAATATGTGAAGAGGAATACTCGCCAATATGTGAAGAGGAATACTCGCCAATATGCGAAGAGGAATACCCGCCAATATGTGAAGAGGAATACACAACAGATGTTGAAATATGATATTTGTGAAGAGAATACACTACAATATGTGAAGAGGAATACCCGCCAATATGTGAAGAGGAATACACAACAGATGTTGAAATATGATATTTGTGAAGAGGAATACACAACAGATATGGACATATCATAGTTGTGAAGAGGAATTCTCTCCTATATGTGAAGAGGAATACACAACAGATGTTGAAATAGGAGATTTGTGAAGAGGAATACATTTTAGACATGTTTAAAAGATATTTGCATCCTTAGAGTTCTGGAACATAAGCGTACAGAGGAATACACATCAAACATAGAAATGTAAAGAGGAGTTCTCTCTGCATCCTTGACCCAGAAGGAAAAGTATCAGATGCTGTTGACAGTCATCTTATATCATGAAGCAGCATCATCACACACATCTGCTCCCTCACATTCACAGTTAGAGGAACACAATGAAATGCCTGGCAAACAAGCCTCAAATGGAACAAGTATCTTCGCAAAGAAATATTTCTCCAAGAATTTCTTCAGCAAGAATGGTTTAGATTCTGATTATCTCCCCTTGACCACACGCATAAGCATCATCAAGACACACGATAACTACATTTTGTCAGAAGAAAATCTGAGGATTTAAGGCTTCAATCAAACAGCACTGCCATTCAGGGTTTGTGGATATTGTTAGTCATATTATTACAAATCCAACACACTTTCCTGTAATTTGTCGCAAATACTGGTTTTGTTGAGAGGACATTAGAGAACACCACTGGGGATACTATAGATTGATAGGCAGGTTCAATACCAACTTCCACCTGTGCCAACCAGTAGATTCCACCAATTCCTCCAGCTGCTCTTCACTCACCAGCCCAACAAACATGCCATCTTCATTCAAGGACATATCATTAATTGGTCATCTGAGTTGTCAGACAAAGCCTTGGAAAAAACAAGTCTCTACCACACACCTCTTCTAGGAAATGAACGAGGGTCATTGCAAATACAGTTGTCTGAATACTTATTAGGTGCTAGTCAACGGTCATCATTGGAGAACGAAGACAGATGTTTCTATGTGATTGCAAACCATGCCACTTGAACCCTTCTGTGAAGTCATCTTTCTGGCAAAACTGTCAGCTCTAATGGTTGTACCTGTCGACCACCCTGACCATACCTGTCAACCACTCCAATGAAAGTACCCTTCAACAACACTGATAAGGAGACTGACACTGTTTGTACTTCATACAATCAGTTTGTGTAAAATCTCCTTAAAATCACTTAAATTCATCACTACATAAGTATATCTGAAGAAACTAATCAGAAGAAATCCTTGAAGTGAAGAAATACCAGGTGTGCATTTTTAAGAACGCAAAGCCTTAGGGATAGCGATACCCTCCACAGGAAAAATTCCAAACGGAATTGAACCAGCATTCAAGGACCTATTTTCACAAATAACAGCACTGACACCAGGTGGTCATGACGTAGTGATCATATTATGACCTGGTAGTATTTATCATGTAGGTACTCAAGAAATGTACAAACTTCTATCTATCAAGGAAATTGTTCTAGCTGGAGTAACTTTGATTTGGAAAGTTGTTTTCAAGACCAGCAAGTGGACTGACATGACCCATTGACACCCTGCATGAACTCATGAGGCATCAGTAGATGGAACCACAGATCAAGCTCCGCACTCATTAAGGAAACAGTTGAAAGGAAACATCCCTTGGAAGTGCAACTGCAGAATAAACTACCTAATCACTTCACTCTCATCATATCACTTTCAAACATAGCATGCTTGGTGATTGTTCACATTTGCTGTCTACAAGTCACATTGTCATATCGAAAAAAATGAAGTGGGGAACGCTTTTGGCTGTACATACTTGAAGGGTAAAACTACCCACAATAATGCATGAATTATCTCCCCTCCACTAAGTTCAGCATTCCAGCATTCAACACCTCAAAGCTAAAGGGATATGGTAGCTCAGCAGCAAGTGCATTTACTTTCCATATTGCCTTGTGAGAACCCGGTTGAGAATGAAGTTGTTGACATGCCAGAAACTACAGCAACATAAAGATAACTCCCTCAAGCCTATTGCACCTCATGCCTTTTGGCAACTAAAGACAGACAATTGCCTTGTTTTTGTCAAGTGGACCAGAAATGATCAGTAACTGTGATATAGTCAGTTTGAATTGTTTTACATATGCTCTGAAGTACACATGAAAAACATTGCATCTTTAAAAGGAAGTATGACAACAACTGTTTGAAAATGAAGAGGATTTTAGAGTGCATCATCTTTGATCAATTGTACTAAATAATCTACCAGATGATACGTTTGTGAATTCAGAGAGATGCTATGTAAGATTGCATGATCCATTAAAATATATATCACTGATTGTTCCCTGAAAGTATGGAGCTTATTGAAATGTGAGTGAAGGGGAAGTGAGATATTACATATTACCATGTAGACTTAATGGGGAACAAGGCTCAGGTCAATTGGCAACCTCAGCATGAATGATTCAAGTTATCCAAACCTTTTCTGCTGGCTCACATTTTATTATGTAATTCTATATCAAGCTAGTAGATAAACATTTCCTTAATTGTCCAGAGATGTTAAGTTTCACCGAGTGGAGTCTTGAAATTGGTTCAGGACCCTTTAGAGATATCAACCAACAAAGATTAATTTTTCCACTTTTTGAATAGTTTAAAGGTTTAACAGATTCAGCAGTATCATATGGAATTGTTAAATAAACAAGGTATTGCATTTCTCAGTGACCTCCCTCATGGTTCAGAATATTTTCAAATGTTTGAAATGGGAAATCCTTGCAACAATCTACATAGCTTCAAATCAGGAATCTCAGGATTCTTCTTTCTTGAAATGGTGCTTGGGTGCTAATATTGAAAATATGGAACTCATTGATGAATATTATGGAAACAAACATGATTTCGTGCCTCAATAAACAGCATAATGGTTTAGTGGGTACCCTCTATGGATCAAGAACCCAAGTATCTGTCCAATACAAATCTGAGCAAGCGCTTGAAAGTCTCATCCTCAGAATTACTGGAAAATGTGAACATTCAGTTACACCTTACAATGTTTAAAGAAAACATTTGTTCATAAGATGGTTTGTGCCAACAGTGCTGGTTCACAAACTTCAGTGGAATTCAATACAACAGTTGGTAAGTGAATGAAATGTCAACAATGTGAACAAAAACGTGGGTTGCTCCTAAAATATTCTCAAAATGTACTTTGTACCAATCCACTAGGTTCTCGAGGACCACCATCTAGGTCAGGACCATCATTCAGCTCCCGTGGAGGTGGTGGCAGTAGTGATCGCAGAGACAGTCGAGGAGGAGGGGGAGGTGGAGGTGCAGTTTTGGGAAGCCGACGTCCAGGGCCTACCCTGTCACGTGGGGCCCCCCCACCAAAACGATCCCGCGTTGACGGACCCCCAATGAAGCACGGAGGAGCACCATCATCATTCAGGCGCTAAACATTGTACGTGTCTGATGTACTTTCAGATTAGAATGACTTCCTCCACGAAATAGCAGTGACTATTTTATGTTGTCAAATTTCATCCCCTCACCATACCAGCCATCCTGACAATATTGCTCGTTTTATCTCAACAAATGTTTCAATGTGTAACTCAAAACATGACTGGAATCAATTTCTTTTAATGTTATTAGTTTTATGCTACAAATCATGGACATTTGATGGTATCTTACATTTCAAAGGCCAAGTGCGTTTATGTGTATTCTTGCTTATATGTCAAATAGGAAATAAACACCGTTTCATGTCAACGTACCTGTATGTCCACATTGCGCTGGAGAAGAGGAGAACGAAGCTAAGAATTCACAAACATGCTCTACTCTTGCATAGTTATCAAAGTTTCCCCACAAAATTGACACGAAGTGAGTCTGTGAAACCATGCATTGCACAACGACATTGAGGGAAAGGAAACTTTGCATGGAAGTTGTACTGCATAGGTCAATTCTCAGTATGGATAGCAACTGAGCATATACTCTCCTGACATCTAGAACAAGAACTAGCATGCCTGAAATAATTCCTTTCACAGAATTGATAACATGCAAGAGTAAGCAGTTTTGAAAATTCTTAGAAATGATCCCACTGATATGGACAAGAGATCAGAATGCAACGATGGATCATCAACACCTTCTTGAAACAACCATTGAAGACTAATGACATATTATTTGGTACAGGTTCTTCAACTGTGCATCTGTATTTATGAAGAATTCTAACAGAAATGCACTGCCATAGATATTTACCCAACAGCTCCAAACCAAAAACTGTTGAGCACAGATTGAAACTTCAGATATATTACTGCATACACAACAACTCTTACCTTTGTATTGAATATAAAATATTTACTTTTCAAATTTGAATGTGTTCAATAATTCAAAACTAAGGTAAAATCTGTATTATATGATGATGAGAAGATCCAGGCAGATGCTGTGTGTGTATACCACACTTGGTGTAGAAAGAAGGGTATCAACCACATGAAGCTCATGGTGAGTTGTCATAAGCAGGGATCGCAACGGAAATGTTACTGCAAGGCATCTCTGGGAATGGTGCTTTACACATCTGATGACAAAATGAATGAACTGGAGGTGAACTGTCTGAAACACATCTTAAGTTCTATACTTTGACGTCCTTGTCTATGACAACACTTTTGTCTCACGATACACAGTGAACTCTCTTCCAACCTTTTCCAAAATGTATTGGAAAGATAATATGCAACATATTTCACTTGCAAATCATACTTAGGATAATGTGACCTGGTGTTTATGGAAAGGGTGATCATCTCCTGCCCTTGCCTTAGCACCCCTAGTCTGTGTGGAGTTCCAAAACTGTTGGTCGTAGAAAATAGCCTGATGATTTGGAAAATTGCTGTATGCTTAATACTAGAGACCAAAATTCAATTACCTACCAGCATAGAAATGACTTAGGCTCAAGTGTAACATTTTTCCAGCTGTATCACCTGACATGTCTTGGAATTTCTATGAATATCAACCCTGCTTGAAATATCCCCGCTTGCTTCAGTACCTTTTCTTTTATGTTCTCTGGTCACTGAGGAATATGACAATTCAGTACGTGGTATTTCAGTTGAATACTTGGCAAATATATAACTTAAAACATCAACCAGAAGATCACCAAAGCAAGAATGTGATGTGTGCCTTATAAGACAAAAGTTACGTCAATGCCAAAGAGATATTCATGCTTCCATGTATGTATCTGCTCACATGAAGTATGCCAAAACATCTCTTTGACGACCAACCTCACCCAGCTGTGAAGACTATCCAAATTAAACCTTGAGGAAATATGCATTCAAGAGATATGACATGATCTCCTACCATGCAGGAATCATTATGAAAATGCATGGTGGTTCAGTTCTCAGATCTCAAGAAAAGCATCATGAGAGACCACACCTGTCTTTTCAACGAGACAGCAACTGCACACATGCAATATCAAAAGGTGGTGCTCCTGAAACTGAATACATGAACTTGATCAGTATCACCTGGTACTGATGATTTAGTAACCGGAAGCATCTATGTACATGATCCATTTAGTTCTTGAATATATGACTAGACATGAACTAGTAATGATCAATAATTAATAACAACCATAAAATCTATGAGCAAGCAATGGATTTGGACCTGTTACTGCTTCCAAAATGTCTGTGGTTAATACCTTAAGGTCAGTCAAACACATTTTCTTTATATCTATATATTAACGACTGTTTTGGAAGATACGTTTTATGTGTGGCCCACTGAAGTCTTGGAAAGAGCACTGGGATGTCCGTTAAAAGAACCAATCAAGCTTCAGTGCCCTGGATATGGAAAACAATCTGCTACAGTGAGCAATGGCATCGTCTTTCTTTATGTACACATTAACATTTCTATTTATGCTAGCTGGCTTCATAGTATTTAGCATAGAACACCACGCAGTACCCTTGAAATCAGAACCTAAAAGGAATCATGTGTTAAAGAAAACAGTGCCATCTGCATGAGCAACCTGGAGAGGTTGAGGAGAACTGACAATGATTCCAGAGGCTGCAAACTTCACCAAAGTGGCAGGCTCTGGTGACTAATCATCCTGCAAGTTCAGGATGTCAATACACATGCACAAAGATAATTGATGTTTTATAGATGAATATTACATTCTTGTTTGATCTAGAGTCAGGAAACTGTGAAAAATGCAATGGTCTGAAACGTGAAAGTTCACAATATTAGTGGAGACGAGGCTTAGTCCTCTGGCAGCTGGTGACATTTTTTCATGTTACATACGTCCATATGTGCAGATGCTTTTCTCTACATTGTCTGCAAATAACCAAAAGAAGCCTCCAAAGGTTTTCAGTAAAAGATGGGACATAAACGAGGGATGGATGCACTGAACGGATGTTTAGTGCAAGGTGAAGAAGAATGACATCTAACTACCTTAATCATTAAGTAGCACATGAAAAAGTAAGCGACTTGAAGGCATGGGAAGATGTCATTTGTCATACTCAACTAGTCCAAAACATTTCGGACTAATGGTTTATGTAAAATAACAAGATGTGAGGATAAACAACCAGTCCATTTAGATCTTTACTTGTCTCGGACTAACAGACCAGTGGCCGGGTCGATCCCTGTGAAGGTTTCTATTGAAATGTGTTACAGCTTTGCGAGTATATGTCCAAAACGCACTTGCAAATATATTAACATTTTATGAACCAACAGTATTCTGTTGACAAGGTATGCATATCCAGAAACTTCTTTTCCAAAAGACCATTATAATGGGTTATAGTTCACTCCCAGAATAATGCACCCTACTGTGATAGAGAAAATGAAATGTGTTAATTACACCTGCACGTTGTATTTATTGTACCACGGACACGAACACGGATCAACGACAATCAACAAAACTTTCCAGGAGATGCATCTTGCATGATTTTTAGTTGGATGAAATTGCCACACATCAAGATACAATAACAAGATCAAGTCAAATTAGATAAAGCGACTCATTATCATGTTCATACCCTCCTATTGAACCCTGTTCTTGAAATTCTCTGTCAGGATGTTGAACCATGTGTGTAAATCTGCCGTCACAGGGTGTAGACGATGCACCTGGAATAACATACTTCATGATGATGATGCTAAGGAGTTGCATTGTCATGTGCAGCCAAATGTATGTGTCATCTCTTCACAGTTATTGAAGGATTTGTTTCATGGGAAACAACAGTCCATGGATTACTGTGAAACAAATTTCCTTTCATTTATCATCTCCATTTGTTAAGCAATGATTATGTAAAACTGACATGACATTGAAAAAACTACTCATACCTTCTAAGAGCGGTCGTAAGTATTTACCAGCCTGAGCAAGTATTGTTGCTAATTTAATTTACAAGGACTAGGAATCCACATAAATGCTGTTCACCTTTTGTGTGCAGACACCAGGTGCTTGTGAGACAGATAAGGCCATCAATGACACCAATGACCGCTGAAAGTATCCGAAACACGGTCAGCACTTACCCTTACAAAGATAAAGCTCTTGAATGTGATGGTTGATATATGATGGCAAATATCATCTATCGAGCCTGTGACCCATTCCACAACGAGTATTTTTCAAACCCCCAGGAACAACCACATTATAGCCAGGTTGTCCACCGAAGACATAACTATTCTTGTGAACCTCCTTGTTACAAACAGTAATGCTGTTTATAGCTGTGCGTCAACTTTGAAACATGGAAACAAAGACTGGTTTGGAAAGAGCTATCAGTGGAAGCAGTGACAACAGGTCAGGTGAGGAAGGCATTGAAGAAAACGTACTGTGCCAGTCATGCTACAAATTGAGGCTCTATACACCTTTGAAGTGAGGCATGTGGACCCATGAAAGACAATCACAAAATATATATCTTGCTTGAATATGTTTAGAACAAAGCTAGACATGGATTTATTTCAATCCTCTTCCAACACAAGAGGCATGCGTGGCCAAGTCGACTAATGCCCGCGATTCGCTGTGCAAAGTTGCGTCCCTTGAGCGGGCCAGAAACCTATGATTGTGGGTTCGAATCCCGATTTGCCCCGATTATGTTTCTAGGTTTGTCAGCACCAAACCTGTGCTCATTGGTTTTGACAAAGTGGTAAATGTCTGAGACCTGCATCACTTCGGGCTTTCCTCCCACATTAAGCTGACATATAACTGGAATACTGTTAAAAGCGGTGTTAAACACAACTCACTCACTCCAACACAACAAAATACAACAAAACCACAGACGGATGTTCTTTTACAAGACCATCCTCATCCTGTGAGCCACCCACTGACACCTCAACGGCTGACACAGGAGGAGGAACAGCTGAAGCAGATGGACTCCCAGAACCCCTACTCAACTTAAGTCACTAAATTCCAACATCCCATATCCTCTCTTCTGGCAGGTCTAACCCCCCACCAACCTACTACATCCCATATCCTCTCCACTTGCAGGTCTAAACCCAGATTAACTTACATTCACTACATCCCATATCCTCTCAACTCACGGATCTAGACCTCCACTAACCTACATCCCATATCCTCGCAACTCGGGGATCTAGACCTCCTCTAACCTACATCCCATATCCTCTCAACTCACGGATCTAAACCTCCACTAACCTACATCCCATATCCTCTCAACTCACGGATCTAGACCTCCACTAACCTACATCCCATATCCTCGCAACTCGGGGATCTAAACCTCCACTAACCTACATCGCACCCTCTATTCACATATCTTAACCCCTGCTAACCTACTTCGAAGATCCAGGGT